TAACATTGAGCAGAAGTTCCCCCATAAACAGAGACGTAATGTCCACCTTTCACTCGTGTTCTGGTCATCACTGACGAGCAACATCACTATAATTATTGTGGTTTTTACATTTGTAACATTTATTTATAGACCCAGAGAAAATCAACGTTTTCATTTATTGATTTTATTCTATTTTGGAAAGCTTAACAAACATGATAATATATATTTATAATAATCACCAATAATTCAAGTTTTCAAGTTTATTTATAAAGCGCCAAATCACGACAAGAGTTGTCTTAAGGCACTTCACATAATAAACATTCCAATAGAGTTCAGTTCATTAAGCCAGTCAGTAAGAAGTTTCCTATATTTAGCGACAGTGGAGAGGAAAACTCCCTTTTAACAGGAAGAAACCTCCAGAGGATCCTGGCTCAGTATAAGCAGCCATCCTCCACGACTCACTGGGGATGGAGAAGACAGAGCAGACACACACACACACACACACACACACACACACACACACACACACACACACACACACACACACACACACACACACACACACACACACTAGAGCTGTAGCGAAGCGTTGATGATGTCGACGGCTCATTCTAAAAATTCGTCTATGTCAGATTGGTATCTTGAGAGGCGCTATAGAAATGATATTTTCTTCTTCTTCTACTTGTTGAATCCCCAGGAGTTTGTAAATAGAGGAGGAATTAAGCAGTTTTTCATCTAGTTCACCCTCTTCTCCGCCTTCACTAACATCTCCCCCAAACACCGAAGACAATGTCCGTCCGCTACTAGATTATTTTCCTGTTTTGCCAACGGACAACAACGTCCGGGGTCAGATGCGCTGCTCCGTCTCTATCGCAGATGTAGAACATCACCGGGAGCGTTTCTCCCTTCATTAAGGAGCTTCTTTCAGACATTAGGAGAGCTGTTTTGGTGGTAGCAGTCTCTCCTCCGTGCTGGTCTGTTTGCTGCTGGGTGTTTTTGGTTTATTTAAACTTGGTAACTTGAACTTAACGTTGGTAAAGCTACTGTTAGCATCTTCGCTAACAGCTTCTTGCGTTGGGATAAGCTGTTACGTTTTGGTTTAGAGTTCATCTTTTTTTGTGGTGCAGATCTCCCTTTTATTACATTTAGAGTGTTGTGGGTTTTCGGTTTAGTTTAAAATATCACCTTTAGTTTGGTTTAATCGCCCAGTTTAGAGTTTGGACCTTTGGAGATTCTTATTTTGGTCCAGAACCCTGTAATCTTTGCCCAGTGGGACATCCCTACTTATTTGTACTTTTGTTTTAATTCCCCACAGGCAGAATTAGTTTTATTATTCCCAACCTGTGGATGGAAAGATTTATTTTTTTTTGTAGTTGTAAATAAACCTGATCATCATTTTAACTTTTAAGTCCCGTATTATTGTCCCTTCCTTTTTGCACACGAGCCAAACTCCCCAGGAAGGGTCGTAACACCACTCGCCTCACGCACATAAGTGGCCAAAACAAAGCAGCATGGAGACACTCCATCTCCAACCACCTCTCAGGCAGCAGCCTGCACTCCCAAGTTCTACACGTCACCAGAACATAACACAATAAAAGCAGTGTTATACAAAATGGAAGGCCTGTAGTGTTTATTCTCTTACAGTAAGAATTTATCAATTTTTTTGAGGAATTTATTTGAGATTTTCTGGTTTTTGTTAACTGTGCAATAGAAAAATAATCATTAGATTAATCGTCTAAATAGTCATTAGAATAGTCGACTATTCGATAAAATAATCATCGGAATAATCGTTTTAAAAATAATCGTTAACCCCCAGCCCTAACACATACGCACACACACACACACATACACACACACACACACACACACACTCACACACACACACACACACACACACACACACACACACACACACACACACTCACACACACACACACACACACACACACACACACAATAACACATTTAACACTGGCTGGCGTCCTTGGTGGAGCACATTTTAACATGTGTATCTTTTGAACTTCTATTGAACTGAACTGAAAAATAAAAAACATAAAATGGGAGTAAATAAAAAGTCAAACATTACATTGTTATAAATATAATAAAAGTTGCTGCTAATTTAACAAAAGTTTATGTTTTTTGTTCTTGGTGTAAGCCTGAAAGAGTTAAAACAAAAGGTTATTAGAAGCAATGTTATTTTTTGCTACATTACCTTTTAATTGTTTAATCAAACTAAAACGAAGTCCATGATCATTTATTTATTTACAGAATACAATTTTTTAGTCCACAAATGTTGTCTTTTTTGTCATTTAGATTCAATATCTATTTTTTTAACTGATTTACACAAACACACAATGTCCCCGACAGTAGAGCTATAGATCTGTCTAAAGTGAGATTCTGTGGCGTTTTTATCAGCAGTCATGTCTTACCTGCAACAGACAGCGATCAGTTTGGATAATCAGTGAGTAAACTCAGGAATTATACGAGCTAACAACTAGTTAGGGTAGATTTCTACTTTTTAAAATGATTCTGCTTTAAAAAGGTTTGTGGCCATTTACGTGAAAATGTTTCTGTAAAAAATCCTTAGTACAATAATGTTTGAACAACTTTAAATTTTACACTTTGACATGGACTGGCAGATGTGAGACAGACATCGGCTTTGGAAAAAGCCGCTCAAGCTGCAGAAATGTAATGTACGTTCTTTCAGCCTCCTTTCTTCAGACTCCTCACCAGACTCACAGAATCTGATGGTGGCAGGAAACGGTATGACCAGGGGCGTAGCACCAAATTCTGGGCCCTAGGTACAAGTCTTCTAGGTGGGCCCCCATGCTCAATTACTTAATATCTCTTTTACACATTTTTTGTCATGCTATAAGACAAGATAATAAATATGATCTTAGTTTAACCTCTATATTGAGCAAATACAAATGCCAGCATAATAAAAGTGAAATGCCCAGACTTCACATATAATTATTTTTATTTGCCAACAATGTGTTCAAACAAAAATCCTGGAATTTATTTTCCAGTAAATGCCCACTGATGGGTCTTCATGTTAGCAAAATCACTTATGAGATCTTTAAAGTCCAATCCTTTGGCTAATTGGCTTTCAATAGAAAGAAGAGCTAGGCTGTTCAGTCTATCCTGGGACATTGTTGATCTCAAATAATTTTTCACCAGTTTCAGTTTGCTAAAAGCCCGTTCACCCCCAGCAACAGTCACAGGTAGTGTGCAAAATATCCTCAGTCCAATACAAACTTCTCCAGAAATGCTCTGTAATTGCATCCTGTAGATGGCATTAAGCAGCTCAAGAGGAGACCGAATGTGTGGGAATGTGGCACCAGATATTGTTCTCAGGTGTAGCATCTCATTCTCAAATTCAGCTGTGAGATCCTTGTAATGTTTTCTCATCAGTGCCTGGCATGATATCTTCATCTGCTCTTCAGTCATGTCTGTCATGGTTCATGATGTTAAGCTTTGCTACTACTGATATATGTTGATATATTAAATACATATGACATGAAATAAACCAGGTTCTCTCTGTGAATGTAATGGACTCTAAATTTTATAATCCCTGCATTATCAGCCAAATTATAAGATTGTCCGTTTTCAAGATCAAATATAAAGAAAATTAAAATAGGCTTAAAATATCTAACCAAGTGAATAACAATCCTCTAACACCAGTGTCATCATGCTATACGAAAAACAGTGGCAGCTTCACGTTCCTGAGATTACCACCAATCCATCGATACCAAGTTTGTCCTGGTCCATGACTGGGAAGGAGCTGAAATATCCACACAGACTGAACCTGTTTTTACTGCGAGGTCGCCCGCGATAATAATTCTGATTAATATATATATATTAATTAGTGTTTTCACTGATAACACTAATTAATTTATATTTGATCTTGATGGTGAAACTAAAGGCGTTTAACACTGAACACCTAACATGAATGCAGCTTCTGAGAGCTAGCTAACTGTGTTCTGCTGCTGCTCACCGTCCTTCTACTTGCTTCTGTTCAATTAACTTTTTCTCCTTCTCCTTCTTTTCTTTTCTGGAAGCCAGATTTCCCTTTCTTGGGAAAAGACATAACTGACTCTCCTGCCTCCAGCTCTGGCTGTCAGCATCTGCGATGTCTCATAGCTGTACATGCGGCCGTGCAGCCCCTGGCCGCTGGTGTGGACTAAACCACTTTGCACATTTTTAAGGGGTGATAGATGCCTCAGAGGTTATTCAGTTATTATTTTTAAGGCGAAATTCTGTTTCTTAACCTTTTATCCAGGTAAAGGGAAGTTTATTAAGACATTAAGTAAGTTGGGGGAAAAAACAACAACAATAAAACATTTTTATTCAAAGCTGTCTCAGGGCCCCTCCCTGCAGTGGGCCCTGGGTAAACGGTACCCCCCCCCCCCCCCCCCCCCCCCCCAGTCCGACGCTCCTGGGTATGACACCAGATACAAGAGATACGATCAAACAAACAACCAATAAAAGATGCTCTTATTAAATAATTTCTGCTATCATTTCCTATGTGATGCACCAGCGTAACTGTAAAACTATTAAGCTAGCTAAAATAGTACGATGTTTTACCTGTTGCTCTGCCAACAGAGGACATGCTGCGTTCTCAGACAACAGCTCCTTCACCTAAACGTTTCCCAGCAGGACCAGATTTAGACTCTACACAGAACAACTCTCTGTCTGTTACCGTCTGGCTCTGGCTTTGCTTCCTGTTTGGCTGCTCAGTGATTTGTGCACATAGAGGGGATTCCTCAGAGGGGGAAGAGATGGTGACAGATGGATCATGATCCATTAAAGATCGGGATGTTCACAATGACTGGATGAGGGTTTTCCAAGGTTGTACCATTCAGAAGTGATTTAAATAATTCATTTTTGGAAAAAAACATTTAATTTATTGGTTGCCACCAATATGAGATGAGCATTTCAATCAGTAAGGCAAAAATCCAGCTGAAATGTTCACTCACTCTACCAAGTTGTGTGATAAAATCATGTGAATCGGGTAAACCTACCTGACAAGAGGAAGTGGATTTCCTCGGACTCTGCACTCCAGACGAATTGGACACCCCTCTGCAACTTCCTGACTCTTCAGCTTCTGGAGGAACTGAGGAGGAGACAGAGGTCCGCATGTTGGTGGAGCCCCAGAAAACTGATGCCTTTCAGAACCCGCCTGTCCTGCTGGTCCTTCAGAGAGAAGGCCCATTTCTGGTTGGCTGCTCTGCACATCCTCTTGTTGGCCTGCAGGCAGTGAGGGAGCAGAGGCTGAGCCCTGAAGACCTGGCCGCTGGCTCTTTGGTGACAGGTAGCCACTATCGGGGGAGGAGGATTCCTCCTCCAGCTGCTGCTCCAAATGGGCAGAACCTTTAAAAATGGATGACAGCTCCTCGATGAAAGTGGCGGCTCGGCTGCAGAACTCTATAGCTGAAGCAGCTCGGTCATTCAGCTCCAGGCCTTCATGGACCAGTCTGGGTCTATCCTGCTTATACACTGGCTGGACTGGTTTGTGACGGACCACCTTCTCAACAGGGGGTGGAGCATCACTGGACGCTTGTACTGGTTTGCGAGTGTAAGTGTTCTGGTTGGAGGAAACGGGTTTGTTCTCATCAGGGCAGGGAGGTTTGTTCTGGAGAAGGTTTAGACTTGTGCTGAGGTTTTCATTAGTTTGAGGAGGAACAGAAAGAGAAGTGACGGACTGGAGAACCTGCTCCGGTTGTGTAAGAATAGAGGAGTTTGGATCTTCTCCCTCATCACCAAAGGCCTCCCGGGCCAGGTCCAGACTATGATTAATCTCATCAGCACTCAGGAAGGCAGAAAGGTCTGCAAAGGCTCCATCTCCAGAATCCAGTTCTGTTGCTGAGTCGAGGTAGAGTTCTCCATCAGAAGAAGCCTCCGAAAACACACCTCCATCCCCCTCCAAAGTCCCGCCTGAAGCCGGGTCCTTCAGCAGCACAGACATGGGGAGTGGCTGATTCCAACTCCCGTCCTGCATCCTGAAATAAAACATCAAATCTCTGTTAACCAGACAATTACATGTTTTTAAGTAGATGTTCATCAGGAAATTATAACACACAAAGACATCAGAGAGGTTTAAATTAAGACCTCACAATACAACGACTGCTGCAGGGCGACTCAGACCTTCTTCTGGATGCAGCTGGTGGGCATTAGCTGAGGTTTTACTGAGGTCATGCCAACACGACTGGCATTTCTCGGGAAGTTGCCTTGTGTCTGGCACAGTTTTACCCCTAAAATTTGTTTATTAATGATAATAATAATAATAATAATGCCCTTCACATCAAAAGATTTCAAAGGGCTAGGCAAGCAAACCTTTAAAACAAGAAGTTCAAAATGAAAAAGTTAAAGGTTAAAACCATCGCTAAGTGCCAGCTAAAAGCTTTGCTAAAAAGAAATGCCTCCAAATGTCTTTTAAACAGGCGCTGGGTTGAGGAGCCCTCAGGGTGCCGAGTAATTCTGCAGTGGAGGGGCAGTGACACCGAAAGCGCGATCTTCCACGGTCTTGAGGTTGGATCTGGGAACGTGCAGAAGGTTAGAGCACGCTGAGCAGGGGGTACGGATGGTGTGATACAGATGGAGAAGTTCCTTAAGGTAGTAGGGAGCGTGGTCATGGATGCAATGGTGTGTTAGGAGACAAACATTATATTCAGTCCTAGCAGAGACAGGTAACCAAAGTAGTGGCAGGAGATTTGAGGTGATGTTCTCATGTTTGCACGCCCTCATTAGGATCCTGGCTGCTGTTAATGATGTTGGTCAAATAAGTATGATGTGATCATTAGTGACATCCATTTCACTGTTAATGTAGTCATTCAGCGTGTGAATGTGTGTGTGCATTTGTGAATGGTTGTGTTGTGAAGTGCCTTGAGGGGTTTTAGAGCCTTAAGACGGCGTTATCTAAAAACAGTCCATTTAGCATTTCATCAGCTCTGCCAGTAACCTTTTGTTCCTTTAACACAAACTAAAACTCAAACACACCGACACTTTAAAAAGGCAGTTTGACGTTTTCACTCTGATCTCCTCAGAAGCTCAGTGGAATGTCTAACATGTTGTGAAACTGTTGGTGTGGGTACATGTACGCTGTAGTGTGACACTCAGCGCCTCATGGCGTCCTGAAGACCAGCTGTTGTTATTTTTAATGCCTCTGGACCATGTTTCACCACAGCCCCACCCTCTCTGAGCAGAGCTGCTACCTTCACACACACACACACACACACACACACACACAGGTATAACTACGAGCGTTTGCACCGTCATCCAGTGAACATTCAAAGACTGACCCTGAAGCCTCTGATTGCTCTGAGCAGATATGAGAATGACGTGTCCTTTTTTCTCCTGCTTTGAATGAAATTTCTGCTGTGGCAACATTTTCCTAATGAAGGACACTAAAGGAATTTTCTATTCTATTTTATTCGATAGATGTGGAAAAATCTAAGACATTAAGGGAGACAGACAAAATGTTAAGTGTCATTCCTTGCTGTATTTGATATGGTAAAATACAAAGCAATTATTAGATATTTCAAAACAAGAAGCTGTAAAATACCCAGAAACAATATAACAGAGTGAGACGTGTGTAAATTTCATGAAACTGATGCTCCACTATTGTTACCATTTGATTAATTTCTGTTAAATAATTAATAAACCTACCTTCAAGTGTGCTGTGTGTCCTAGTCCTCCTTCCTGGTTTTACTGGGTCCAGGTTTGTCTTGTTTATGTGAGAAAGAAACAAAAAGAGGCTTTGCCTCTCTCCCCAGAAGAGCAGCCTTATTGGTCAGATGACAGGTAGGATCTTTCAGGTTTAGGGTCCAATTGCGTTCTGCCTCTGCAGTGGGCTGCTGTCCCATCTGTGCTGGTCCCTAACTGCTCTCTGAGTGGGGCTAAATTTGGCCCCTAGCTCATGTTACACAGCCAGACTGCTGGCAGGAGGAATGAAGACTGAGGGGGTCTAGGTGAACAGAAGGAGCTCAAGGTGTTGGTTAATTATACACAGAAAGCACAGGATGTTGGGATGGCTAAGTTTCACACCAATTGTGCTGTTGTATGCAAGTACAACAGAATGTTTGTAATCTTTTATGATAATCTGAACTGGCCACATCTGAAAACACACAATAATCACCCATTGACCTCTCAGACTGAGCTGGTTCCTCCATGGCTTTAAAACAACTCAAAATTATTATGAGGATCTTGAAGAACCCGGTCACTATTCGGTCCGATTCCATTCTGCACACACATATGGAATGATGCTCAGCATTTTTGTTAAACTTCATGCATTTCCTGATTTCTCACCAAGCGAGACAGATATCCTGGGCCTTGGAAAGAATAAACCATGACCACCATGCAGCCTCACTTGGTCTATTTCTAGTCCACCATCACATTTTGTGCTCTCTGAGCTATTCTGGCTCTTCTTCATTCTGCTGATTACAGTTAAGTGCTGCTGATAAGTCCAGTAGGAGTTTCCATATACACTCACAATACACACGTGTGCAAACACTTGGTGAGTAATTTGGATTTCTACTTGACAATTGTCATCACCCAACCCTCTGTATGAAGTGTTATTTATAAATAACTACTTTATCCAATGGCGACGTCTCCATATAACATGTGTACAGCATCTATTTATGAGTACTGAAATATTTTAGCATAGTTTTATATCACCAGAATGAAACCACCCTTGCAAACTTTCCTATATTTCTAATGGAATTAATATAATTTAGTCAACCTTGAATTTTATGATCACTTTTAACTTTTAAATCCAAACAAATTCTAAACAATGCATTCAATTGACAGAGAAGTACAAAAACAAATTATGAAAAAACTTATTTTATATTTTGTCCTAAACCCTCAAAGTTTAAATCTACTTTTTAATCTGCATAGAATATAACATTTATTAAAAAATAAAAATAGGACCAAAACGTTAACTTTAATTTGTTTTAAATCCTTACCAAAGGCGCCATCATGGAGTGCAAATCTCTAGACATATTTAGGAATCGAGTCCCCCCCGTTCTGAGTACGTTTGTCTCTTCTCGGCTGCCGTTGCTCTACAGGGATTGGTGGAAGTAGAAATATGGCGGTGTTTGAGTGACTGCGAAAATATTACGATGAGATATTAAATTCGTATATTTACGATTTGGGTTTATTTGGTGTTATCGTCTGGTCGGGTTAAAATAATCGCTGTGAATCATCAGTTTTACCTGCTAGCTAACAGCTGTTAGCAAAACCGGTGAGTGAGGCTCCAGCTAACGAGCGGCTAATTTATGCTTCATAAAATGAGTTGGAAATGGAAAAGTGTTGTGCCTTTAGCTCCCTTTTTGTTTTTGAATCTCGTTAAGTACTTCAATGTTTTCTCTTTTAGTTGTGACCCTGAAAACTCTACTGTTATCACGCAGAAAACACATAAATGTTTCAAAGCTCGTCTCCATCGCAGTGTAATTTAAGGTCTCGTTGCTCTCCGCATTGAGTTGTATTGTTTAGTGTGTCTTATTGCTGACGTCATGCTCATAACTCGGTTCTTTCATTACTGATTCTTGACTCTGCATTTGGGCCTCTGTATTCAAATGCTAACATTTCTATTTTTCTTTATTGTTACAATTATTTATTATCTTTACAGAAAAAGATTTTTAATATTTAATAATCAGTTGTATATTCAATAGTAAACGAAATATTGAAAAGGTATGTGATTTTTGATGATTATTCTGTTATGCATGTACAGGTTTATTAGATGTTTTACAGATCACTCATTGAATCCGTTCTCACTTTTAATAGCCCATCTTGGTACATCTTCTAAACCTTGTAATTAGGCCCCTGCTGGCCATTTATCACACAATAATGAATGTAAACTTTCTTTCCTTTTTCAGCTAACAACATGCCTGCCTTTCGGCAAGTGGGAGAGAAGCAGCTTCCAAACCCGGTCCTCTGTATGGCATGGTCTCCAAAGAGGGATCTGATAGCTCTGGCCAACACAACTGGGGAGGTGACTTTAAATCCCTAACTGTTCTGAATCAAGGTGACTGTTTCCTGTTGTTTGGATGGTTTATTATTGTGATTTTCAACAGGTGCTACTGCATCGCTTGGCTAGTTTCCACCGGGTTTGGAGCCTACCACCCAGTGAATATACTGGAAAGAAGATAACCGCACTTGCTTGGAGGCCTGATGGCAAAAGTAAGGGATTTTTTTTTTATCACATTTTTGTCTTAATGGAATTGTGAGAATTTGTTTTTTGTAACCCCAGTATTGGCCTTCAGTCTTGGAGACACCAAGCAGGTTGTCCTTTGTGGGGTTGAGAAAGCAGAGATCCTCCACATGTTTCCAGTGCAGAGTCCTGTAACCTGTATGAACTGGATGGAGGTGATGGAGGAGAGCAGGTAATCAGGAAGCTCAACAAACATACCACGTTCTGTGAAATCTTGTCAAAGCTGATATGAAGGATTTTTTTGTGTGTGATTCAGTGTCCTCAGCTCCTTTTACACTTCAGAGGATGAATCTAAACTTTTTCTTCCTAAATTACCAACTCTTCCCAAGAGGTAAAATTAAAAATGTTGTCACAAGAAAAGACATTTTGAATTGACTGGCCTGATATTTGTCCAAACTTTTGTTTTCAGCTACAGCACAACTTCAAAGATCTTCAGGTGGGACATCTTTTTTTTTTATCATAGATGTATGTGGCATGTATAGCACAAACAGAAACTGACTGCATTCATTTCTGTTTCACAGTGAGGAGAAGTCTGATGAGATACTCAACCTCCTTGGAGAAGTGAGGTAAATATGGTTAGAGTCACTTACTGCCAGGAGCAAATGGACATCCTTAAGATATTGGAATTTTTATTTATGGGAACCAATGAAAGCTGTCTCCATGCAGACTAAATGTACTTGTTCTTGGAGGAGATGGTGGAAATGTGGAGCTGTATGCGTACGGGATGTACAAGATTGCAACGCTGGATGGGGTAAGGCAGCTCTGTTTGTTCAGATGAGTTGTTCCATTTGTCGTCTGTAAAAAAAATTTACCAAAAATGTTTTTAAGTGACTCTAAAGTTAGCATAGATATTTGAAATCATAAAAATTCTAATTTAAATGCAGGAAAAAAGTAGCTAATTATGCCAAAAATCTTTAGTAGACGGCATTAACGGATTTGACTGTGACTTTAAGTGATGAACTTTCTACAGGTTTCAGGAACATGTCGCAGTCTGAGTCTGTCGAGTGACCTCAAGTCTCTGTCTGTCATCACAGAAGTCAAGTCTGCTGACAGCAGCGCAGACATCTGTTACGTCCAGGTGAGATGGACACGTTCCTCCTCCACACTTTGTTTTTCTTTCCTTTAACTCTAACTTCCCTCCTTGTGTTTCAGCTGGACACAGGATTGTTGTCGGACTGTTTGCCTGAACTCACCAGGATGGCGCGTAAGTTCACTCACATCTCCACCCTGATGCAGTACCTGCACCTGTCACTCACCTGCATGTGCGAAGCGTGGGAGGACATCCTCCTGCAGATGGATCATCGTCTCACTAAGTTTGTTCAGGTCAGTTGTTTTTGTTTCCTGTCAGAGTTTTTCCTGGCAGACCACCACACTTCCTGCCTGCTGTGTGAGTTTGTTGGACAATTAGCAGAATTTAGCATGTGTGCTTATTAGTGATGGGATTTATAGCTCTTTCAAGGCGGCTGCTCGTTAGTTGTTCGTCTACCTTAAAGAGCAGTTCAAAAGACTAGATCCCTTGAACGAAGCCATGGGGGTGTATTTGGGAGCAACGTGTTCCTCCGGTGTCCATGAGGGCGCGCGGAGAGTGGGTGTCACAGCAGTGGTGGGGGTTGAGCGGCTAGGGGGGTTGTCGTTACAGGAAGACCAGATGAACGGCTCTCCACGGGGACTCGGCTCTCATCGTTCACTTTGAAATCTCATTCAAAAGATTTGATTTGTTCGTGAACGTCCCATCACTAGTGCTTATAAATTACACAATTTTCAGTTTTTCTGTCTTTATCGCAACCAATTTTGTTTTTATGTTTTAACCCTCTGGAGGCAGGCGTTGCAGATTTGCCTACCTGGTTACTCCACACACGTGTTTCATGAGCATTTTTTAACTCCGAAGTTCCCCTGAAGGACTTAGTTGTTCGTCCTTTTATCGAAACTCATTTTGAGCCTGAGAGGGTTAAGAGTTCAACACTTGAGGGAGGAAGACAGAGCAGCTTTTTCTAGCTATGCTGCAAACATACGGTCTGACTAAAAGCAGCTGTAGCATGAGGTGTGAGAGAGTTGCTACTAAAAGAGATTTTTGTTTGCTCAGATTAATCTGGCAGAAAACACAGACCGTCACTACATATCCAGTCTCCTGTTTTTGCAGGAAAAGAACACAAGTACCCAAGTCCAAGATGAGTTTTTGGAGCTCCTGTTGTGGGGACAGTCGAGGTTAGGAACGTGTTTCTGTTGTAATGCCTAGCGTCCAGCAGATGGGAGCAGTTCATCAGGAGTTGGTTTCAGGGTTTTGTTATTGAGTTTTTCTTCTCGTCTGCTCTGTTTCCAGTCCTGAACTACAGGCTCTCCTCATGAACCAGCTGACTGTCAAGGTCAGATAAGATCAACTTATTTAATTCAGAGATGTGTTCATTAAACGCTGAGGAGTTTCAGATCTAATCAAGGGATTTATATTAAAATCAGTTATTTTGTGTGTTACAATGCCCTCCTAGGGTCTGAAGAAGCTCGGTCAGTCTATTGAGTCTTCCTACTCCAGCATCCAGAAGCTTGTGATCAGCCACCTGCAGAGGTATTTTATCATAGCATCTAAATGCTACCTCGTTTGTTTTTATTTGTAATCGTTCTGTGTTTTCTCCAGCGGCTCTGAGGCTCTGTTGTATCACCTCAGCGAGGTGAGGGGAATGTCCCTGTGGAAGCAGAAGTTTGAGCCTCTCGGTTTGGATTCAGGAGCTATTGATGGTAGAAGTCAAATAAATAAAAGTCCTAACTATTCATATTGGCCTTTTGTTGTTAGTAAAGGTGTTTTTGTTTTGCAGGTGCAATCACGGCTGTGGGCTCGTTCTCTCTCAAAGCCAATGAGCTGCTGCAGTAAGCTTGCGACCTTAAACGTGAGTCATTTCAAAGTGTTTCCACAAAATGCGTCCTTTATTTTGTCTTTTAGGGTGATTGACAAGAGTATGAAAAACTTCAAAGCGTTTTTTCGATGGCTGTATGTAGGTGAGAATGAAGTTTTTTAGTTGCAGTTACTGCATATGATTTAGTTTGAGTGTTTTCGGTTTTGTTTATGTGCTCACGCTGTGTTTTGCCTCATGAAGCAATGCTACGAATGTGTGACGAGCATGTGCCCCCAGAGCTGAATAAGGTGGGATTTAATGGGAGACGAGGGGCTGTGGGGCTTCATGAAGTGGCTGTACAGTTTCATTGTGCTGTTTGGTTTCCTCCTCAGATGACTCAGAAGGACATCGCCTTTGTTGCTGACTTCTTGTCTGAACATTTTAGTGAGGTGAGGCGAGTTCATGAGTGGTGCTTGCTTGTTGTCATGCTGTTTATAAACTTGCTTGATAAATAAATGTGGTGCGGAATAGTATCAGTAGTATTTTATTTAGTAGGGATTTTAAACCTGATTTCACTGTTTAACAGAACGAGGAACTCTTTAACCGTAAGGGGAAATACTTCAACGTAGAGCGAGTTGGTCAGGTGAGGGCTTTTGTTACTGAACAGTTTAGAAAACATATCAACATTATCTTCTTACCTTGTGGTGGTTTGTCTTTGTTTTGGACGCTTTACAGTACCTGAAGGATGAAGATGAGGACCTGGTGTCTCCTCCCAACACAAAGGGTAACCAGTGGCTCAGGTTTTTACAGGAGAGCACACACCTGAAAGGTAAGTGATGATTTTGAGTTTAGGTGCCTAATTGAACTTTTGCAGAAGGTAAAATGTTTTATTTGGCGTTTTATTTTGTGGGATACAAAAATAACGAAATCCTTCCTCTTTAGAGAGTCCTCTGCTGTTCCCATCATATCCTCAGAAGTCCCTGCACTTCGTCAAGAGGATGATGGAGAATGTGATTGAACACTGCCTCCAGAAGCCTGCTGTAAGTGTTTGTGTGCCGTTTCTTTTCTCGTCAGTACGAACAAGCATCCCGTCGGCTCTGCAACACTATCACTCTTAATTATGTTGCCTTGTTTGCAGGAAGTAATTGGAAAATCTGTCAAACAAGCAGTCTTCCTTCCTTTGTACGCCATTTCAGAGAAGTAATGTCCCATTTGTCTTTTTATTGTCATTGTTTAACATAGTTAAAATTTAAAAGGAAATGTAATTAATTTGATGAATTTTTTTTCTCCTTTAGGCCAGAAAACACTCCACGACTGTTTGAGCTTCCATCTTTGTGCGTGAAACCCAAACACGTCAGAGCTTTGTTTCTGTAATAACAAGATTGGTGTTTGTATTCATGGTTTAAAAAACATTTTTGTGTGTGAACACACAGGTGGAACGATAAAAAAAACAAAATGCACTGTGTTGTGTTCTGCATGCCAGACATTTCTCCATGTAAGCTCTACCTGCTACAAAAAGGAACAGACCCAAACAGGTACGCTGTAAGGATTCAGTGCATTTCCTTTTTAGCAGTTTTTTTTTTCTTAGTTATAACCAAATAGTCCTGTTTCTGCAGACACATCCCTAACAGTTTCATGTCAGTGGACCTCAGCCTTTACCATGACAACGCAGATGATGATGGTGCTGCAGCCCAGTGAGTCCAGCTCACCATGGACGCATCAGCTGTTTGAAAAGCGCTGATTACACTAATTTACCATCAGTTTCCTATTCAGGTCCCATTGTGCTTATAGCTGCCTGGATGCTCGTTTCTATGACGACCAGATGCTAACAGTGGTCTTGCAAGGATCGGAGGAACATAACAGCAGGCGTATCCTGGCGCAGCTCTCTCTTGCCTCGAGCTTAAGCTGTGACGCTGAGTTCGTCCTGGAGCCCAGTATGAGGTGTGTGTTTTCTACCATTTTGTGCCTTTTACTATAAATGTTACTGACATCAAACCCAAAACCATTCAGGAAAACAAAGACGTGCTCTTGGATTTAAGCTTTTTCAAATGGGATCTAAATAAAATGAACTGGAAAATAAGTAATGTGATTCCTGTAACTATAACATTTGGCATCACCTGATTAAAGTGTATGTGTTTGATGTCGCTAGACTGGACCAGCAGTGCAGTACCATCCCATGCCAGACTCTGGTGTTGGGGAATCAGTGGCGAGAAATGGAAAACATGAAGGCTGAGTTTGTTGCTGTCAATGGAATCCGCAAAGTGGCCTGTGTGGTAGGTTTGTCGCGTGTGTTTGACATTGTTAGCCTTGACACTAAACCACTGGGCTGCATGGTGGCGCAGTGGTTAGCAGTGTTGCCTCGCAGCACGAAGGTTGCAGGTTCGAAACTCGGCTCGGCTTTTCTGCGTGGAGTTGCGTGTTCTCCCCATGCGTGCGTGGGTTTCCTCCGGGTACTCCGGTTTCCCCACAGATCACAACACGCCCTATAGGTTATAAGTTGTAAGTCGCTTTGGTAAAAAGCGTCTGCTAAATAAATAAACATAAATAAATAAACACTGAAGCCACTTATGGGTCAGGTGCCTTCTATTACATGATCTGGGTATGACTTCAGGTTGAGATGTCGGATTATTTGTGTAACTGATGTGATCAATAAGGTCAGATTTGTTTGAGTCTATATATTATTTAGTTTGCATGAGTTCTAGGTTACCAAAAAATGTATTTTTCTCCCTGTTTTGGCAGCTAAGTGCCAACTTCAGGCACGTACGTGTCTTTGAGATGGATGTAGAAGATGAGGACGACGAGGGAGTTGACTCTCTGAATGTCAGCGCTCAGGATGGGCTGGCAACTACCATCACCAGACAAGGACCGGTAGAGGAGTCTGAAGGTGAAGCGAGAGAGCAGGAAGGAGAAGCGGTACAAAATACTGAAGAGCAACTTGAGTCGGAGGAGGCCCTGTAACTCCTGTGATACCAAAACTAAAAAGCTGCCTGAATAAAGGACTCAACTTTATCTTCTTATGTTGTTGGAGCAGTCTGAACTATACAGCTGTAATAATTATTAATAAAAGTTTATTTTAGCGATGATTATGGTATTGATTGTATCTCTTAAAGAACTAGGTATTATGTAAAACTAGCCTAATTTAGACAACCTTAGCCCTAGATGCTGTAAACGTGTGGGTCGGTGGAAGAGTGTTTATCTGCATATTGGAAGTGGATTGATGCTGGTCTCCCTGTACATCATGATGTGTTCTTGGTCAACACTGAAACCATGAAGCTCGGGTGTGAGTGTGAATTTAACTAGCAGTAAAAGTGCCTTGAAAGGTTTAATGACTAGAAAAGCCCTTTATAAATCAAATTAATCAATCAAAGGTACTTTATTAATCTCAGAGGGATTGTCTATAAAATGTCAATCTGATATTGAGAGTTCCTCAAGGATGTGTATTCGGCAGAGGTGTGGACTCAAGTCATTATTTTAATGACTTCTGACTTGACTTGATAAAATCTATAAAGACTTATGACTTGACTCGGACTTGAACACCAGTGACTTGCAACTTGAATCGACTTATCTGTTGACTTGATGATGACTTGAGCATATTTGATATTTTAGCAGTAAAGTGCCACGACATGGACAAAAGTCTGGGTTTGATCTTGTACGGCTAACGGCAGCAGCTCTTTGTTAATAATCAGTTTCAGTTGCACTTTCTGCTTGTTTGAGCAAGTAAATTACGCTTTAAGAAGCTTTATTCTGGAATGTATTTATTATTGTCATTAAATTGAAGTTGGACAGATGACTTGGATTTGACTTGAACTTCCACATCATTGACTTTGAACTCGACTTGGACTTGACTGGAAAGACTTGTGACTTGCAAAGCAGTGACTTGGTCACACCTCTAGACTCAGTCCTTTTTACTTTAGTGCGGTGACAGACTACTGCCTATGTCTATTCACTTCCACTGATTAAGTTATCTGAAGATACAACAGTGGTAGAACCAAGGCTGGATTATAATACGGGCAAACTGGGCACAGGCCCAGGGGGCCACAGCCACAAGGGGGCCCAATCTTTTTTTTATTTTTTATGCAGCAGTTTTAACGTTGGAGAAAAAAGTTGACAAGTTATTAAACTTGCGCCCACATTTTCTAAGTTAAAACACATTTCTTTTAACAACAGTAGTTTTTGCATCTTTACTGCCTGCTTCAGCCCTCTCCCCCCTCCCCCTGCTTCAGGCCCCCTCCCCCTGCGCAGTGGCTGCAAACTCACTGATGCGCCTGCAGCCTCTCGGAGTTCCTGCTGCTCTAAACATTAAAATAATTATTTCATTTTCTGTTCCTCACTTCTGATGACCTTCAATGGTGTCTGTTTGTTGCAACCAGCAGGTACAAAAACTAACTTGTTTTTATTTGACTATTTTTCTGTCCTGTCTGTTTATTATCTTCCTGCAAGAGAAACTGCTACCTGGGTTCATATATATTCACCTTATGAGTTACTTTTGAACTACAGTTCTAAAAGATCTACCGACCGCAAATATAGCGGACTGCGCGCCGGCCGCATCAGTGCAGAGAAGTCTCCGGAGGATGAAACGAGTGATGCGCTCGCTCCGCAGCAGCGAAGCGTATCAGACACAAATAAAAGACAGAAAGCATGAAAGGATATGAGCTGACACGAACAATCGCGTGTTACGTTTGTTTTTGAGGTGGCGACAATTTGATAATGTTACTGTGGCCGTGCTCAGGACACATCTGGAGCGCATCAACGATCAGAGCTCTGCGCCTCTCAGCTCTAAATAATCCCCACATAAGTAATTTAATATAAGCAGTACCAGGATCGTTTTCGGGCTAAAAAAATAGTCTACAGTCCATCTTCCCTGATGTGTTTGTGGCCCTGTGGATTTTTCTAACTCTACCAGTTACAAATTGTAAAGGAGAATGATCATTTTCACTAATGGCAAGAATAAAAAATGAACTGAGAGCAACACAAACTCAACAGCGCCTCACTGTCACTGATGGCTATTGAATCTCAGCTTGTCAGGAATCGGGACTTTGATGACATTGTAAATGAATTTACTAATAGAAAGGCCAGAAAGCAGTTTTTCTGAAGGCAAGAGGAGACCAACAAGAGGAGACAGGAGTCAAGAGGAGGAAGGAGACAGGAGATGAGAGGAGGGAAGAAACAGGAGGCAAGAGGAGGAAACAGGAGACAAGAGGAGGAAGGAAACAGGAGACAAGAGGAGGAAGGAGACAGGAGACGAGGAGGAAAGAGACAGGAGACAAGAGGAGGAAGGAAACAGGAGACAAACAAAAAACATGCAGATATTTCATCTTTGCAAACTTTTCAATAACTGTACAAACTTTTAAATAATCCTGCATTATTTTCTGTTGTAGTGTGACAGTGGGATCTGTTTTACAGCAGACTCACTCGCCCCCACTGTCCCACAGATTGACAACATTTTTGTTATTACAGACAGAAGAGAAGACCGGAGCGCTGTGAGGAAGAGAGAGACAGAAAAAGAGGAGAAAAGAGAGGACAGAGGAAGAAAGACATATGAGTGAGGTACAACAGGAACATCATCAGGTATGAGTGTTTGTGATTAGGTTATAAAACTATTTTGACCTGGAGGTAAATGCTTTTGTATCAACATGAGTAAGCGATTTTTAATATTGACAATGTTATGACATGTCTAAAAAGTGCTAATGGGTGACAGTAATGTTGGGGGAAGCCCGGTGGGGGCGGGGCGGGGTCCTAAGCACATTGTGCCCAGGGGACCCTGCAATGATAATCCGGCCCTGGGTAGAACTCAGTGAAGATAAAACATGCTGGAACAGTTATGTGTGCTGTGATGAGGACGGCAATGTTACCAAAACAAGCTGCATCACAAATCTGGTAAGGTAATTTGTCAGTGAAAGTGACAAAGACCTGTTAGACTGGCTTAAATGAGTATCATTGGAACTAAAATATATATATTTGAGAAAAAAGTCTGCTCATAAGCGACTTGGCCCCGTTCCACCTCGAAGGTAAATGCAAAACTTCAAGACTGTACGGCTGCTCCAAGACACTACCTTTGATCGGGACGAGAACCCCCTTATTTCATTTTATTATATATTTCTAATAAATACAAAGACAAACTTTTGAATGTATGAATATTTAAACTTGAAGGTTTCCTCTTGTTTAAATCGCACATTTATGTGTAATTACATTGTTTCTCTGGAGGAATGTGGTGTCTACCGTCTGTTTTCAGTGACCCTCCAACCCAGCTCACGTGATTGTAGGTGCGCGAGCAAATAGGTGTTGGTTACGTGCTCGCTCTCGATATTGAACGCAGTGACGTAGTTGTCCGCCGCCTGTTGGTCTTTCACAGTTGGTGACGAGTAGCGAATACGAAAATGGCCTCGACCCTTCCCGTAGACTCTAATATCCAGAGAAGATGACGGCGATAAGCTCGTTAAGTCGTTTAAACTCTAAACTGTCTTCTTGGAACACGTAGGTAAAGGAAAAGGAAGGGGCAAAAAGAGAGCCCCGGCCAAGAAAACGCTCCAAAGCACCGAATATTTCCGTCAGGCTGAGGATTCACCATGGAGGATATCAACTCTAATATCAACGCGGACTTGGAGGTGCGGAAGCTCCAGGACTTGGTGAAAAAACTCGAGCAGCAAAACGAACAGCTTCGGAGTCGGTCCACGTCGTTGCCTTCGTCCGGTGGACTGTCCGGGAACCACAGACCTCACAGCGCCGGCTACGACTCGTCCCTGTCAGCCAGTCTGGCCGGCTTCCCTGGGGTGGGGTTCGGCGGAACGGGCGGCTACGGGGGTCTGCTGGAGAACAGCCGCTGTTCGAGACCCAGGCTGTCTTATGACGGCATCAGCTTCATGAGGGCGTATGACTGCGAGGGGGCTTCTGCTGCCACCGCGGTGTCGATCATGAACTCACTTTACCCAGACAACGCCGGGGAGTTGACGGCTGAAGGGGAAACCTCTATCCTGGATGAAGTGGACATCTTAGATCTTGAAGACATGGATTGTCTGAACGAAGACGAGGACAGCTGGTGAGTGATGGGCTTGTTCTGGAGGAAACTTGCCTGTTAGTGTCTCCAGGGCCAGATGTCAGCTGCTCCACACATTACCTCCACAGCACACGCCTGGCATAAGCAATCGTCCCACCTTTGTTTTTAATCTGAAGTCATCCCACAGAAGGAGTCCCGTTAGGGACAACTAAAGTGTGTTTTTTGGCACTTAGCATGGGCGAGGCCATCCAAAGACTGGTTTTTCACCAACCATTGTCCCACCAGTCTGCATTTTTCTAGTCCACTTGCTGTTAATGATCAGCTGTTGGGAGTCAGGACCCGGAGGTGTTGTGATGTGGCAGACAGCTCAGCTTTCCTTGGGAGGGGTGGCAAGAAACCGGGCTTGTTTTCCTGCCCAGCAGCCATGTGGGAGAGTAGTCATGGTTTTCATTCCTCTGAATTCCCTTTAGCCCAGCAGTTGGCACACAGCTACAAGTGTTCTGCAGCACCGAGAGGGAAATGGTACTGAAGCAGGACGGTCATTAGGCTGGAATAGAAGCTCTGGCTGTGACATTAGGATCACTGCAAGCATTGGATTTGCAGAACAAATTGCCTTTATTTAAAGAAAGTGGGTCACATCAGGGTATGTTTTGGACTAAGATTCACCAACATGTTCAGCTTGTTATCACAAATAATCCCACTTTTCCATTCTTGAATTTCTCCCAGTGCATTGTGTTTATGTCAACTGGATTTCAAAATAACGATCCTTTTAAAAAAGCTTGTTTTTTCCAGGAGTGCTCATTTAAATAGTTTCTTCTGTGGTCAAGATCCTTAATGGCTATTCAATGCCCAGCCTTTGATGGAACGTATTCAAGTCAGTAATGCACCATAAGTTGTAAATATACTACAAAGTCCCTTTATTAATTATAACTAATTGGGTTTTTAATCAGTTCCCAGCTCCTGCGATCCTTGCAGCAGTGCGCCTGTGCCAGCTGCTTCTCTCCATGTCGGGATACTTTCAGATATTGCCCACTCATGCTTGGCAGAGGCCGTTTCATTTGGCCCAAGCTGTTTACTCTGCCTTTTGCATCAGATATGTGGGATTACCTCGTAGTGCCTTGATGTCGCCAGCTTCTGTCACAGACTCCCATAATCCCATGAATTAGCGAGGCTGGATTTAAAATGCACCCTGGCGCTCGTCGGTGGATGTTTGAGAGCCTTTTAACTTGTGACTGACTGTTAATGTGTTGGAAAACAAAGAAAATGTGTTCTCATGATGTCAGACTTGTATTTCCCTGCACGAGCTTTGCTTTCCCCGCAGCGTCTCCGCTTTCATCATGAAAGGCTTCCTCCTCGGCTTCCTCGGTGCTGACCAATGCTGACTCAGATTTCTCCTCTCAGTAGAAAGTCATCGTGTCTCCTCCCAGAAGCATCACCAAATATTTGCTTTACTTCTGTAACACACGGCATCAGTCCGTCCTGACGGCTCGTAGCCCTGCTTTGCTCTTTTTTGACCCCTTCGTCACTCAGTGGGTTTGGCACTTGAACTAACCGGACCTGACTAAGCATTAAAGTCAGTATTGACGTTTCTCCACTTGTACTCATTTTTTTCATTAATGTTTATTTTTTTAAATGCCGGCCTCTAGGTTTAAAATACGACTACCCTCTAGTTCTGTATGCTTTAATAAAACCAGTCTCAACCTGTCAGGGTTAGTTGGCATTAAAATAAATAAAATCAGTTGATTTTGATTATTTTAATTCTATTTTTTTACTGGAAGCGATTCTATTTAATGTGTCTTTAAAATTTGGTGAACATTTTTATTGTGTGAACTGGTGCCTTGAAAATGAACCAAACAGAACCAAAAACTGTGATCTGCTTCAAGTAATTGTTCTATTTCTTGCAGGTTATATGAAGCGAAACTCAACAGTCCCTTGCAAAAAGCCTTGAGTCCCATCGTATGGTGCCGCCAAACTCTGGACCATCCCAGTCCTGAGATCGAATCAGCCAAGCGCTCTCTCATCCACAGACTGGACCTCACCCTGTCAGGTAAACAGAGTTATCAATGTTTAATTAGCAGCATCATTAGCAGGAGTTGGTAGCATACGCTTGGGAGGCATTCATGTAGCAGAATTAGATCATTTAAATGGATACAGTTGGCCTTTTTATCTTCTACTTTCTCTGGGATTCTTGGTGCTTGAAGGCTTTTCAAAAGCATGACACGTCACTGGTAAAAAACATAAATGATGCGTTTTAAAAGCTGAGCTACATTTCTCACAGCTACCAGTAGGGTTTCTAATTTTATTCTTTACTTTAAGCATATTATTAGGGTGAAGACGAGTATTGGCAGTTCTCATAGCAGTGTGTGTGTTGATGCTTGCACTTATGGTGGTGCTAGCTTAAGTTTGTTGTATGTAAATAAACCTGGAAGGGTGTTTGTTGATTGGGAAGAGGCAGAGATTTTTGTGTCGGTTTACATAAAGCATTTCCTGGTTGTAAAAATGTAATAACGATAATTAAATACAAATAAAACTTTCAAATCTTCAACTCACGTTAAAATCACTACGCATCAGAGCTCCACGACGTTAGGAAAGCACGCAGCTGATATTTTAAACTACTACTACCCACTTGCTCTTTCAGAGAAACAATGGAATAAAACTTATTTTGGTCAAATTTAAGAAATGAGTTCACTCTACTTTGTAATATTTCTGTCCTCGCTCAGAGTCTGCTGCTAATACTGCACATTCTAGTTAAATATATCTATGTTATAGCCACTTTTGTGCTTGCTAGTGTCAACTCGCTGTAATGGCTGTCCTGAATCAGGTTTTCTCCTAAAGTAAATCAGTTGTAGATGTGCATCCAATAAAGACTGAGTCTGATTCAAATCTGTTCAATGGTTCATGGTATATTTAGCTAACACAGCAGAAATGGGCTGTTTAAAAGCACAGGAGTAAATTAAAGAAATGTCTTCTCATGTATGGTTTGCTTTCTCTGATGAAGAAGGGAAACAGAACTGTCTGATTCGTCTGGTGAATCATTACATGGCAAACACTGTAGTCCTGTGAGAACTTGGCAGATCAATGTCTGACAGATTGTCATGTGAAGTTACTGAAAAGCACCAGAGTTAGTTTAGCGTTCCCCAAATGCCCGTGAGATTAGCTGGTGTGTCTTAAATGATATTTATAGACTATTCAAACTGGAAAACTCAGAGCCTTTTATGTTGTCTGCTGTATCAAATCAATTCACTGGAATACCCCCAACACACACACACACACGCACACACACACACACACACACACACACACACACGCACGCGCATGCATGCATATCATTTATCTACCTGGCCTTCCCTGCTGTTTGGCTGAGCAGTCTCTACTTTGAGGTTTTGACTCCCACTAATTATAGTCGGTCCGTCCTCGCAGCTAAACTGAGATGGGCCGGTTCCATTTGGACTGGTATGTCCGTGTGACTGCTGGATCGTGTTGAGCAGTCTGCTGAAGGTGATCCGCTGGGGTAGACGTGATTTGTTTTGCAAGGACCAACACAAATGTCATTCACAAATAGTTTATTGGGTGGCACCTAGAATAATCCCTGTGGTCATGCAGTGAATATTTTTACTCTTATTCAGCATAAAAGATGCAAGTATTTGGTAATGTGTTGATATAAAATCACGTGCGTGTAAGCTATGAAGGCAGAGGTAAAAGTCACACTCATAACTCCATCTTGAATCCAGCTCTCACTGATGGAAACAAAGATCACATCTAACGTTTTATGTGCTAACATGCTTTTGGATTTATTTACTTTTTATGATCCACACATCTTAAGCACTTCATTCAGAGCCTATCTGAAAACCAGACACACCCATGTGGCTCCTCTCCCTCACACCCACTCTGAACAGAAGCATGGAAACGCTGTTGCCATGGCTTCAGTTTAACGTGTCACCAAAGAACCAGCAGAGACATTTTTTGTTGGGACTTTCTTGTGCAGCTATTGTTCGTCACATGTTTCAGGCCCAGCTGTCTTTGTGTGAGTATTGACCAAGCCCGTTGTCTCTGATCCCTGTTGCATAACCAACAGGAGACGCCTGGAAGTCGGTACCCTGAGTGTGCTTTACAAGTCAGACATGAGTTCAGCTTCATATCTAGATGAGTCTAAGTTACAGCGGCACAACTTTTCTTTTCTTCTGTTGATTTGTTTCAGGACAGGATCATTCAGTGTAGGGCTGCACGATATTAGGAAAACCTGCGATATTCGATAACAGTGATTAATATTGCGATGACGATATTACTTGCGATAAATAAAAACTTAACTCGGGAACAAAAATAATCGAAAACAAAGAAATAAAAAAGTCATAAAAATGAGAAATGCACAAGATGTGAGGAAAGGGAAAAAGAAAATGATCAAGGAAAGGTGATCGGTGATCCCGGGAAAAGCAGAATCAGCAGAACAAAGCTAACTCAGGTGTTTGCTAACCATTAAAGTTAAGTGCCGTCCACCTCGGGGGCGGGAATCTAACCTCCGAGAACCCACCCGATTGGCCAAATGGGTGAAGAGCTCTATTTGATTAGTTAAACGTCATGCTTCTGTTTGATTGACAGATCGCGTTATGTGAAGCAAACATATGAGCTGAACATTCATTGCGATATTTTTTGTTCTTTGCGATATGCATATCGCTCATGCTGATATCGCGATGACGATATATTTACGATATTTTGTGCTGCCCTAACTCAGTGTTGAACCATTCTGGTGTGTACCATTGATCTGGGTTGGTACGTGTATGTAAGAGGAGTCCGTTCGTATATATTTGGTCACTGGTAGGGCTGTCACGGTTGAGGAATTCCCCCTGCGGTGAATCAAGGCAGCTCAATATTGCGATATGCGATATTATTGCACCTCGTTTTTATTTATGTACTTAGCAAATTTGTTTGTTAATTACTAAACTCATGGCAATATTTCCTTTGAAACATTGTGCTTACACATTTAAAAAATGTTAGAAAAAAATACATGGCCATTTTTAACACTTTATTGAATGCAGATCAAAGGGCAGTAACGGCATTCTCTGACTGAACTTAAAAACAACATTCAGGAGGTTTAACTTTGAAATGCAAATTTGGCTGCAACATCTTCGTCTTCGTCTTCGTCTTCCTCTGCTTATCCGGGTCCGGGTCGCGGGGGCAGCATCCCAATTAGGGAGCTCCAGGCCGTCCTCTCCCCGGCCTTGTCCACCAGCTCCTCCGGTAGGACCCCAAGGCGTTCCCGGACCAGATTGGAGATGTAACCTCTCCAACGTGTCCTGGGTCGACCCGGGGGCCTTCTGCCGGCAGGACATGCCCGAAACACCTCCCCGGGGAGGCGTCCAGGAGGCATCCTGACCAGATGCCCAAACCACCTCAACTGGCTCCTTTCGATCCGGAGGAGCAGCGGTTCTTCTCCGAGTCCCTCCCGAATGTCCGAGCTCCTCACCCTATCTCTAAGGCTGAGCCCGGCCACTCTACGGAGGAAACTCATTTCGGCCGCTTGTATCCGCGATCTCGTTCTTTCGGTCATTACCCAAAGCTCATGACCATAGGTGAGGATTGGGACGTAGATCGACTGGTAAATCGAGAGCCTGGCTTTCTGGCTCAGCTCCCTCTTCCCCACGACAGATCGGCTCAGCGTCCGCATCACTGCAGACGCTGAGCCAATCCGCCTGTCGATCTCCCGATCCCTCCTACCCTCACTCGTGAACAAGACCCCGAGATACTTAAACTCCTCCACTTGAGGTAGGACCTCTCCCCCGACCCGGAGGTGGCAAGCCACCCTTTTCCGGTCGAGAACCATGGTCTCAGATTGGGAGGTGCTGATCCTCATCCCAGCCGCTTCACATTCGGCCGCGAACCTACCCAGCAAGAGCTGAAGGTCAGAGCTGGATGAAGCTAGGAGGACCACATCATCCGCAAAAAGCAGAGACGAGATTCTCCTGCCACCAAACTCGACACACTCCACACCACGGCTGCGTCTAGAAATTCTGTCCATAAAAGTGATGAACAGAACCGGTGACAAAGGGCAGCCCTGGCGGAGTCCAACCCTCACTGGGAACAGGTCCGACTTACTACCGGCTATGCGGACCAAACTCACGCTCCTCTGGTAAAGGGACTGAATGGCCCTTAACAGAAAGCCACCCACCCCATACTCCTGGAGCGTCCCCCACAGGGTGCCCCTGGGGACACGGTCATAAGCCTTCTCCAAATCCACAAAGCAGATGTGGATTGGTTGGGCAAACTCCCATGCCCCCTCCATCACCCTTGCAAGGGTATAGAGCTGGTCCACAGTTCCACGGCCAGGACGAAAACCACATTGCTCCTCCTCTATCTGAGATCCAACTATCGATCGGACCCTCCTCTCCAGTACCTTGGCGTAGACCTTTCCAGGGAGGCTGAGGAGTGTGATCCCCCTATAGTTGGAACACACCCTCAGGTCACCCTTCTTAAAGATGGGGACCACCACCCCGGTCTGCCACTCCCTAGGAACTGCCCCTGATGACCACGCAATGTTGTAGAGACGTGTCAACCATGACAGCCCTACAACATCCATAGCCTTGAGATACCCAGGACGAACCTCATCCGCCCCCGGGGCTCCGCCGCTGTGTAGTTGTTTGACTACCTCAGCAACTTCTGCCCCCGAGATCGGACAGTCCATCCCCAGGCCTCCCAGCTCTGGTTCCTCCTCGGAATGCGCATTGGTGGGATTGAGGAGCTCCTCAAAGTATTCCTTCCACCGTCCGACTATAGCCTCAGTTGACATCAGCAGCTCCCCATCCCCACTGTAAACAGTGTGAGCGAGTTGCCGCCTTCCTCTCCTGAGGCGCCGGACAGTTTGCCAGAACCTCTTTGGAGCCGATCGATAGTCTTTCTCCATGGCCTCACCAAACTCCTCCCACGCCCGAGATTTTGCCTCAGCAACTGCCACTGCTGCACCCCGCTTGGCTATCCGGTACCTGTCTGCTGCCTCCGGAGACCCACAGACCAGCCACGCCCTGTAGGCCTCCTTCTTCAGCCTGACGGCTCCCCGAACCTCTGGTGTCCACCAGCGGGTACGGGGGTTGCCACCACGACTGGCACCGGCCACCTTACGACCACAGCTAGCAACAGCCGCCTCGACAATCGCAGAGTGGAACAAGGCCCACTCGGACTCAATGTCCCCCACTGCTCTCGGGACGTGGTCAAAGCTCTGCCGGAGGTGGGAGTTGAAGACCGTCTTGACAGGTTCTTCTGCCAGGCGTTCCCAGCAGACCCTCACTATGCGTTTGGGTCTGCCAGGTCTACGCGGCATGTTCCCTTGCCATCTGATCCAACTCACCACCAGGTGGTGATCAGTTGACAGCTCCGCCCCTCTCTTCACTCGGGTGTCCAAAACATACGGCCGCAGGTCAGATGATACGACTACAAAATCTATCATCGACCTGTGACCTAGGCTGCCCTGGTACCAAGTGTACCGGTGGGCATCCTTATGTTCGAACATGGTGTTCGTTATGGCCAAACTGCGGCTTGCACAGAAGTCCAATAACAAAACACCGCTCGAGTTCAGATTAGGTGGGCCGTTCCTCCCAATCACACCCCTCCAGGTCAAGCTGTCATTGCCCACGTGAGCATTGAAGTCCCCCAGCAGGACAATGGAGTCCCCTGATGGAGCACTATCTAGCACTCGTCCCAGGGACTCCAAAAAGGGTGGGTACTCTGAACTGATATTTGGCCCATAAGCACAAACAACAGTCAGGACCCGTTCCCTGACCCGAAGGCGCAAGGAAGCTACCCTCTTGTCCCCCGGGGTAAACCCCAACACACAGGCAGAGAGTCTCGGGGCTAACAAAAAGCCAACCCCAGCCCTCCGCCTCTCACCCGGAGCAACTCCAGCAAAGTAGAGTTTCCAACCCCTCTCCAGGTCTCGGGTTCCAGAGCCAATGCAATGTGTTGAGGTGAGTCCGACTATATCTAGCCGGTACCGCTCAACCTCTGCCACAAGCTCCGGCTCCTTCCCCGCCAGCGAGGTGACGTTCCATGTCCCAAAAACTAGTTTTCTTGTCCGGGGATTGGACCGCCAAGGCTCCCGCCTTGGTCTGCCACCCAATTCGCATTGCACCGGACCCTTCATGTTCCTCCTGCGGGTGGTGGGTCCACAGTTGGACGAGCCCATGTATCCGGTTCGGGCTGGGCCCGGCCGGGCCCCATGGGCGAAAGCCCGGCCACCAGGCGCTCGCTCACGGGCCCCAACCCCAGGCCTGGCTCCAGGGTGGGACCCCGGTAACCCTCCGGGCCGGGTACTCCGACTCTTCGTTTTAACCGCCATGAAAGATCGTTCGAACTGCAACATCTAACAGAAATTTTAAAAATTGCCCTACTATCTCCTCGATCAGCGCGGACTTTACCTCTCAGCATGCGCTGTCGCGAGATTTAATCAAGTGCGGTAATTGCGGTGGCACGTCATGCAGCGCGGTGGGTTTCTTAATATCGCGATATATTGTTCTTGCGATTATTGTGACAGCCCTAGTCACTGGAGTACTGCCATGTATGCTGGCTGTATATTCAGTTGTTGAGAAAAATCAGCTGATGCTGTGTTTAGAAAACAAAGGCCTACATGTTGTTGACACTCATCAGTAGCTGATCTGTGCAGATGGCAGTAAGGTGCACATATTTCCTAAATAATGCAGAAGAACAGAGTGCAGAGCTTGAGTTGGAGAGAGGGAGGGAAAGTGAAAGAGGCTGAATGCATCCTGAAAGGCTGCCTTCCAGTCACCACAGAGCTGTGTAAACACGCCCAGTCAGCAGGAGAAGGAAACCAAAGGGTGGGAATGTGAGTTCTCTGAGACACCAACAATCCAAACCACCAGAAGTTTCCCCGTGACATCATGATGGACACCACAGAGCCCTAACTGGAGCCTTCTGACTGCTGCAGGCTTACAGAGAATGGCATTGTGCTGCATGCGTGTGGACTGAATGGGACACATTGTGGGGTGTTTTCTACTACTGACGCAGGAACTCTGTCAGGCTCACACTGACCTTCTGGTCTAAGAAAGTCCGCTGGACTTGTGGAGGGGCTGACTCCCTTAGCTCTGATACAGCTGGTGTTTGTTAGTTAATGTACTCCCTCAGGACTACTGAAGGGACACACTTTAATAATAAACAGAACAAACAACATTGAGAGACACAGTTTCCTCCCCATCATTAATAATACTATATGACTGGACAACTATTTCTTTACATTCAGCAGATTTCATGTGGAACAAATGGTAATTACCAGTAAAGCCGACAGTAGCAAACAAATATCTGCTGTAAGTTCTTATAAAGTGCAGAATTCATATCTGCATTGAGTTTAAATTGGTTCTGTTGTCTTTTCTTATTACATCATCACAATTCATAAGAGTAACTTTAAAACAGTATCGCTGCATTTGGATCTTCAAGTGGTTTTAATTGGCAGTTTTTTTACAGAACAATGTCTGTAATAGGGTTTGATTTACAAGTAACAGGCACACACCGAGAAAAGGGTAGGTTATAGTTCTCCACACACACACACACACACACACACACACACACACACACCTGTCTGATGGATGATGTTGTACGTAGGTCTACAGAGGGTGTTAAAACCTGACTAGTGATTGAGATGGTCCAGCTGCTGCTGACCATCTTCACGTTGTTTTCCTGCTGGTGTGTTTGCAGTCTCACTTCTACTTCTGAGCTGGGAAAGTGAATGTGTACAGTTTATTTATTTAGTTTGAACACATTTGTTTTCCTTTGCTGAATGAAATCAAGTCATTACATCATCAAACCTTTAAAAGGTGCATTTGTTCTACCCAACACAAACCAGAGCTACTTGGCGTACATTATGTGGACGTGTGATCTCCTAAAACACAAAACCAGCTTTTAAATCAGAAGAAAACTTGTTTGTATTTCTGTCTGTTGACTCTGCAGCCAACAAGCGCAGGAGCGTGTATGGAAGTCCCTATCCGCAGCAGGGATATGGAAGTCCCTACAGCACAAATGCAGCCAACAGCCCCTACAGCAGTGGCTTCAACTCCCCCTCCTCCACCCCCTGCAGAGTGCCCATTGTCCGACAGCAGCTAATGCCCAGCAACACTGGTATACCTGTCGGTTCCATCTGCGGTGCTGAATACTTGTTTACTAGCAGGCTAAAATGTTCCCTCACCAGGGCACCAGCGGAATACAGCAGAAAGGAACCCTCCAGCCGTCAGCCCACAGTCATCAGTGGACAGCGAGCTGAGCACTTCAGAGATGGATGAGGACTCCGTGGGCTCCTCGACCACCTACAAGCTCAATGATGTCACTGACGTCCAGATCCTGGCTCGCATGCAGGAAGAAAGTACGTGGCTGTGGCTGTCCTGTCGTTGTCTGCGGTTTTCTGTGTCTTACAGCATTTTTGTGGCTCGACAGGTTTGAGGCAGGACTATGCTGCAACCGCCTCCAGGCGCAGTTCTGGTTCATCTTGCCACTCGCTGCGGCGTAGTACATTCAGTGACCAGGAACTAGATGCACACAGTCTGGAGGACGAGGAAGAGGCAGTGCACCTGGCCATCCCCCTGCCCTCCAACCGCTTCAGCCCCTCCCCTCGCCACTCTCCTCACGTCTCTCCCAGGAACTCCCCCCGCTCACGCTCCCCTGCCCGCTCCATAGACTACAGCCATGGCCGGGGCTCCCCACAGCCCATCATCAGCCGCCTGCAGCAGCCTCGCCACTCGCTGCAGGGCCATGGCCACGATCTGCAGACCAGCGTGGTCAAGAATGAAGGTAATCAGAAGCAAGACGAGGAGCAGGTCTTCAGATCCTGCTCTTCATGTTCAGCTCATCTTCTGTGCTGCTGATTTCAGAGAAGCTGCGGCGCAGTCTTCCCAACCTCACACGCTCTTCTGCTGCCGTGACCGCTCAGCCACCAGAACCTGTCAAGAGCAGCCGCAGCTGTGAGTCCAACCTCCAAGTGCCAAACGGTGGCTCTCCCCGACACCAGAACCAGTCAGCTAGTGAGTATTACCACACAGCACCAGGGCTGCACACAGCTGCACTAATCACCATTTATCTGCTGAGTATTTATTTTTCCTCTGAGCTCGGGAACATGAGAGGCTGTAGTCTGATGCTGGTGACTGTGTGAGTGGGGGCTGCTGGGACTTTCCTGCTTTGTAGTGACATGACTTTGGTGTTTGATCATTCCTGCTGTTAACAGCCTATTCACATTAAACTTTCCTCTCATTGAGATCCTCAGCATCGCTGACAATCCACACTTACTCTCACTGCTTTTCTCACTAACATCAGTTCATTCAGTCCAATATTAAGTTATGTTTGCTGTTGCAAGTCCATCAACTGTAATCACAGACTGCCTTAATGTAATCCTGTAAACGGTAATGGTGTTGACTTCATCCAGATCCTGTAATCCTGCTCTGGCAGCAGAGATGGCTAGGAGAGGGGTCAAAGGTCAGCTTCCTGCTGCTTTAATGTGTTGATCCTGTTTTAAGAGATCAGAGGATGTCTGTAGTGTGTAGAGGTCACTGTTGGCTCTTCTGTGTGTTTCTACATGAGCTTTGGCTGCTGAGGGCTTGTGGGACTCTTAAATCGTAAAGCATGTGTTCCTCAAACAGCCTCTTTTCTTCTGTCTGCTCAGACTTGTGGATTTATAGTCCAATCTATCCTCTTTTTAAAAAGTAGCTTTGAGATGTTTGTCTCTAAGGCCCCCTAGTGGTCTCAAGCTGCACCCCAGACTCAAAAAGCCACCCAGATTCACCAGTAGATGTAGCTCTCCGGCAAAACGAAGTCAGACTCCCATGCTGACATGTCCCTGTCTTCCAGTTACAGCTCCACTCCAGAGATACGCCGCGTCTTCTCACTCGTCTCCAAAACCCAAACAGCTCCTCCAAAGGCCAACTGCCCTTCGAGGTAACAGCCTACTTCTGCATCTAGAGGCTGTGGGGTTGACCCCACAAACAGTGTTGATGACACCCAACACAGCAGGCTGTGTAGTGGAGTTGCAGACCTATCGATGGATGGATGAGCTGTATTTGTGGAGCTGAAGTGGATGAGGGGAAAGTGCATTGATGCACTTGTTTCCAGCTTTTTATCTGCGAGCCTGGGAGCTAATGCTGTGTGTTCTACGTGTGCTGTGCTGAGCTCTAAGTGAGTATCGGGGAAATGAGAGGGTGAGGCAGAGTGCTTGTTGGCAGCATGACCATTTAACCTCCTCTCAGGTACTCACGGGGGGTCACGTCAGGACTGACTAACTTCTGGTAGGAAATTTAAAATCCCAGTGGGCACAGTAATGCTGCTAGAAGAAAGATGGCTCTATCCTGTGTGAAGCCTGGGCAGGTACAATGTTGGGAAATGTATTTGCACCCGTACAGATGTCTCCTGTCCGACGTAAGAATGGAGCTTCTCTGAACCGGAGCTGGAACAGAAACATGACTGAAAACTGCTTTAGCTGGTTTATCTTTTGGACAGGCCCTGTATTAACACGACACATTTATTGATATGGGCCTTGAATAATCAGTGTTACACTGAATGCAGAACCTGTTGTGTGTGTGTGTGGGGGGGGGGGGGGGGATCATGTGATCAGAATCAGCTGTGGAACCAGATGAATCTGAGACGTGGGGTTGGTGTTGTTCTGCTGGGACTTCATCCAGCCTCCAGCTGTTGTCCTAAAGCACAGATGTGGTCTTCTCCTAGTTCCTCTGGTCACAAACTCTGGGAGGAGAGCTTGTTTAATAAGATCTCCTCCCATGAAACTGCTGTCCTCCAGCTGCTAGCTTGTTTGCTGCCTTCAACTTCAAGATTCTTCATTCTCCCCAAGGGGCAACAAACGTGCTTCATAACAACATGTCAGATTGTTTAAAAGCCTCAGCACATGAGGAATAAAGAGTTCTTCAGCCTGTTGGTCCTGCACCATGAAACAAATCCCTACGTACTGACGCTGGTAGCCATATTGCTCCCTGACCATGTGACTTGGTGGGCCATGTGACTCATGGAGGTTTGCTCAGAGGTGCAATAATACCTAGCTGCGGACATTGCCCCGGCCAACACTCCCCCCACACACACACACACAAAACACCCCCCCCCCCCAGCTGAGCTACCCCCGAGCTCTACAACGGCGAACAACACAATTGAAAGAAAATAAATAAAGAAATAGTATTAATGTAATTAAACAGACAGGACTCCAGGTTTAAATATGAATGTATGGATTTTCTTGGCCATCCCCAGTGAGATTATAAAACACAGATACCACCAACAAATAATCAGTTGCCGTACAATAGGCACAACATGCCTATCTGAATTAACTTTAGGGAAAACTTAGTTTACAATTTATTTTTAGCTGTCCTTCCAAGACCATTTTTTGTCGTGGACACCACGTTACCGTCAGACTAATATTTCCTGGATGCTGCACGCAACTATTTGTCAAAAAAACTATAATACATGTAAATGGTGACATGTAAAAATATATCTGAATGGCTTTAAAGGGAATTTTCTGTTACATGTTTTAACAAATTTTACACGTCTGAGCGCGACAATTTTAGGGCTCGCACATTGCCGTGGTGAGTTTGCTGCTTATTAGATGAGGAGTCATAAACGGTCAAATAAACCGCCTATTGTTATGTTTATTTTGGCCAAAAGGCTTGCATGTAGCCCATTAAAAATTATATAAAAAAATGTGCGTCCATGACGTCTTCCCCCACTGCCAATAATGCTTAATTTTATATAAAAGTGTTTCAGAAAAAAATTACGAATGCGCTATCTAGCACACTATGTCTTAAACGTTCAAATTTCTAGTACAAAATCTTCGCAAGTTGTAAAAATATAAATCTGTCTTTACCTGAACCGTCATTTCCATCTCTTGCAACACGCATGCGAGTTCTCGTCTTCGTACGTGCACACGTGTTTTGTACATAGGGGCGTGTTTGGCCGGGGGCGTGTTTGGCCGGGGCAATGTCTGCAGCTAGACCTTACTCCAGAGGTGGGCCCCACACTCAGACCCCTCCCTCCCTGCTCTGAATTAAGGCCTGTCTCTGTTGTTTCTGTCCAGTCCCACTCTCCTGTTGCTTTGGAGAAGAAGGTGATTTCAGTGAGTATTCACTGACGGCTCCCATTTGTAAATATTGTGATTGTGTCTGTGCGGCCTGGGCGTGTCGATGTGCTGCTGGTTTTTACGTGTGTGTGTGTGTGTGTGTGTGTGCGTGCGTGTGTGTGTGTGCGTGTGTGTGTGTGCGCGTGCGTGAGAGTGTGTGTGCGTGCGTGTGTGTGTGTGTGTGAGTGTGCGTGCGTGAGTGTGTGTGTGTGTGTGTGTGTGCATGTGCGTGTGTGTGTGTGTGCGTGAGTGTGCGTGAGTGTGTGTGCGCGTGCGTGAGAGTGTGTGTGCGTGCGTGTGTGTGTGTGTGTGTGTGTGTGTGTGTGTGTGTGCGTGTGTGTGTGAGACCTTATAGTGATCAGCTGTCTTGGTTCATTTATTGGTGTGTGAACCAGTTTGAAGTGGGTGTTTGTAATGAACGTGTGTGTTTGAGACCATTCCACACACATCGTCATACTTCCTGATTGGATCTGTTGACCGTGTCGTTCCTCCTGACTGCTCCTGCTCTGCCCGTCTGCAGTCCCTTCTCCCAGTAAACTCCGAACTCCAGCCACACCATCCCCGCTGGCTTTGAGGCAGCCCATAAAAGCCACCTCCACCCCAAATTCTGCCACCTCCACCCCCACCCGCTCACTGGCTCCACCCCGCAGCGGCCTGCCCCGACCCAGTGCGTCTACAGGAGGAGGAATCCCTCTACCCCGCAGCAAACTGGCCCAGCCTGTACGAAGGTGTGCACTTCTCCATACCCACAACTTGTCCTGATGGTTTATCACTGCAGCCAGAATTTAGATTCTCATTTTTCTTTTCCCTCTCTCAGATCTCTTCCTGCTCCCCGGAGTTATAACAGCACAGGTGAGAACTGGAGAGAAGGTTGTTACTGAGCCGAGCCAGCGGGGGCTCTCCGGTCACATTATCGAACAAAACAGCATGGCACTTTATGCACCCCTAACTTTTACCATAAAGAGAAAGACATTAACGACTCAGAATTTAAAAATGGAGGACAGAGAGCACATTGATTAAAAGAGGACGCCCCATGGGGGACTGGCTCTAGAAGGCTCCGGCTTTCAGCGCAGACGACCCAGGAAACGCCAAAGAAACCAGCCGGCCTCCAGCTGTCAGTAGAGAACATCACCTGCCTTGATCTGATTCATCGGAGACGGTCCAGCCCTCACCCTCTGACATCACCCTCAGGTTGAAGAGTCCCCCCCCCCGATCAGCTGAATTTGGTGATCTCTCTGAAGATGCTGGGGGGGGGGGGATCTGTGCTGTGATGATGTCTTGCAGCTGTGTGGGTTTGACTCATCTTTCCTCTCTAAGTAAAAGAAATGTATGCACAAGCTTGTTTTGGAAATTATTTATTAAATTATTTAAGAAGTTTATGTCCAAACATCAATATCAGTATTTTGATTTAAATTTTCAGTTGCTAAAATTGAATATGTTGATCCTCAACTGCAAGCTAACTCTCCAAAGCCTGGCTTTTGTTTGGGCTTAAACCCGGGTTCTAACAACGCCTCAGCTCTGAAGCAGGAATAGTTAAAGGAAAGGTTGGATTTAAATTTGAGGTACCGTATATCTGAAACATTAAGAGACTTTATCTGCCAAACGCTCATTTATTTGTGTCTTATTTTTGCTGTGGAGCAACAAAGTGTAGAGGATATTTGAGCTTTCACCCTCTGTGCTTTGACCTTGATCAGTAGGTCCGGCAGTGTCAGGAGACGGTTCTGTAATGATGTGGTGGGTTCTTCAATCAGTGCCTATAATTTAAAGTTCCACTTGAGTTTGAGCATCATGTTTTAGTTTCTATGTCCATCACTTTGTGCCATTTTCTCCCTTTTTGCCTATTTTGTTCTCGGTTTGCCTGCTTGATTGGTGTACTTGGCTGTTTGTCTTTGGAACTGAATCAACACATTTCTAATTGCTTTAAAATGTTTCTTACGTGCCTTTGTATTTATAACAGATGACTGCTTCTTTACATGAATCTATTTATTAAAAGAGATGGGTACCTCTGTTGATGCTTAGTTTTGGTGGGAAACCCAGATGAATATTGAAAAAAAAAACACACTTTGTGAGCGATTTTTGTTAATAAACTTTGTTTTATATCCACAAACATGACATTTGGTTTCCCTGTGTAAAGTCACATTTCAAATAAAAAAATCAAAGTTTTAATTTTTCTCTCGTTTTCTTTCATAGTTTTAAGCTTGACAATTTCATTTTATTATGTAGTGAATCAACCTCTCACCTGACTCTTTGTTAGGTACACCTGTTTAACTGTTCACACAGATATCTGATCAGCCAGTCACACGGCAGCAACTCCATGCATTTAGACCTTGATGTGGAGAAGATGACCTGCTGGAGTTCAGTCCGAATCTTGTCACCAACATGAAAGCATGGATCCATCCTGCCTTGTATTGATGCCTCAGGGTGTTGCTGCTGGTGTAATGGTGTGGGGGAGATGTTCTGGACCCACTTTGGACCCCTTAGTGCCACCTGAGCCTGGTTTAAACACCACAGCCTATGAGTATTGTTGCTATTTATGACCACATGGACCCATCTTCTGATGGCTACTTCCAGTAGGATAAATCACCATGTCACGAAGCTCAGGGGTCTCATTTATCCAAGACTGTGTAGAATCCTTACCAAAACCGTACTTAAGCTCAGCAAAAAAAATGTACTTACACCAAGCAGGTGTGTGATCTATCAAACATGGAGGACGCACAGCTGCACGCAATCTCCACTTCATGAATCGGAGACTAACGAGAATGTTTCTCAGCTGCTTTTTAGTCACATCCCGCCCTCACCACGCCCACTTTCTGCCATTAACAGTCAATGCAAAGTGCCTTGTGGACCTCATGCATATACATAAGCCAGCTGTTGCAGCGCTCCGCCAATGACATGGCGACCGTAGATCAAGGCAGATTAAGGAAGCGCTACTTCACAGAAGCAGAAGTTGAGGTACTTGTGGGTGAGGTGGAGAAATGACAGGAAGTGCTTTTGCAAAACACATAAGAGAAAATCCACGGAGTGGCACAGCGTTGCTGAAGCCGTCAATGTTGTGTTCTTCAGAGAGATCTGTGGCGGGTATAAAAAAATGGTCCAATCAGGATTCAATCCCCAGACTCCCTGAGGAAAGTCATGCTAGCTGACCAGTCAGGCAAACGGACATCTCCCTTGTCCAAGCAGCCAGGGCACATCATCAATCGGGTCACAGTGACAGGACACACACTGTCACAGACGCATGACACACGCAGAATTGATGTCTGAATGCTGGTAACAAGCCTTACAGATTTACTCTCAGGTGGAGCATCAAAGCGTCTGCTTTTAATGTCACGCCTGATACTTAAAACTTTATTGTTATTGTTTTTGAATGCTTTGTAATTCCGACCAGACACGGAGTCAGAGGTGAAAGAGAAAGGAAAAGAAAAGGTGGGAGGGGTTCCAGAAAAATAAACAATAATGAACAAGAGTCTGCTTCTAGACCTGCAGAAAGAGAAATAAGAGAGATAAATAAATAAATAATGGGACACACAATAATACAACAGGAGCAAGCTATCACTGCGTCAACTTGAAGAAATATACAATCAACATTGTTTTACTGAACAATCACACGATAATAAATCATAGTGCATTTAGTGCCAACAACAGCCTTCAGACCTGTGTTGAACGTGCCCAAGTCCATACTTATGAGAGCACCATGTGAGCACCTGTGTGTGTACACGCTTGTTTATTTAAGGTTTCTCTATAGAAGCGTCCAGTATGTTTATGTTTATTCATTTAGCAGACACTTTTATCCAAAGCGACTTACAATTTATAACCTATAGGGCAGCGGTTCCCAAACTTATTTAGCCGCACACCCCCTTCTATGTCCCGACCATGTAGACGCACCCCCAGCCCTACATCAGGGCATGGCTATAAATATAAATAAATAAATAAATAAATAAATAAATATATATATATATATATATATATATATATATATATATATATATATATATATATATATATATATATATCAGACGTCTAGCTAAACAGTCACTCGACAGACAGGGTTAAAAAAATATGATCGACCTTTTTCCCCATCACTTTCATTTTTTAAATAGTATTTAATAAACATTCAATACCATTCATTTTCCTTTGATTTAATTTTATATAAATATTTAGAGTGCCCAGGTAGCACATAAACAATGCAATTTAACAGTTTTCTTAAAGCAGGAACGTTTAACCAGAGCTCTCTCCTTCCTTCTGCTCTGCGTAAACCTGAGCTGATCACCTACTTGTGCGTAATCAAATGTCTATATGGGAAAAGATGGAAAAGATATAGTCATGAGGTTCGCTTTTGCCTCAGACCGACTTATTGCTGTTTTATGGTGTGGCTGAATCTGCGATCCGCTGCCACGCGGACTGGAATAACAAATGCTGCAGTAACGTTGTGGTCAGGTTCATGACTGGCTCCACTGGCTGGAGCAGACTCGAATTTCATACGTCATCCCAAAATAGAAGCTAATGTCTTAATATGACCTTGAATGAAAAATGTTGTTATAAAACCTCTTAAAAGTTTTTTATCACGGAGGAGGCAGCGCTCATTTCTGCCTTCAGTCTGACAGCGCGGCGTGGCGCAGCTCAACGCAACGCCAGAGTTTGCGCAGCGTGCACTTATTGAATCTCTGTGTGTGTGTGTGTGTGTGTGTGTGTGTGTGTGTGTGTGTGTGTGTGGCACAGCTCCATGAGCCGCTCCAGTCATCACGTCTCGTTATTGGCGCTATTTAAACCATGTGTTGTGAAATGACTTCTGCCCAGCCCAGATGTGCTCACATGTGCACCCATGAGCCGTGGTTCCGCTGGAACGCGTCTGACCTCTGACAGACGCACTCTGAACTTCAGATCTTCAACGCACTGTTAATAGCCTGACACGTTTAGAATGCTGTCCCACAGTCAGTGTGCTAATATAATAATATAAGCCTAATAATGCTAAAATGCTGAAACAGCGCCTCAGTGCACCATCACTGATGGCTATTGAATCTCAGCTTGTCAGGAATCTGGACTTTGATGACATTGTAAATGAATTTACTAATAGAAAGGCCAGAAAGCAGTTTTTCTGAAGGCAAGAGAGGAGACCAACAAGACGAAACATAAAGAAGAGGAAAGAGCCAGGAGTCAAGAGGAGGAAGGAGACAGGAGACAAGACGAGGAAGGAAACAGGAGACAAGACGAGGAAGGAGACAGGAGACAAGGGGAGGAAGGAGACAGGAGACAAGAGGAGGAAGGAAACAGGAGACAAGAGGAGGAAGGAAACAGGAGACAAGAGGAGGAAGGAAACAGGAGACAAGAGGAGGAAGGAGACAGGAGACAAGAGGAGGGCTAAGCACATTGTGCCCAGGGGTCCCTGCAATGATAATCCAGCCCTGCCCCCAGATGAATCCGCGGCATCTCTAGTGGCAGATCCACTGACACTTCCGGGTTGAAGGTCCGGCGTTGGGTCACCGGCCTCCGGTACGGAGTCAGGCTGCAGGTGGAGTACCAGAGGCAGATGGAGAGCGCCAGAGCAGTACTGAATTTCTGAAATTATTTATGACAACTGCTACCAATGTGGATTGTGGAATAAAAAGAGATAAACTGTTAGTTTTCTCTGTGTTGTCATTGCAATCAGGGCACATAACGCCATCTTCCGGCTTAAAATGGGTATTGCAGTAAATTTTAAACAACTTGGAAGTGAAAAGGCTGTGTGTCACTACAACGGATTTGGGGATGTAGTCTATTGTTAATAGATATTGTGGTTTTACAACAATAAAGTTATTTGTATCGTGTGTATATATATAGAGTGTTTATAGATTTATCACTGTCTGTAATGTGAAGGGACTCCAATAAAGAAGAGTTGGAACACAATAAAACTTTATTATTTTAAAAATAATTAGTAAATTCTGGCAAATAGCCCATAAACAAGTAGTCAGCACTTCTAAACAATCAAGAACTTGGCTCCACCACACAGATGCACACAAGCGGAAACCAACTGAAGCCTATACAGCACCATAAGAAATGTAGCCCAGTTAAGCAAATAAGTAAACATAATAGTCTTGTTACTGCTATAATAATATTAATAATAATTATAATAATTATAATAATAACTCTCATGTCAATGCAGTTGACAAGAACAAGAATGACAAGACATTTTGTAATAGCTTAAGGAGGTATGCAGACAACAACATTTGGCCTAGTACTTTAGGCCTATTTCGTTTAATCACATATCACATGACCGTCATACACGAGTGAAAGTCAACCATGACAATGAAGCCATCAGAAAACTGTTTAATACACTTTATAAAATCTCCTCTCTTTTGCGTTCTTTGCGGTAGCTGAAAGTGCTGACAGCCATTATCAATGTACAATTTAGACACATTAAAAAGACAGGTACACAGATATTGATATAATGTCAAAAGGGTAAAGATAAATCAGGATTAACATTAATATCAAAAACACTTACCGTGTGACAAAATGGAAAATTATATGTAGGCTTATACAGTAGGCTGTATTTGTGATGCAAAGCCATCACATCCATAAAGCTATTATTTCAGGCGGTAGCCTATGTGCAGTTGGGTCAATTTTCTATGTTGTTTTATTTTTTTTTCTTTGTTTTGTTTTACCGATAGTTGGTTTCAAACAAAACCCTGCTTGTTCAGTTCATGTTGAAAATCAACAATTGAAGGTACTTTGAACAAAAGTGATTGAAGCGTACTCTACACAATTCAGTTGGCCAATTCATAGCCAGCTGACAACAATTCCTTTCCACAATGTGGATATATATATATATATATATATATATATATATATATATATATATATATATATGCCCCGATAGCCATGAAAAAATGAGGGCCAAAAAAGTTGATCTCTTTTATTCCGAACAAATTATCATTTATTGTTTGTTTGTTATTATTGAACTGCACATATTTGCACATTTTAGTACAGAATGTACAAGGAACATGCACCAGCTCAACCAAGGGCGTCAGTTTGTTTCCAGAATTGCTGGGGACAATAACCATACACTTGAGTGGGGTTTAAAAATTGCTGGGGACAATATAGGCTAGCACAGGGGTCGGCGGCTCTGTAGCCGCATGCGGCTCTTCCATCCATCTGATGCTCTGTGCTTGTAAAATAATGAATGGATATTTAAATAAAAAGCTTAATATTTTACTGCATTAATTTTACATCTGTATGCTAATTCTAAATGTAAAGATTGTCTGCGTAAACCTGAACAGGTCCAACCCGGTCTTACTGTGAGACCGGCTTGACGCGTCACGCTTGTGCGTAATTATATGCGCTTCCTGAGCTGGAGGATGTCAGATTCTGGGATTCTCCTCAGACGGCTCCTGGATGTGTCGCCACATTGGAGACAGGAACAAGCACTATTCAGCCAAAGTTTCATAATCAGGGAACATTTTCTAAGTGACAAGTCTCTCTGAGAGACAGGGTTTGGAAAACACTCGCTTCAGTGGGAGGAACCTTCTCACATGCGCCCTGGTTCTGAGAGCCTGGATTTGTATTCTGAACAGTCTAAACATGTTTTTAAAAGAAACGTAAGACAAAAGTGGTACCTGCTCAGTAAAACCACCAACAGGGTGAAAAATATCAAAATATTGTCGGCAGAGATGGGCTACAACTTCTGGATCATCTTTATATAAATCGTTTCATTGATTATCTTCTCATGAAAGATAACTTTGACGTACACGAGCGACCAGGCGCGTTGCAAGATTTTCAAAAGTGTGGGGGATGTTGTCTGTGCCTAAAATAATTTCATGTTATTCATCTTGTTAGTTTAATTTCCATAATAGCGGAGCAGGTGCGAATTTTAGACGCGTCACGCATGTCTCCGTTTCAAACATGTTTAAACTGTTCAGAATACAAATCCAGGCTCTGTCTCGTTAGATCGGTGTAACTAAAGTTTGTACTGAATGAAACTTTACATTAAACCATGTTGAAAAGAAAAGGATCCGATTAAATCATTTCCCCTCATTTACAGTCACGACGTACAGCGCAGTGCGCATGGCTCTGGGGTTAATCAAGTTTAGTTGTTTCTCTTTGCAACAATCTTCACAAGAAGGCAAAACAGTTAAATGGCAGCTTACAGATATTTATATTAGACTTTTATTTTGACGGATAAACTCAAGGATGCTGGCTGTTTTGAAAGAATTACCCCGACGCACACTGATGCGCATGGATGAGCTTGGAAAAATGTTCTTTTTATGAAATTATTCAACTTTGGCTGAACAGCGCTTTTTCCCGTCTCTAATATGGAGACGCATGACGCAGTCTGAGGCAGAATAGCAGCGCAGAAAGCACCTGTAGAGACATTTGATCACGCACAAAGTTTATGTGGAGCAGAAGCGGTCGGGCCACGGCAGGTGAAATGTTCCTAGCCTACATGAAGTGAAACTGTTTAATTGTAACATTAATATGTTACTGGACACGCTGGTCTGGTTGGTTAGACCAGTGTTGGAAGTGGAACACACACACACACACACACACACACACACACACACACACACACACACACACCAATTAAAATAATGCTGATAGCATGGACTAGAAGCCAGGTGATGGTTTTATTTAAATGATGATCAGGCTGCTGTAAAATGTAATCTCCATCCACATCCAGACAGAATGATCCTCTATTCTATTTGCTCTGCTCTTGTCTGGACTGACGTAGCTGACGGTGCGCGCGGGGCGCCTAACGGCTGTGGTGCACCTTTTACGCATTTGGAGAGGTGGGCTGGATCCTTTGCTTTTACTGGAAGATGGTCCACTTAACGCACGGGTGTGGACTACATATTAATGACAAATGAATGAAAATTTAATTGTGAGTTTTTACTTTATATTTTAGAAATAAAAATGACGGGGGAACACATTTATGACGTCTTTTTAAACGAAATTTTCTAGCGCGTCCTGCCTGCTTCACTTAAGTCACTGCTTATTAAGGTCCGTCCAAAATTACCGTGGCCCACCCAAAAATGAAAACCTGGCACCGCGCCTGTTATAAACCTCTGCAAATTGTTGTTCTTCACGTTATCAAACTCAGACTGTGTACAGCTAATGTCAAGATGTAAAATTATGAATTCAGTCGAGCTCTTCCGTCCCTCCCTCTCCTGCTCTCTGGAAACCCGACATCGGCTGTCAGAAGCGGGAGGTGAAGAAGGAGATGAGGCAAACAGAGTGAGTGCAATGTAAAGAAACCAGACTGGTGTGGAGGTGAGCAAAACAGCTGGAAAAGTGTGGGTGTTGAATCCCCCACGGGTGCGATGTCCATGCGAGCGACCGATACCTGCTGCTGTCACTTGGTTGTGAGCAGCTCTCTGCTGTCTGAGGGTAGGCCCCGCCCACAACGCCGCGGCTGCTGCGGTGTTTTCTTTACTGTGGGAAACGGGTAATAATGGCTCTTTGATGGGAACAGGTTGCCGACCCCTGGTATGAGATCTGAGCTGGTAAAACAAAAATCCTCATCAGCAGGCATTTTTTGAAAGGGGGGGGGGGGGGGGGGACACAGCTGCCAATCACAAATTTTGCAGGGGACATGCCCCCGGTTAAAATGACGCCTATGAGCTCAATGCAACCATAGGTGGTTCAAAAAAACACACAAATATAGGAGGAACAAAAGAGAAGGAATAAACAGGAGCAAGGGATGTTTTGTGAATTTAAAGTCCTCAACCAACTTACAGTTTTACAGCATTAGTCCAACTCATGCATGTCTACGATAAAAAATAAGGCCAGAGATCTTTATTAAAGAGAGGAAATAGCTAATAGGTCTTAAATGTAAGTATCTGTGGATGAAAAACTTACAGTAAAGAATTAATTACACGAAATGCATCTTTTGCAGATATACCACGTATCATTTTATTTTGTAAGAGCCAAACAATTAAATAGGAAATAAAGCATAAAGATCTTCCCATAGTAATAGCAAATGTACTATGAAAAAATAAATGTCCTGTCGTTTCAATGATTTAATAACAGAAAGGACATTTTGTATGATCTAAATTAAAGATATACATTTTTAAATCACAAGAGGGATATATTTCGTTAATCATAAGTGAACTGCAATCGCCTTTTGTGTTGTGAAAATATCAAGAATTCGGAATATTTATGTTTAACTTTTCATTAGGGAAAATGGAGGAGTTATTGTATTTGAAGAGAATGGATAGGCAATAACTCATAAATCAAAATATGTCTGATTGTGATAGGGTGTTGTGTTCGTTATAAAAGATATTATGTACATTAATAAAAAACACAGGAAGCACGGGATTTACATTACTTATTAAGTTATAAGACATCACAAAGCCTGAGGGATTGCTTTGATAAGCTTACTGCCTTGTGTGATTCACCTTGAATCTAGAAAAGAGAGTATGAAATACTATAAAAGTCAAATGTTTAACATAACCACAAGCCTGTTATCATTTATTTACATGTGATGGCATGTAGGGGTATTGTAAGGACAAACATATGTTTGTATATCATTTCCTATAAGCCTATAGTACTCGATGGTGGAAAGCGTTTAATTACATTTCAAGCCTTTTAAGGTTTAAATCAGCCGCCAGACACACCGCCTCCACGTCCGCTGTTTAAAATCTACTGCAATACCCATTTAAGCCGGAAGATGGCGCTATGTGCCCCCGATTGCAATGACAATCTAGAGAAAACTAAGTTTATCTTTTTATTCCACAATCCACATTGGTAGCAGTAGTCATAAATTATTTCAGAAATTCAGAACTGCTCTAAAACCGCTCGAAATATTTCAAATATTTTCGGTGACAGCCTTGTTTGTTTTGGTTTTGTTAATAAAGTTTAAAAAACGTTGGCATGATGAGGCGATGACGCAATAAGGGCTTAGTGCTGCAATTACTGTGTTATCCGGAGCGGCACCTCTGTCTGGCGAGGATCTCCGACCTGCCAGAGGTGCCGCTCCAGGCTGGAACAGCCAATCACTTCTCTGGCAGGTGCCACTGTAAGCCGTGGCAGCTATGGCAGGGACCGTGGAAGCCGTGGCACGTGCCACTCACAAATCGCTCCTGCTGTCTCCATTGGACTCCAACCACCTCCACTGTCATCAGACCTTCATCCAGTCCAGAACCTTTGGGATGGGAGATTCCCATCATGGATGTAACTGTGTGATAATATCATGTTAATATGGACCAGAACCATGGACGTAATTTTCACTTTAGAAGTGGGGGGGCACGGGGGGGGGGGGGGGGTCTTTACAGTATGTTCTAATGGGAAACAGGCTTCAAAACAAACAATTGTTTTCCAGTTGTCCTCAACCAGTTTCAATTTAATAAAGCGTAATATTGTTTTCGGATGGTAAAAAGTGCAGGGGTCAAAACTTGACTTTGGACAAAGTGCCCCCCCCCCCCCCCCCAAAAAAAAGAAATGTCCATGACCAGAACCTCTAAGAAGGACGCTAAGAAACGCCATTTCAGTAGCAAACACGCATCTGCAGAGGAGGAGAAGGTTCTGTTTTCAGCTCACAGACTGGAGTGGTACCAGGAGTCACCTCAGAGAGGCTCAGATTCAAAGTCTGAGTCGCCGACTGGTCCACAATGTCCCATCCCATAATAGACATCAGCACAGCTTTGGAGATGTGACGTCAGGTGACTCCTACTTTATTCTGTCAGTGTGAAGCCATGACCTGATAGCAGGCTGCAGACAAACACGTTCTGCTCAGCATGTGGAATGAGTTCTCACAAGGACAGACCATAATACTTCGCTCAGGAAAACGAGTTTGGTTTAATCCACATTAAGCGCCAACCTTGGCTGCAGAAGGCGGTCTGAAGTTCCTCAGCAGCCAAAAGCAGAACCGACCAGAGGCGGCGATGCAGACTTTATCTGAGGGGGGATGAGGTTCCAGCGAGCGGGCGGGGCTTATCATCACAACACAGGCTGTTTTTCCAGTTTAACCAGTAAACCTAATTACACATACACATTTTCTTGATTGAATAATATTTTTAAGCAAAACTGTGCCAGAACTAAAATTCAATTCAAGTGTATTTATATAGCGTGAACTCACAACAAGAGTAGGTACTTCAACACAGGCAGTTCATTAAGCCAATCAGAAAAAACAGATGGATGTTTTATGGATGACATGAAAAATAAAAGTCGGGACTCTGTAAATGTTTGAAAGGAAACTCAGAGCGTCTGAAACTGGGAGAAATGGTTCTGAAGAGCAGCACTGGGTTAAATTTCATGTAATCGGTGAAATCATAGTCATGGACTAATTTTCTGACAGTAAGCCCCGCCCACCACAGCTGGAACCTCATGCCACACCTTTGCCACATAAGATTCTCTGTCTGCTTCTGCAGGAGAACAGATCCAGATGAAGACAGCAGGACCGGATTAAACGCTTTAACTCCTGTTGAAGATGATGACCTGTGATGCCATAAAGTTGAGATTAAAGGCGTCTGCGTCACGTGCCCTTCTCATCAAAACAGGATGATCAGAGAAGCGCATCTTCACCGTTTTACGCATCTGCTTCGTCATCTTCATGCTGAAGACTCGCTCTCAGAGCGGAGCGCAGTGGAGTCTGTTTTTGTCCTGAATCCCGAGTCCTTGTGCGCTCTACCCTTCAGCTGCGGAGCTCAGAGCCGACCTGTGGCACCAGGCTGGGACTCTCTCATCAGCACCATGCCACTGTCCCACTCCCAGGACTCTGCAATTCATTAGTGTCTGACGCCACTAGGGGAACCATTTTACGCACGAGCACTTCTACAGGTGGATACTCTGTCCTCCTGTTGCGCCATGGACAACTCCAGCAGCGCAAAGACTCATGGCATGATAGACTTATCTATCTGGGAGCAGGACTCTCCTGCTGACCGGGGAGTGATGGGCGTACTAGGAATAGCCGGTGGTGCCCGGTTCCTAGAAGGCGGCGCGTCCAGGACTTCTGAATTCAGCCAGGAGTCCTCTCACCTGATGCCCGCTTTCTGGGACTCCCCGCTCAGCCACGGCATCAATGTGTTCGTTGGACTGGTTCTTTGCTTCACCATGCTGGGACTGGGCTGCACGGTGGAGGTGAGCCAGCTGGGAGAACATGTCCGCAGACCCATCGGGGTGCTGCTGGCTCTGCTGTGCCAGTTCGTCATCATGCCCCTGGTGGCATTTCTGCTGGCTTTAGCTTTCTCCCTGGATGATGTGGCAGCGATGGCCGTCCTCCTCTGTGGCTGCTGTCCCGGAGGAAACCTGTCCAACATCATGTCTCTGCTGGTGCATGGAGAGATGAATCTCAGGTATGACCCAGACTACATGATCTCACGAAACGGGAAACTGCGCGCATTTCCCAAAACATTTGTGCGCGGAATTGAGTTAATATGTTATGTGGTAAACTTTTATTCGCTTTCCTCCAGTATCATCATGACCATATCTTCCACCCTGCTGGCGCTCGTTCTGATGCCGCTCTGTCTGTGGGTCTACAGCCGGGCCTGGATCAACACACCCGTGGTCAACCTGCTGCCTTTCGGGGCCATCATCCTGACCCTGTGCAGCACTCTCATCCCCATCGGGTTAGGGGTTTTGCTGAGGTATCGCAACACCCGGGTGGCCGACGTCGTTTTGAAGGTGATATCAGAGATAATGAACTACTTTAGCTTTAATAAACCCAGTGGAATAAGTTGGAAGCGCGTTTCCTGACTTTGCGCAAAGACGCAGTGCGTAATTTTCAGCGCTCGTCGTCATAGTTGTTCGACGGGTGGGGGGTGGGGGGTATGACTGACCACAGGGACAGTGACATCAACGGGTTTATCTCGGGAGGAGCTCCTCCCTGTCATTAATGATAAAAGCCTCACATGAGGGAGGGGCTCCAGATGAGAGCCAAGATGAGTTACAGCTGAGAGAACGTTCCTGCCATTTAAAGGTTTCTGCTAATGCTTTTGTCATCATTACATTTTACACATCAGCAAACAAACGTCCAAAATGCAGCTTTCAAATGATGATTTCAGTTCTTAGGACAAAATACTTTCCCTCCCGTGAAATCATCAATCAGCTGTGATTAACCACAATGTTTGGAAAACTGAGTTTAGTTCCAGCAGCCACACAAGGTCCGATTACAGCCAGACCAGCAGAATTAAACACACTTCATCAGACATGATAGGCTAAAAGATATCAAACAGCAACACCGCCGGTGTAACTCGGCAACAAGCGGCCCAAAACAGCATCTAAAGCACAACATCGTCTAATTACAGCCAACGTCAGAGGTCTTCAACCAGATGAAAAACAGAGGAAGCAAGATGGCACAAGCAGCTTCCGTAATGATAACAGCTCAGCCGATCAAGGAACACAAAGTCCTGTCTCACAGTCAAAACGTGGAAAAAGCTTTTCACTGCTACTATTGTGTGTGTGTGTGTGTGTGTGTGTGTGTGTTTTCTTACACACAATTATATATACACCAATACTAGTACTGTTTATGAACACGGGTGGAGGTTTATGCATTTTCCAGGACATTTCATAAATGATCATCAGCGCTGCTGTAAAATTTCATCCACCTCCAGACAGAAATCTTCTGTCTGCTGATCAGCAGCAGCCAGGATGTTTATGCCCACAAAGTAGTTGTTTTTTCCAACAACAACTTTCACATGAAGCACTCGTCTTGTTTTCATATTTTATTTTTTGTGCTCGCTCTGTTTTTCCGTTTGGATGTCATCTATCCATTTGACTGTAGCAGCATTTAACCACGGGCTGGTCAGACGCTGCTGCTGTCAGTCATTGTGGGAACGTGCACGGTGTTGGATAACCTATTATCCCTGACTGCGTGAGGCAGGCTGGACATCGCTGCAGCCTGCTCGATCCAGTGATGATGATCCTCGGACTCTGGCCTTATACAAGTGTGGGTCATTTATCTCCGACGGGAGGGGGGAGGTGAAAGGCCGGCACCAGCCCTAAAGCACATCAGCCGTTCTGGGATTCTCCAGAACCCACAGATGCCCACTTCACCACTGCTCATGGTGATGAGCTATAATGTAGCCACAGCTGCCCTGGCGCACACTGATAGAGGCGAGGCTGCTGAACACTGACACCTCATAAACAGACATGAATATGTTCATAGAACAGATGCTACATAGCTTGTCCCTGCTTAACCGCTCGATGCAGTCCGGTAGGTGCATGGGGATGGCCGGCAGTAGCACTCATTTTGGGGATGTAAAAATCTACAGCTGAATGTGCTGCTCATAAAATATTAGAACAGGAAAATGAAAGTTGTGCAGAGAATGACTCTGATTGTGATCTTGGGTCTACAGGCGTCTCTGTGGTCTCTGCTGGTTACCCTGGTGATGCTGTTCATCCTGACTGGAGTGATGCTGGGCCCAGACCTGCTCGCCACCATCCCAGCCTCCGTCTATGTGGTGGCCGTTCTGATGCCCCTGTGTGGCTACGCTGCAGGCTTCGGCCTGGCCGTGCTCTTCAACTTGCCCCCCAGCAGCTGCAGGTCGGTGTCTCTGGAGACCGGGTGCCAGAACGTGCAGCTGTGCACCGCCATCCTAAAGCTGGCCTTCCCCCCACAGCTGATGGGGGGAATGTACATGTTCCCACTGTTGTACGCCCTGTTCCAAGCAGCCGAAGCGGGCCTTTTCATCCTGGCCTACAGGCTTTACAGGAAGGAGGTGCTGCATAAACCGGACCCCACGATAGACGGAGAGGACATAACATACCAAAGGTTTCACGATGAGGACTTTGACTCGTCTTATGGAGCGGTGACAGCGAGTGACCCAAACACCATCATGCTGGACCCATGTCCTCCTGATCCAACTCCTGTTTGATGGTCAGATTGCCACAGAGCTGAAGGAGACTGCTGCTGCTCACCAAAAAGAGAATAAAAGGCAGACACGTGTTTATCGTTGACCAAAAGGTGCTTCATGTCACTGAGCTGCACTCGTTCATGTCTGATGAAAACATCGCTTTTGCATGTAAAGTCGAAGTCTGACAGCATTTATGATTAAAAGCTTTTAGCACATATCACAATCATCCATGTGCAGGTTTACAAACAACGTGCCAACAGCTGAACCAACTATAAAGAATTAAAGATTATGTGTCTCTTAGTCGTGTCTGGTGTGTGTGTGTGTGTGTGTGTGTGTGTGTGTGTGTGTGTGTGTGTGTGTGTGTTACAAGCAGGTCTTAGACCAATTTTTGCACCCATCAGGTTCTGTGAACTCTGGCGGGGCGCTTGAAGAAAGGGGTCAGACCTTACTCGAACAGCTTTTTCCCTACTGCACATTTAATTTTTATACTCCTTTATTTTTATTTATTTTTTATTTGTAAACGTTTCAAGCCAAAGCTAATCTCACTGTATTTATAATGCCTTTCCTATTTTTAATCATTAGGATCAGATACAAAGGTAGCATCATCATAAATTACAGTTTTCATGGTCTTTGATGGTTAAGGGTCAGCTCGGGCTGGAGGGTCCGCTATGATGACGCAGGTTGTTGAGTTCACAGACCAGGAAGTTATGACGCAGTTTCCTGTGGCTCTTTGGATTTAATCCAAATATGAAAGTTAACCATTTATAGATATAATACTTACTTTTATTTTTATTTGATTATAAATGTTTGGATTTGATTTAATATATTTACATTGAGTCGACATGCTTAGTTTGACTAAGATTAGATTTTTAATATTTTTAATTATTAGCTATGTGAAGATTTTGTCTCTCCATACCCAAACTATCCGGCTTCATAATGCAGAACAAAACTTCATCTTGTATTTTGTTTTTAAGGCAATGTGTAACTCTTGTCATTGGTATTTAAAAGGTGCACCACGTCACGTGCCACACCTGACCCCAATTAGGCCTGATGGCGAGCGCGCGCACTGTCCAATCTATTTAAATAGTTACCAGGAGGGTCGGAGCTTGTTCAACAAAATGGCAGCTTATGGAGATGAGCCAGTAGACAGCTACTTCTACTCTTCGTATACCCCCTACATGGGCAGATACCCCAGGCCCAGAGACCCGGGGTGGAAATATAAAAACTACTTCTCCCACTACGGAGACTCTTCTGACGCCTTCAACAACCACCAGCGCGCGCAGCTGAAGTCCATCTTATCTCAAATCAACCCCAAACTCACCCCGAGGCTCAGGAAGGCCAACACCAAGGATGTGGCGGTGCAGGTCAACCCAAAGAAAGACGCTTCGGTCCAGTGCTCCGTCGGGCCCCGGACCCTGCAGGCCATGAAGCGGGACTCCCAGCGCAAGAGAAGGCAGGAGCCCGCGGTGCCCAGCGCCGGGAGCCCCAAAGAGGCAGGTGGCGTGCGTTACCCCCGGACCCTCGCCGTTTACTCTCCTATAGCCTACCGGAGCGTCACGTCCTTTCTGGTGGAAGACGAAAACTCCAAACATGTGTCCTCTGACGCAGCGCAGACCACAGGGGGCCCGGTGGAGTCCTCGGGGACCACAGACGCTAAGAGGGACAAGGACTGTCCGGCTGAAGAGAAGACCACAAAGTTTCCCGAAAACAAGAATTCCAGACCGAAGTTGAGGAGCGAAGGAGCGCAGACCTCTTCAGCATCAGCAGCAGCGGAGGAAGAGGAGGCCAGGAGCAGGGCCCGCGTGCGCTTCCAGGTGAGTTAAGGACCGATCCAATCACGAGTCTAGATTTTATCAGACACTTTGTTTTAGATCACTACAACATGAATAAGTAGTGTGTCTAACATGAAAAGGGTCCACATAAAGTGTATTCTACTGTTGGGAAGTTTCCTGCTAATGAACCTGGCACGGTGCCTCAACATGAGTTAAACGAGCCTGCCTGAGGTAATTTACTCTTCTGCACAATTATAACCTGATAAACCCGGACTCTGTATAAAGATGACCGCTTTTGAACTTGTGCATTTTTAAGTATTAAAACAGATGTTGGGTTGCGTCTTGGAGGTCCCAGCTGAATAATAATAATAATAATAATATTAATAATTAAAATAAGCACCAAACTGGACAGAAGATTTTAAACTGCTCAGTTCAGGATTCTTAATGGGATGAAATCCTTAAAAATTCTAGCACTTAAAAAACAAACAACTAACAAATGAAATGGGTGGATATATTTAGGGCTCATGCTGGGTGGTGGACTTCCAGCATTTCCTCCTACAGGCTGAACATGCTGATTATGTTGGATATGTCTGTTAAATAAAAACACATTTAAATTGTTTAGATGAAAGAAACGTATCACTATGTAAATCACCAATGCTCAAGTCTTTGAATGCACTTGAAGTTTAACAGATTTCCAGGTCCTTGTGAACAAATCGCTGAACAGATTGTCCAGAAGAGTCGAAGCAGTTCACACTAGAGATGAAAAATTGTCTTTTCAGTTTCTGGAGCAGAAGTATGGATATTATCACTGCAGAGAATGCAACCTGCGATGGGAGAGTGCGTATGTGTGGTGTGTTCAGGGCACAAGCAAGGTGAGCATCTCTCCAGTTTTCCATGGGCATCATGGCACTGACTCAAACATCAGTCTCTGGGCGCGCTCCATCTGCCCCCCTTAAATCATATTGAGGCAGATAATCCAATAAGCTGATGGGATCATGGTTCTATTCTTGTGTTGCAGGTTTATTTCAAACAGTTCTGCAGGAAATGCCAAAAAGGCTTCAACCCATACCGTGTTGAGGACATCACATGCCATGTGAGTTTGTTTCTAGCTGTCTGACTTACGGAGGCGTTAATTTTCCCTTACGTGTGATCTTGTTCCTCAGACTTGCAACAAAGCACGCTGCTCCTGCTCCATAACACTACGACACGTTGACCCCAAACGACCCCACAGACAAGACTTGTGTGGCAGGTGCAAAGGCAAGCGGCTCTCCTGCGACAGCACCTTCAGCTTCAAATACATTATCTGAGTCTGAGCTCGCTTTGGTTCTGCTGGCACCGTCGGCCCAGCTCCAACCAGCTGGCCCAGTAATGGCCTCTCAAATGCAAAGCACAGTTTGATGTAAAACTTTATTTTTTCATATCGGTTTTGTGTTGAATCTGTAAGCATGACAAGTCTTACAATAAAGGGCTACCTTGCATTCTGCGCTGAAGTAATTTAATTAGAAACGACATGAAATTTGCTAATAGTGCAACAAATGTCAGTGGGAGACTTGCATGACCATGAATATTAAAATGTGGGCCTTTTGAACCCTTAGAACAAGGCTCTCTGTCAAATATATATTTTCCATGGAGGAAAATGTGAAACTCTAGGAAGAATAAGATTTAAAGTGTTTTTACCATTAATCTCTGGAAATATCCAACGTGTTAATGAATAAGAAACCCAGTGAAAAATGTTGGTTTCTTAACACAACCATAAAAATCAGGTCATATGTGGGAGTGGGTCAATGTTTGTTTCTCAATGTCAAGGAACCTTGCCTTGATGCCTTAGTCCCGCCCCGGTTGCCTAGGAGATGCGTCATCAGGAACCGCCAAGGTGTGTTCCAATGTTCATGTTCTGAGGCGACTGTTCTCTCGGCTAGCTGTGCAAGGACACGGGAGGTATCTTGTAGCGGAGCCTTGGTCAAATGTCCCAGAATACAGCACTGTTTTTTCAAAAGGATGGATCAGAAGCCGGCATCTACTTCAGGCTTCAGGGGCAAATGTCAAGTTTAAAGTAAAACAAATTTAGCTCAAAGCGGTTATCCAGGTTGATGGTTGCTTAGTAACTTTGGCTAGCGGGTAGAACTCATACGTTAACAAACCTACAATTTAAAAAGTGAAAGGCTAGTTACATATTTATATTGAAACATACATGTAAAATATAACGTGTCACGTGCTGTTATTGCCATGGAGGGCGTAGTCATTTGATGGTCTTCCAACAGTCTTTGACCAAGGAAGGACGGTAACCCCGGGGCGTGTTTGGCCGGAGCAATGTCCGCAGCTAGACCTTACTCATAAGAAAGGCAACTTTACATTGAGAAACACCCCAAATCTCTGGGCCATGTTTCCTTCTACGGAAGCCTGTGAGGACGATGCATTGATTTGTAACAAATGGTTATAAAACTGTCAGAATTGGATGTTTTACAAACTTACCTCTTCACTCATTGCTAGAGATAAAAGGGGAATCTGTTTAGCTGGAGATTGCACTCCCAAGGATTTTTGACCAATAGCCATCTGTTGAGGTGTTGGACACATGCTTGCATTGATTTAGGCAATGTTAAATCACCCACACTTGTATAGCACCTCTCAGAGTAAGGACTCCACAGAGCTTTACACAAGTGTATCATTCATTCATCCATTCACACACTGACCGATGAGCTACCATGTAGCCACCGCTGCCCTGGGGAGCACTGACAGAGGCGAGGCTGCTGAGCACAGGCGCCACCGGTCCCTCCGACCACCACCAGCAGGCAAGGTGGGTTAAGTGTCTTGCCCAAGGACACAACAGAATTTTCTGTCCGGAGCCGGGATCGAACCTGCAACCTTTCGATTACTGGACAACCTGTTGAGCTACTGCTGCCCCAAGCATCTACAACTGCTAGGGAAAATACACACTTGTCACTTTAACGATGCTTTCGGCTTGGTTTAGAAAATAGTTGGGACGTGACCGGAGCCCCTTCAGCCTGAACTCAGGGGAAGATGTCCTTTTGTCTGCTTTCCCTGCAAATGCAAAAAGCTTAATGAGGCCAGGCATGTGGCTGTCTTACAATATGTACGTGTGATGTTTCTTGGATATATGAGATGCATCGCTTCCCCCGTCTTGACTTCTGTTACAGCAAAGTTTAACTCTGTAAAATGTCATTTGTAGCTTAAAGGGGTCAGGTTTTCATTAACGATGACTTGCTGGATGTGCAAACAATATGCAAGCCTCCATCTGACAATCTTTTTGAGCCTTCACCCAGAAGCCATGTAGTTACGCATACCTGTGGAAACGGGTGGGCAATCCTGGTCCAAGGTCCAGCAGGTCTTAGCCGGTTCTGCTTAAACACACCTGGTTTGCATCTGCTGGTGATTAACCAGCTGCTTCAGAGCTTGATGAGCTGCTGATCTAGGCACCAGGTGTGTTTGAGCAGGAAAACAACTAAAATATGCTCAATAGCAGCCCTCAAGGACCAGGATTTCCCACTCTGCTGTAGAACATGACTTGGAGCTAAAGAAAAGCCAGCTGACCTTCTTGTCAACTGATGAATTTTAAACCCCTCCCTACTTGATATTCAGACTGGGTGCAGCAGGGGACTGCTGAGGGATTATTTTAATCTGAAAACAGTTCATAAACTATTATTTGTGAGGGTTGGTTCCCTGTAAAGTGTTGCAAATAACTTCAGAAAGACCCTTCTGCAGAATTAAGACTTTATTTTTATCCAGAGAAGGCTGGGACGTTAAAGGAAAAATAAAACCTACAAGAAAGCGTCTCCCAGGTAGATCCTGTATTTGTACCAGCTGGGCAGAGGAGTTCAATGTGCCATCACATGCTTCCCAACAAGCATAACAGTCCGTGTCCTGCACTCAGCAGCAAATGGGGTCTTTTCGAGAGTTTGGTGCAGTTTCCTCTCAAATGACATCGAATAGTAGCAGGATGAAAACATGAAACGGATCACAGTGGATTAGGAATGCATATGGACAAGGCAGCCTCTGGAAAATGCTTTTGGAACAGGTGGAATGGATCAGAAATGACAAAGCTGGTCTCAGCTTCCCCTCACATTAGCTTTATACAGACATCCTGCTGTGGATGAACAGTGCGTTACACAAAAAGTACAAGGGGAAAATATTGGTTTTACACATCTTTACATCTTCTAAAATATATACAGAGTAAAATAAGTTATGCTTCCTTAGTGAGCGCTGTAGCTAGTCTGCACTTGTGTGCAATCAAATGCATTTTGTGTGTGAGCGTATACCAGAACTCCCAATATAAACCACACAGTCAAGAGTCTAAAGGCATCTACTTATTTGGTTACGGTGTGATTTTTGCGTGAAGACCTGCAGGAAGGGACTCCGAGCAACCAAACATCTTTATACACTCCCTGAAGGCAAGAGTTTCCCCACAGGGTCCAGAATGACACGTTAAATATCCTAACATTTACAGCCAAGCATGTTAGCTCTAATAAAAAATACATTTCTCAAAAAATATTCTTCAGTGCAGCGCTTCTCTCTCCGTAAGCACGCGTCTGAAAACTCTTCTCCTGAACAGTATTTTTCTGCTCGTGAACCTCGATGTCCCCACACGACGCCTCCGGACGGTCGTACGTGCTTCAACACCGACTCCCGGGCCGGACACCACCACTTCCTGTGATGGGATCCCCTGGGTCCGAGCAGACAAAAAAACCTAAAACACAAATGTTCTTGTCCTACCACAACACACTCTCCCTCACACGCCATCATGTGACTTATTATTGCAACTGAGCTTTGCAGGTAGGCTTAGTCTGGGGACAGAGATTAGCTTAAAGCATTCATACAGGTAATAACGGATGAAGTCACAGTTAGTCCCACGCATCCTTTAGCCCTTTGTATGTGGAGTCTCTCTGTCCTCCTGCCCCCCCCCCCCCCCCCCCCCCCCTACAGCTGATGTGAGGCGTGTGTAGAACTGAGGGTGTGTGTGTGTGTGTGTGTGTTCAGTTCAGTCTAAGCTGCTGCGCCGCCGCCACCTCACTGTCCAGCGCTGACCATGATGCCGTGGGGCTGGCAGGCCTGGGCCTGACTCAGAGCCTCACGAATCTGCAGGTTGAGCTCCATGAGGCGGGTGCTGGCCTGAGACAGATCCCTGCTGGGACCCACCACCGCCAAGCAGCCGGTCTGGCCCAGCGTTTGGTGACGGAAGTAGATGTGCAGAAGGGTCTGGACAGCGTTATCCTTCTCGCTGCCGAAGATGTCGTTAGGCCACAGGGCCCTGAGGGGAAAGCAGAGTGAGACGATCACACACACAAAGGGGATAGGAAGCCGTTGAAACCGGATCATCTTTAGGTTCCTTCATGTTAAAATACGCGGTTTGTGTAGAATTAGTCAGTAAAACAGCTTTTATTCATGTTCAGAGAAGAAAAAATCATCGAGCTCAGTTTCTTTTGTCTTTTAGTGAAAAACACATTTTAAAGGCCAAGTTCACATTATTTTTATTTAAATAAACTGAGTTTTTCATGCAGGCTGAACATGGAAATAGTCTCCTACACCGATCTCCTGCAGTAGCTTCTGATGGAAAACAGACGGTGAAGCTCTAGGATAGAAAATCCTGACAGATCTACGTCACCCTGTCATGAACATTCATGGATTCACCCATCTGGACTCACGTTGGGAAGGCTGTTGTTGGTTTAGCGTCCAGGACACAGCAGAGAACTTCTCAGCTAGTAGAAGCTAACTGTTAGCATTAGCAAAAATCCTCCAGGCTTTTGTTATTTGTGGAGATAAAACATGGAGTAGAGTCGTGTTGCTGTTATCAGATCAGAGACGAGACGTCCAAATAACAGGAAATAAGACTCCACATCGTGTCACGTTCAGCTCCCTTCTCCTCCGCCAGACAAGAAACTGAGTTTAGTTTTAGTCTTTTACCTTCTTACATTCTTTTTAATTTTAGCCACAATTCAGTCATCCCATTTGTTTTAGCTTTGGTCTTATCTCAGCTGTATGCTGTTTCTACTGATGCAGTCATTTCCAACGTCTGAAAGAAAATATCAACTACACTTAGAAACTGTAAAGAAATATGAAAACTTCACATTTTACACTTGAATTAAAAACTCAATATTTATAATAGTTTCTATAACAATAATAATAGGAAAACACAAAAATGAACACTGACAGTTTGAAATTGTGCCTCTCAATAGTAATAAGATGAACAAATGTATAACGTGCAGTAATATTTGTAAACATGACAGGAAATGGCATCGTACCATCAAACATTACAATGTATTACTGTAAAGGTAAGAAAGGGTTTCGGGTGTATTTATTAGTTATTATGGGACACCTGAACGTTTCTCCTCACAGAAACACAACGCTGACCGTACCGGCTGTCGCAGCGCCACAAAAGGAAAAACCATTAGACAACAGTGAGTTTTTCACCGAGCCGCCACTAGGCTTGGCTGGAGGTTTAAGATGTTGGACGGAAGCTAAACACACCCACTTAAAGGTAAAGAATAAACTCGACATCAACAATTTCAAAAGAAAGAAAACAAAGAATAAATAAATGAAGGACTTCCAAATGCTCTCCACCCATCTGTAGTGAGATTATCGCTGTTGCCGGGCAGAGTTACATGGGCCAAACAGAAACTCATAAATCAGACTTTAGTACAGGCTCGACTGCAAGCTGCTCTTATTGCATCGGTCGTGTTGACTCCATGAAAGCTGTGTGTGTTTTCATTTCCCCCGGCGAGATGAAGATCTAACAGCTCAGCAATGCTTGATTAAAACAGCAGCAGCAGCACTGACTGGACCATATTTCATACATTTCTCTTTTCCAAGAGTCGACTCATCTGGCTTATTAGAAAGCACCCAGATGTGTGCCAGGGTGGTCGAGATCTCACCTGAAGACTTTGACCTGTGTGAGGGCGGAGCCGAAGTCTCTGGCTTGGAGAGTTTCTATCAGAGACTGGATGGCCGTCTCCGTGTTGGTCTGGGCGTTATCGGACATGCACACGTCCTCCTGAGCATCATTTCCTGCCTCCACCTCGCTCAGGCAGCTCTCCAGGATGGTGAGCTCCTCTGACATGTTGGTCACCTTAGAAACAAACACAAAAGCATGACTTATCGCAGCATCAAAGCATAAAACAGGAGAAAAGATATACCTCATGTGCAAATGTATACCCGACAGGTCAAGAAAATAAGCCCCAAGTAAACACAAACTGAATTAGACGGCCCGATCAGTCTGTAATAGAGGTGATCTAATTTCATCAAGTATCAGAATCGGATTAGAGCTCCGTGGTTCGGAGGCAGATAGTGATCCGCTCCACTTACAGAGCCTGTAATCCACATCTTACAGGAAACCCAAAGCATTTTTATGCCACACACACTTTACCCCGGGTTTATGAAAAGTCACCAGGAAAACTACAGATACCGTCAAACTATTAGCGCTAAATAAACATCGAACTACGCAGGTTTCATTTAGAAGGAGGACTAGTAACAGGATGCTGCTCTGAGGAGAATTATTCAGTCTCCGTCATCACCTCATTAAATCTTTCATTCTTGTTTTTAGTTAATCAACAGCTGTGTGTGTGTGTGTGTGTGTGTGTGTGTGTTAACTCGGTGGAGAAGAGATCGGGTCTCTGGTGGAACGCTCAGGCCAAAGCTTGGTCAGAGTGAAACAACAAAGGAGAACAACGTTCTGCTGAATTCTGACCCTCTTTTAGCTCATACGCTGCAGCAGAGTTTTACTCTACAACAACAACAACAACAACAGCTGTTTTTAAAGCTTCTGATGGTTTCTGAGTATGCTTGAGGCTTTTATTGTGAAGGACAGTGAATTGAGTCTGCTGGAGTAAGAATCACTGACTGGTTCAAGTAACTAGCGATAAGTCCTCTAAAGGACAAACTGAATAAAGGTGTTTGGGTTCAGCGCAGTGGCCTTCACCCCTTAGGGCTCCAATCTTTATTTCAACTTTAGTCAAAATGCTGAAGAAAATAAAATAAAACCCTCACTTTCATTTTTATAGTTGGCCCTAAAGCACTCATGGTGTGTGTGTGAATGGGTGAATGGGTGAATGATTGTGTTGTGAAGAGCCTTGTAGAACCTAAGAAGGTGCTATACAAATACAGGCCATGTTACCATGTCTGTCCTTTATGTCACCGTTCCTACCAACACGTCTTCTACTGCTGCGTACTGTAAAGCTTAGAAATGTGACTCTGTTGTGGACTGCAGCATAACCAGCTCAGTGGCCTAGTGGTAGGGCGCCCGCCTTGGGACTGGGAGATCGCGGCTCGTACCAAAGACTTTAAAAACGGGACCCACTGCCTCCCTGCTGGACTCTGACACACATCAGCAGGTTGGGTTGGGGGTTAAACCACCAGATAGTCCCAAGCGCAGCTCACTGCTCCCCTCCATGGGGATGGCTCAAATGCGGAGATGAATTGCACCATCGTGTGATGATGACCAACTTTAAGTTGACTTTATAATTTGCACCTTTTAGATTCCTGGTAGAAGAAGCTCGCACAAGCAGCAGTTTGAAGCAGCACCTGCTGCATCTTAATAACTAGTATTACAGGTGAATGCACCAATATTTGCACAAAAATAATTTTTGTTTTAAACTCTCAGTGACACACTTGGCAGAGGAGGGTGGGGTTGGCAATTAATTTTTCTTGGCGCCTGGAAAAACATCTCCTTCTGCCCCCTTTATTTTGGTCCCAGACCATTACTGGGCTGGCCCTGTTAAACACCTTCTACACCCCTGCCTAGTAGACTTAATGAAGTATTTTTAAGCCAGTATAAAAATGACTGAAACACAAATATACATATTTGGCATTACTGACCAATATCTTTGGTTTAATTTATGTGTTACGAACATCGAGATGCATTACAGTGAACATTATAATAAAGTACGTGTTTCCAGAGCAGAGAGGAGACGACCCATAGAAGCACTGGTCTGATCTCATTTCAGAGAAAACTAGAACAGGTCAGATGCACCTGATAAATAAAATTACTAACATAAACTCAGGAATCTGTTTCTTTGCTTCGTTGTTCTGGTGCTGAAAACATCACTAATGTGGATCAAAGGAGACACACAGATGAATGCACCTTATAATTGAAATGAGTGGGCGTGGTTTACATCTATACATTATTTTAAATCTGAAATTGATATGGAATGATCAGAAGTTGCTATGTGTATTGTTTATTAGAAAACTATTTACAGAGCAGCCTCAGAATTGAGATTAAATATTTTTGATCACAATAGTAAAGGAAGTATTACAGAACCAGTTTTTCAGTAAAATCAGAATATTAATATTTAAGTGCATGGATTAATGCATCTGAACTCATGCAGCAGGAACTAGGAAATATGAAATGCTAAAACCATTTTATTTTTATTTGATTAAACAGATTTTTTCCTAACGTTGTTGGCATTCTTCCCACACACAGTTAAACAAAACAATGGTGACGAAGGTGGGTGGGTGTGGGTGAGAGTGAGAGTGAGAGTGAGAGTGAGAGAGAGAGAGAGAGAGAGAGAGAGAGAGAGAGAGAGAGGGAGAGAGAGAAAGAGAGAAAAAGAGAAAGAGAGAGAGAGAATAATTTAAAATACCCGACCGGAGCGGAGGCAGTGACCGACGCATGCACGTGCCGTTTTCAGCTCTGTCTTGTCAAATGTACCATGTACGTTACGAAAAAAGGAAACTTTCAATATTCAACTGAAAAAGAGGCGAGCTGAAGAAAACCTAGAGAGCACTGAAGAAACGTGAGCAACAGCGAAGCAAGCACAGAGAGATCCGTTTGATTTTGGCCCTCTTTTATGTTGAATCCATTCCACAGTTTTCATTGGTACACTCAATCCAAATGTGTTTCACACATTTGTCCTTTACCAGAATGTTTCATCTATCTTGTAATTTCCATTTTGTATTTTGTAATTTGAATTTCTTTTATTGTTGATTTATCCAATATATTTACATACAACTGTACAATGTTCAGCGCTTTGGCCTTCCTGACAGGGTTGCGGAAGGCGCTTTATAAATAAAGCTTTGATTGATTGATTGATTGGTTACTGTGTGTGTGTGTGTGTGTGTGTGTGTGTGTGTACCGAACTGAGCTTCCAGCTGCAGAGTTTTGTGTGAAGAGAGGGGCGGGCGCTCTATGTGACTGGCCAATCACAGAGCGTGAAGGCAGTCAGTTACCCAATGAGGATTTTTCTTCAGCACGATTACAGATATTTACGAGTTTTACTCGTTTCATGCTCGTATTCGTCAAAAATGCTTTATCCGCTCATCCCTAGCTGTAACCACCCTGGCCCTGCCTCCTCCTCCTTGCTGCCTGCCGGCTGTGATCACAAGCAACAACAGAGTAGTTCCCGCTGCTTCTTCGGGAAACAGCGCAAAAAAAAATATTTTTTAAATCTATAAAACAGGATCTTGTAGGCGTGGCGCTGGGATTTCAGCCGTGGCGGGCCACCTATGTAAGGGAAACACTGCACTCCACTTTTGCCAGTCAACTTCAGGGTTCATTTCAAGATCCTGGTTCTGGTCTATAGGGCCTTACATGGACAAGCACCATCTTACATTGGTGATCTTCTCAGTCCCTACACCCCCAGCAGGTCCCTGAGGTCCAGTGACCAAAGCCTACTGGTTGTGCAGCACCAGGCTAAAGGTCAAAGGTGACAGATCATCTGCTGCTGTGGCCTCCAGACTCTGGACCTCTCTCTCCCTGAGCCTGAGATCAGTGGACTCAGTGGTCTCCTTTAAAAAGCAGCTGAAGACTCACTTGTTCAAGCTGGCTTTTGGATGACCTTCTTCACCTCTCTCTCTTTATTCTGCTCTCCCCACCTATTCCACCTTCCTCAGGATCCACTGATTTCCCTCTTTCCTGTTCACTCTCTCTCTGTCTTAACATTTTTTTAAATCACAATTGTCTATTTTTGCTCATTTTAAATATATTTTTAAACATTTTCTAAATGCTTTTTTATATTTTTACATTTTTTTGTTTTTGTGAAGCGCCTCGTGATTTTTATCTTGAGAGGCGCTTCACTCACATCCGTCTCACTTTCCATCCATCACCCTTTAAATTCTCACCTCGGCCTCTCTCTTGATGGTGTCCACCCTGCTGATGAGCTTACAATAAGCCTGGAACAGCAACAGCAACTGAAAGTGCAACTTATAGAGCCTCCGACACAACTCCAGCTCCTGCAGAGACAGACAGGAAGTGACACGTCAGCACCGAGGTCCAGCAGAAGCACCCACATTTCTCTCATCATCACATGATTAGACAGATGGGCATACTGGGTTAGGAATATGGGAGTAGATGAAAGGGTTAACATGAACTAATGATACCAGTACCATTTGGGTTGAGCCATGAAGGAACGTGAGTGAACGACTAGAATAGTGACATCACCGCGTGGAGGGATGCCGTTTACTGAGCTACCAAATATGACTTTAATCCTGGGAAACGTGAAAATAATAAAATATATGATTGGAACAGATACAGGAATGAAATAATAGGCATGCAAAATGAAAAGACACTAACAAGATCCTTTGGTATTGATAAGAGCCCATCTGAAATCAAAAGGACCGAATCCAGGATGTGGTCCATCTGCGGACAGAATCAGGCTGCTCTACTGATAACAGAACGAGGCACGTGCTGCAGAACACAACAACAGCATCTTAAGATTGGGTGGATGAGGCTGCTGAATTGGGTTACAGGACAAATCAGAGCAGAAACAAAGATACAGAGCGGTGGGTGGGGCGGAGGCAGCAGAGCAGCAGGCTGTGGGTGTCGGCAGCGTGGGGGGGGGGGGGGGGGGGGGGGGATGAGATGGTCAGTGATGTGTCTGGGTGTCATCGTTATTAAAATGTAGAATATGAGAACCACTTACTGCCAGATTCTCCATTTGCTAAGCAAGAAGGTGAGCAGGTCACACACACACACACGCACACACACAAGAGAGAAAGACCAAGAATTAGTGAGCTTTAACATGACAGCTGAGACACGGCGACCTGAAGCGGTGGTTTATCGTGTTTCCTGTCAGACGGGGTCAACACTAGAGCTCTCCTCAACAGCAGAGCTCCTCTGAGACGCTAAACACCAGCGTGTAAAAGGAAGGCGAGACAGATATGGTGCAGAGGAGGCTGCAGACAGGAGACAAGGGTTCCTCTAAAGCCAGGCTGGCTGGGGTGTGACTGGTGGAGATAAATCTGCTCTTTTCCCACTGGAATCACACTGAACTGGTTTACAGGTGGTTAGGTCACGTCGGGCGTTCAGCGTAATCTTAAAGATTAACCCTAACCCTAACCACATGAAAAGGTGTCTCACTTTTCTGGCACTTTCTGACTAAAAGAAACCAAACTGAGAAAGTTCCAGACGACTACAGCTCCGGCTGTTTAGACAGAAAATCTGGTGCACATCATTTAAACAAGATAAAAATGATGTGCACATGACGGCGAGGCTCAGCGGGGAGACTGGGAACGTTTCCTCAGGTTTAAACTCTCCCTTGTGAATGCTGTTGCTGCCCGGAGACGGGGTGGACTCAGAACCTGACGTCACATTTAACCTGAGATATCTACGTATCTGGATAGTTGGAAACATGAATATAAATACTGAGTGACTTAGTTTAAAAAAGCATTCTGTCTGTTTTAGACCAAACTTCTGTTAAAACGCTGCTTTCATGAGACAACACCATGCAGTACTGACAGCCAGCTGCCACCTAGGTGTACCAGACCCCTCCGAACGGACCTGACACACCCACCGCCTGTGTGCTCTTTAACTATTTAGTGTTTTCTGTAAAGTTTTCTGCGTGTTCCCTTGACAAGAGCAATCTGGCTTTAGGACACGCTTGGTTTGTTTCAGGTGAAGGTGAGCCGCTAACCAGCCAGCTGAGCAGCTTCATGGTGCTTCATGATGGCTGGGTGAACTTTGTTAGCTTGTGATCATCTTGAGTTTATTTGATGCAAGGTAGGAGGACCCGCTTGAACACGAGATGTTTTATCTCGAGCGGTTTCATCCTCATGAGATATAAGTTTATAAATAAATAAATAAATAAATGTGAGGATCAGACATCAGGAGGAGATTCAGACGGGCCCATTACAGAAAAATAAACACTCGGTCTAAACTTCATAGTTAACATCAACAAGCTGATCCACAACATCAAACAAACCTTTTCAACACTTTCCACCTGGAAGTGGCGCCACTGAGTGAGAGCATGCGTGTCAGACACTGGGTCCTACCTGCGCGTGAGTACTGGGTGGTTGGCTGTTGTCTTGGTCACTGAACGTTTTCCGGCAGTTCTCCAGCCACTGCAGGAATGAGGGGACAGACAGGTGAAACACGGAGCAGCAGGGGAGTAAAGAGCGCTCAGGGGAAGGAGAGGATGTCTTTGTTCATCCAGACGTGCATCAGTGTCAGCTCGGGTTGGCCACGAAGGAGATTTAATCAGAATGCCGTACTTAGCAAATTAAAGATGGTCTGCTCTCAAGCACAGGATGGTATCTAGACCTCCAGGGAACACTCCCGTCTCACTCAGTCTCCCTGCATCCCAGAACCCTCTGCAATCTCATTTCTCTGTATTTCCCCTCCCCCCTTCCTCACTTCTCCCACTCCTCAAAGCTTCTCCCGCCTGGCCTGCTGGAGCTGAGCGAGGAGTGCTCTGGGTTATTTTTATCCCTCCAGTAGGGGTTGGTATGAGCGATGCACACAGTAACGGCAGCTAAATCTGCTCAAACCCTTTATGAGTCAACGTCTGTCCTCCTGAGACAGCCCAGTCTCCTTCCTCATGCTCACCCAGCTGCCAAGCACAAAGAAACAAGAACACCGTTTCTCAGCCTGTCTGACTCCAGCTGAGAATCCTCTATGATGTCATCCCTTATACTCTCCTTCAGTCACGTCCTGATGCAGGAGTAGGTGAGACAACATGCCTGGGGAGTTCAACGACCATACGAAAGCAGAGCTGATGAATGTGGGCTGACTTACAAGCTCTGCGGATTCCCTTTTGGTGTTGTAAGTGTCCAGGTGCTCCTGCAACTCCAACACACTGAACTTAAGAGTCTCCAAGAGTCCACAGGAGACCAGCTGCAACAGGACAGGACACCGTGTGTGTTAGCATCAGTAATACATATTTCATTACCTGGAAAATACAACGTCAGACAGGTAAAAGCTCTACTCCATACAAAACACGGATAAAGTTACCGTTTCTGCATCCAGCAACACAGTTGGACATCGTGAGCATGACGTCATGACTTCTAGAGAGCTGAGAAACTGGTTGCCCATCCGCTGGAGCCTTTCTCCAAGAAAGCGAACAGAAGCATGTGTAATAGAAGCAAACTTCCTCTGGATTCTCTGTGGAAAAAATGAATAAAATAAAACATGAACATGTCTGAGTGTGCTCCATTTGAAACCAAACACAGAAACATTTACCTCAAAGAGTCTGGAGAACACATGGAACGTGTAAACAGCAGAGGACCCGTCTGTGTCGGACAACATCTGGTTGACATGGCAACGCCAAGCATCCTCTTCATTGTCATAGGCGACAGGCTGGAATGCTGCCAGAATGGCGGAGAGAAAGGGCGAAGGGGGCGGAGAGGCCTGGGTCTCTGGGAAGCCATCTGCGTCACCTTCATCCTGACTAAAACACAGACAGGAGCCAATAAGCTACAAGCCCTCGTTCTCTGCACCCCTACACTGAAGGGCAAACGTAAACACACGAGCACGCGCCTGTGCCTGCAAGTAAACAACCTCCCACTGCTGTGTTCGTCTCTGTCAATGTGAATATTGAGAGATCCAAGCATGGCAAAGTCAGCTATTAGCATTTTAGCATCGTGCAAAGCCACCCATCCACACTCACACACACACACACACACACACACGCGGATACTCACAGGCCTGTAGAACCGAACAGTCTGAAGAAGCAAACAGAATACAAGTATCTGAAGCCTGCACTGCTGAGCGCTGCAGCGGACACGGTCTCCGTCCTCATCCTCATCACAACTAACGCTGCTCTCTCTGGGCTGCAGCACGGCTGCTAGCAGCACTAGCGCACTGCACTCTCATCCCACACAGGACTGCAGAGTGCTCTATACAAGCTAAGCATCTACACACACACACACATACACACACACACACACTCCTGCATGCTAAGCTTGCTCCAAACCCCACACTAATAAAACAGTGCTGGAGTTGCTTTCATCTGACACACACACACACACACACACACACACACACATACACACACACACACACACACACACACACTCCTGCATGCTAAGCTTGCTCCAAACCCCACACTAATAAAACAGTGCTGGAGTTGCTTTCATCTGACACACACACACACACACACACACACACACACACACACACACACACACACACACACACACACACACACACACACACACACACACACACACACTTGACTCTGTGTGAGTGAAACCATCAGAGACTACCTGAGCAGGTGTTTCTGCACGTTCGCTACAGAAGTGTTTAGTAAAGCTTCAGCGTACTTCACACGCTGATCCTCAGGACTGTCCTCTGTACAGGTGGACCACCTTGAAAAGGACAACTGGACAGGAGCCAGCTACTCTATGCCACCTTCAAGTTCCAGGAAACAGTGCTCAAATAAAACATCCCATAATATTTTAATGACTTCATCTAAGATAGTAGACTGGACAGTTGTGCAAAGGTTGATATATTAATGCTAGCCAGAAATGCTGCAGACTTCGGCTATAAGAGCCGTTTTAGGACAGTAGCAATCTGCTCTCTTACCTGTTGGCTCATCTTTCTCTGACCAGAGACGGTTTGATTGGTAATTGTCATTTTTAAAATGTATACACACAAACACACTTCTGAACGGCCAAAACAATCTTTTGAAGCAGCCTTTTTGTGTAATTTACCACATTCTTTCTGGAATCTTCTTCCATTAATTATTTAAAAACCAAGCATCTGGTCTCAGATGAACAGCTCGGCACATTTAGGATTAAAGGAGGGCTGAATTCAGTAGAGCAGATATAAAGTGTGACTGGCCCACCTAGACATGCCAGAGAAGTCAGCCTCTTCCTCCTCACAGCGCTCATCCAGCTCCTTCAGAGCCTGAGTCACATCTTCTTCCCACATAGAACCGCAGGTGCTGTCTGGATCTGGGTAGGGATCAGCTTTGGGATCTGTCGGAATGGTAATGCACAGGGGCAGTACCGTTTGGGCTTCCTCTTCACTAAAGGATCCTGGTGGTGTGTCCATGGCCGGCGGGGGAGGGGGGGCCGGATCCAGGTCTTCTGGAGGGTCCTGGGCCTCCTGGGAGTCCTGAGAGTCTTGGGGGTCCTGTGAGTCTGGGAGGTCACATAGTTCTGTAGGGTCAGAGGGCAAAGGGGGGGCACTGCAAAATCCCATGTCCTCACTCATGCTGCTGCTCAGCTCATCAGCTGCGGTCATGCTAACAGCGTCCTGCAACACACAGCAAAGAGGCGTTTAGGAGCAGCTTAAGTCATTTCAATAAACAAGTCTGACAACGACACACTGCAGTGTAAAGCACTTTGGAATCCTCCGACTCTGAGAGGCGCTGTAAGCACCTCGCGATTTTTATCTTGAGAAGCGCTATAGAAAAGATCTTTTCTTCTTCTTCTTCTATACAATCGTATACAAATGCAGATCACTTATCAAGGTTTGTCTTCTATTTTTCTTTCTTTAAACACAAATAAATAAAAACAATTTGTTGGGTTTGTATCGTCTGATCAACACAACATTATTAGCATTGTTCATAGGTAAGAATAAGAATACCTTTATTAGTCCCTCAGTGGCTCAGGTACTACAGGATAGCAGCAGTAGCACACAATGTATCGCACAAGAGTACATAATAAGTTAAGATAATTATTGCGCATGGTAATGATAGCAGTAGTTATATTGCGCATGGTAATGATAGCAGTAGTTATATTGCGCATGGTAATGATAGCAGTAGTTATATTGCGCATGGTAATGATAGCAGTAGTTATATTGCGCATGGTAATGATAGCAGTAGTTATATTGCGCATGGTAATGATAGCAGTAGTTATATTGCGCATGGTAATGACAGCAGTAGTTATATTGCGCATGGTAATGATAGCAGTAGTTATATTGCGCATGGTAATGATAGCAGTAGTTATATTGCGCATGGTAATGATAGCAGTAGTTATATTGCGCATGGTAATGATAGTAGTAGTTATATTGCGCATGGTAATGATAGTAGTAGTTATATTGCACATGGTAATGATAGCAGTAGTTATATTGCACGTGGTAATGAAAGCAGTAGTTATATTGCGCGTGGTAATGATAGCAGTAGTTATATTGCGCGTGGTAATGATAGCAGTAGTGATATTGCGTGTGGTAATGATAGCAGTAGTTATATTGCACATGGTAAAGATAGTAGTAGTTATATTGCACATGGTAATGAAAGCAGTAGTTATATTGCGCATGGTAATGATAGCAGTAGTTATATTGCGCATGGTAATGATAGCAGTAGTTATATTGCGCGTGGTAATGATAGCAGTAGTTATATTGCGCGTGGTAATGATAGCAGTAGTTATATTGCGCATGGTAATGATAGCAGTAGTTATATTGCGCATGGTAATGATAGCAGTAGTTATATTGCGCATGGTAATGATAGCAGTAGTTATATTGCGCATGGTAATGATAGCAGTAGTTATATTGCGCATGGTAATGATAGCAGTAGTTATATTGCGCATGGTAATGATAGCAGTAGTTATATTGCGCGTGATAATGATAGCAGTAGTTATATTGCGCATGGTAATGATAGCAGTAGTTATATTGCGCGTGGTAATGATAGCAGTAGTTATATTGCGCATGGTAATGATAGCAGTAGTTATATTGCGCATGGTAATGATAGCAGTAGTTATATTGCACATGGTAATGATAGCAGTAGTTATATTGCGCATGGTAATGATAGCAGTAGTTATATTGCGCGTGGTAATGATAGCAGTAGTTATATTGCGCGTGGTAATGATAGCAGTAGTTATATTGCGCGTGGTAATGATATCAGTAGTTATATTGCGCATGGTAATGATAGCAGTAGTTATATTGCGCATGATAATGATAGCAGTAGTTATATTGCGCATGGTAATGATAGCAGTAGTTATATTGCGCATGGTAATGATAGCAGTAGTTATATTGCGCATGGTAATGATAGCAGTAGTTATATTGCTCGTGATAATGATAGCAGTAGTTATATTGCGCATGGCAATGATAGCAGTAGTTATATTGCGCGTGGTAATGATAGTAGTAGTTATATTGCGCGTGGTAATGATAGCAGTAGTTATATTGCGCGTGGTAATGATAGCAGTAGTTATATTGTGCATGGTAATGATAGCAGTAGTTATATTGCACATGGTAATGATAGTAGTAGTTATATTGCACATGGTAATGATAGCAGTAGTTATATTGCACATGGTAATGATAGCAGTAGTTATATTGCACACGGTAATGATAGCAGTAGTTATATTGCACATGGTAATGATAGTAGTAGTTATATTGCACACGGTAATGATAGCAGTAGTTATATTGCACATGGTAATGATAGTAGTAGTTATATTGCGCATGGTAATGATAGCAGTAGTTATATTGCTCGTGGTAATGAAAGCAGTAGTTATATTGCGCGTGGTAATGAAAGCAGTAGTTATATTGCGCATGGTAATGATAGCAGTAGTTATATTGCGCATGGTAATGATAGCAGTAGTTATATTGCGCGTGGTAATGATAGCAGTAGTTATATTGCGCATGGTAATGATAGCAGTAGTTATATTGAGCATGGTAATGATAGCAGTATTTATATTGCGCGTGATAATGATAGCAGTAGTTATATTGCGCATGGTAATGATAGCAGTAATTATATTGCGCATGGTAATGATAGCAGTAGTTATATTGCGCATGGTAATGATAGCAGTAGTTATATTGCGCATGGTAATGATAGCAGTAGTTATATTGCGCATGGTAATGATAGCAGTAGTTATATTGCGCGTGGTAATGATAGCAGTAGTTATATTGCGCATGGTAATGATAGCAGTAGTTATATTGCGCGTGGTAATGATATCAGTAGTTATATTGCGCATGGTAATGAAAGCAGTAGTTATATTGCACATGGTAATGATAGTAGTAGTTATATTGCACATGGTAATGATAGCAGTAGTTATATTGCGCATGGTAATGATAGCAGTAGTTATATTGCGCATGGTAATGATAGCAGTAGTTATATTGCGCGTGATAATGATAGCAGTAGTTATATTGCGCATGGTAATGATAGCAGTAGTTATATTGCGCATGGTAATGATAGTAGTAGTTATATTGCGCATGGTAATGATAGCAGTAGTTATATTGCGCGTGGTAATGATAGCAGTAGTTATATTGCGCATGGTAATGATAGCAGTAGTTATATTGCGCGTGGTAATGATATCAGTAGTTATATTGTGCATGGTAATGAAAGCAGTAGTTATATTGCACATGGTAATGATAGTAGTAGTTATATTGCACATGGTAATGATAGTAGTAGTTATATTGCACATGGTAATGATAGCAGTAGTTATATTGCACATGGTAATGATAGTAGTAGTTATATTGCACATGGTAATGATAGTAGTAGTTATATTGCACATGGTAATGATAGCAGTAGTTATATTGCACATGGTAATGATAGTAGTAGTTATATTGCACATGGTAATGATAGCAGTAGTTATATTGCACGTTTTGAAAAGATGGTATTTGCAGTGGAAGGTTACAGATGTATGGCTTCTATTAGCAGTGACTATTATAGAGTCTAACAGCAGCAGGGAGGAAAGATCTGCAGAAGCTCTCCTTCGTACAGACACAAGCCTCCGACTGGATAATGACTGCTTGGGCGATTATCTTTCAGCTGGTAATACGTTAGTTTACCCTAACTGGTGTAATGAGTTGCTTCTCATTTCTTAAACAATGGAAAGACACATCTGGTGGTCGTGGAAAAGATCTGTTAGAGAAAGGGTCAGATCATTGGCACTCATCAAGCAGAGAAAACATCTAAGATGCAGAAACGACTAAAACTGGGTTAAGAACTGTCCAACGCATTATTAAAAACTGGTCTGATGAGTCCAGATGGACCCTGGTCCAGAGTGATGGTGCAGATGAAGTGATGCATCCATCATGCCCAGTGCCTACTGTACAAGCCTGTGGAGGCAGTGTTATGATCTGGGCTTGCTGCAGGTGGTCAGGTCCAGGTTCAGCAACAGGATACGCTCCAAGAATGATGTCAGCTGACTACCTGAACATACTGAATGACCAGGTTATTCCATCTTCCTTGATGACACGGGCATATTCCAAGATGACAATGCCAGGATTCATCAGGCTCAGATAGTGGAAGAGTGGTTCTGGGAGCATGAACATCATTTTCACACATGGATTGGCCGCCTCAGAGTCCAGACCTTAACATTGAGAATCTTTGGTATGTGCTGGAGAAAGCTTTGTGCAGCAGTCAGACTCTACCATCATCCGTGCAGATCTTGGTGAAACATGAATGCAACACTGGATGGAAATAGATCTTGTGACGTTGCAGAAGCTTATTGAAACAATGCAACAGCAAATGTGTGTGTAATCAAAGCTGGTGGTGGCTTTTTTGGTCAGGCAGTGTATATTATTGGAACAAAAAAAGAACACAACTTCAGTGTGTGTACTGTCGACAACTTAATACAGTTCTATTACCCAAAAAGACATTTAGTAGCATAGTAAACCTCAGATGAAGCTGTGCTCATGTGTTTTATTGGGAACGATTAGATGGGTCGTTGGAGTCAACCCAATGGAAGATGGCTGTCATAACCAAACAGCATTAGAAAACACAAAAATATAAAAGATAAATGAGCCGCACTTGTATAACACCTTTCAGAGTCAGAGGACTTCAAAGTGCTTTATCAATTATTAAATTATTTACTGATATTGAGCTAACATTTGATATAGTAATTAGTAGCTTTAAGTCATTCACAACCCATATACTTGAGTGCTAACAGTACGTCTGAGAAGAACCCACAGAATGTTAATCAAAACCATAACTCCATCCGTTCTCAACCATGACATGAAAGGTAGGAGGTGTTTGATACTTGAATTGCACACAGCTTGTTCTTACTAATCCTACAACTCAAACGGTGTTTATTACAGTAAAAACTACCAAGGTGGTTCTCACTTTCACAGAAATGTTTAAAGTGAGCCCACGTCTCCTCCCTTTCCAGTCGGCTCATGGGTCCCCAGAAGAACAAAAGCATGAATGCAAGTCAACGGGGCTAAAAGAGCCGTTTTCTAGTCCTGGATCGCACATATGTTGTACTTTAACTTCAATGAAAAGTAACGATGTCCGTTTCAACCTCGCCAGTCACGTACTTTGAGATTTTTCAGCTCGTAAAAGTTCATAATTAGCACGACTACAAATCAGACGTCGGTATGTCGCATATGTGACCTCCCCACAGAATCTGCTCTCCACTAGCGTAGCTGCTACGTACCACAGGGCCAGACTTATGGTGGTTCTTTCCTCCTGGACGAAGTATTTGAAGTTCGCTGAACTTACAGCCATTTTCTTCTGCCTTTTACTGTGTCTGGTTCAACGACGTCACTTTGGTGATGTGCATTTGTAGTCCTTGACGTATTTTCACACAAAACCTAAAATAACTTTTGCCCCCGTTTGTACATAACCGCTTTCTTGGCATCAGAATGCGTCTTTGAAATTCACGGACAGCACATGTGAAATCCATGGTGCATAAACATTAGAAAATAGTGTTTTTAGTCCCATTGACTTGCGTTTCCTTTTTCGTTCTTCCTGTGACCCATGGTGCGGAAGTAGATGGGCGTGACCTAGGCTCCCTATTCCTCCCAAATTTGTGGTTGTCATGACAACCCCAACTGACCAGGGAAGATCACAGACTGGCTACTGCAGCTAAATTATAGCTTTACTGAGGGTCGATGCAGCCCAGACTAAAAGCATATACTTGTTAAATGACACAACACCAAGAGGAACTAAAACAAATCTACAGAACAGCACAGCAGCCAATAGTAATGCATCACTAACAACAAAGAGCAGCGCCTCGATGTAAATGATTGGAACAGCTAGTGAATGAGACCCCCAGCTGTGAAGACGTGATTTACTACTGACGCCACATAAATAATGACCCATGTTGGCAGACATACGTGATTGATTTGTGTATAGGATTGTACCGAGGTCTATGATTTACAACTAACCTCAACTAAAACATCTATTACATTAAACAGCTACAGAAAGACCCAGCTAGCTACATCACTCGGTAATGAAACTACAAAGCTGCTAACACGGACGGATGTCCTGAGGACAGGACAGGAAGTCCTCATCAGAAGAAACAGGGTTTCGTTCCCCGTCTCTTTTCCGGTCTGGTGCAGCACATGGCAGATGGCCAGAACATCACACAGACCGCATCTATTTTACGGAAAGCTTTTAGAGACGGTCATGGCCGCCGTGAAGGGAATGAGTAAGCGTATCGATGGTTTTATCTGAGCCTCATTATACTAAGAGCTGGGGGTGCGTCAGAGGGAGGGGCGTCCTTGAACTGACATTGAGACCGCCGGCAAATAGAGTTCCCAGAAAGTTGCACTCTAACATGGTATTAAAACAAACTGAGGATAATTCTGCACTGTTTACGTTTGAATCAAATCCCCACACTGATCACTCCAAAGCCAGACACATTACACTCACTGTTGTTAGTATCAGTGACACACACCAGCAAGTGAAAAGCATAAGACAAGCTGTGGCGTGTTAATAAGGTAGAAAGTGGGAAGAGTTCCACGGCTGGACCACCACTGATCATCTACCAAGTGCACGTTAGAGTTCAACACACACGTGAACACGACTCATACTCACGCGTCTGCTGAAGGTAATGCAGCAGGCGTCGCTTTCGTGGCTTTTTACATGAAGGGTTTAGTTGAAATGGTCAGTTGCTGAGTAATTGGGGGGTGAGCAGTAACAGCTGACCTGAGGTGAGCTTTTCATTTTCATTGCTTCCCAAATCACACGATCAAGCCCCACCGCTACTAAAGGTGCAAGAGCTGAACAGCCAGCCGTTAGCACCCACACCCAAAGCAAAGCAACCCGAAAAGCAGTGGCGGATGGGATCTTATCCCAACAGCAGGTGCACGGCTACAGAACCAGCACTTTCACCCCCTAAAGACAGCCGAGCTCAAAATAAACGACAAGCCAAAAAGTGTAGCTGAAGCAGACGAGAGCTGGACGGAAAGAAACATGCAAGCTAAAAAGCGCCCGAGCACCAGAGTTTATCGCTTCTCCCGATTGATCGCACCTCAGGCAGCTGGCTGCTGGTGCTGTCTGAGTGGGCCATCTCCAAACTGGGGCTATCCAGTCGGGGGAGGGAGGGAAGAGAGGGCAGGGTGGGCAGAACCGTGGCCTCTTCGGTCATGGCGCTGCTAGACGACTCTTGGGACTGCTGCAAAGAGTCCACGTGGTTGGATGCAGTGTCGTCTGTGGCGGAGTCGCTGTTGAGCTGCAGAACAAAACAATAAATGAATAAAAACAATAAATGAATAAAAACACATGTGAGCTTTCCTCTACGGCTCATTTAAACACAACTTCACACTCTGAACAGGATGTAGTACTTTGATCTGGCATCTTTATGACGCTGTAAGAAGATTAGTGTTTCATGTGATCATTATTGATCACAAAAGTCAATCAAGAGTCTAAAGAGGCTTCAATCTAGTTAGCTCGCAGGCTCAGCTACAGTTCAGAAGGTAACAGAAGGGAACAAACACACCGCTGTGGTAAAAAGTCACTACGTAAAACACAAGGATGTTTAGTCATTTTAGTTAGACGACCTCTTCATTTAGCATCTTCGAGCCATCATGCTATTCTTCTGATATAAAACACATTTTTTGATCACATTAATTATGCATGCCCAATTTTCTGGATTGTAAAACAGAGTAGCACACGTCCGATCGAGGCAGAAGCTCATTCTTACACCATGCACTAGCAGGGTTAGAAAAAAGCAGCAAGAGAGACAACTTTGATCTCCTCGAGACTGAGGTGAAGCTTTAATGTCGGTGTAATCGAAGGGGATTTTAGGGGAGACTACGCCTGCAGAGCAAAACAAAACATAGGAGTTAGAAAGAAGCTGCCGAGCCGTTAGAACAAAAGCATAGAACCATGCCCAAATACATTAATTCGGTTTTACTTATAAATCATTTATATAATCTATAAAGTTAATGCTAAACTCATTTATCTCACATCTACGCAGTACTTACCACCGCTAAACACTTCCAGCATCTATTCACCGACTCTACATCTATAAATATTACTCATGACAGTCAGAGGTAGAAGGTCTGGGCTGAGATCTGAAGGAGGCAACAGCCACCAGCAAAGCAGCAGGTCCAGCTCAGTATGCGCGCACGCACACACACACGCACACACACCATGCCAGCGGGCTGTGTGAGGGCCACGGTAGGTTGGGGAGGAGGGGGACCCTGCTTGGAGTAAAACTTACAAGGCCAGAGTGGGTGAGAATCTGGCTAGCGCTCAGTACCTCCTCCTCAGACGATTCGTCCGTGTCCTCGTGGTTGGTGAGGTTGAGGCTCGGCGTGCTGCCGGTGTACTGGCACTCCTGCAATGATGGCGTGTCCCCCTTGTCCATGCTCTCCAGGGACCGGCGCCGGACACCCCAGTTGAAGTTGTCCATACTCTCCCCCTGCAGGAAAGCCAAGCCGACAGCAGTGAGACACAAGGAGAGCAAAAGTAGCATCTGGGGTACGAACGTGCTAATTAAAACCGAATTTTTGTAAGATTAGAAAATTTGGTCAAATTAAGATGAGACTTTATCGATCCCGCCACAACGGGGAAGTGTCTGCATTACCACAGTTCAGACTGATAGAAGAAGAAGAAAATATCATTTCTATGGCGCCTCTCACGATAAAAATCACGAGACGCTTCACAAAAACAAAACAAGTAAAAATATAAAAAAGCATTTAGAAAATGTTTAAAAATATATTTAAAATAGCAAAGCAGTACAAAAGTGACCAATAATGCAAAAATCAAAAAGACAAGGCACGACATACAACAGTAGTTCCTACACACACACACACACACACACACACACACACACACACACACACACACACACACACACACACACACACACACACACACACACACACACACACACACACACACACACACACACACACGGTAAGCATTACGGATAAGGAGTTGTGAGTCATTTATCTAAAGTATCGGCTGTTCTGCTACAACTACTCTTTACTGTGTTTACAGGCGTGAACATGTAAGCACACATGTAAACATGTAACAGGAACTAAACTATGAAACAGCGACACGCTTAGGTCAGTGGAATGGTTTTCTCCTCACACTTCAGGGTTGATACGTCATGCAAAGTTCTACGTTATTTATGAAAGCTTCTCCATCACAGAAGTAAAAATGTAAATCTAACTTCCACTTCCCTGACTTTAATCATAACAGTGGGAGTGCAGGGTGGAAGAACAACAACAAAACCTGGAAATGCTGTCTGGAGCCCAAGAACTTACCTGCAGTTCCTTGTAGCAAGAGAGGAGAAAGAATATGTGTGTTAGTAGACTCCAGCAAGCTACAACCACACTTGTGTTTATTAGTGCTAAACTGGCTACGCTGCTGCATAACTAAACATAGAGGAAGGTTAAGAGTGACGAGTCGCTGAGCTGGACAAAAACATTAGCATCGGCTCCCAGTAGAAAATTAGAAATGAGTTGATTGTGTAGAGAAAAAAATCACCTGACTACTTAAACTGCTCTATTAGCCAGCAATCATATTATCATTAGACCTGGCTGTAACATTCTTACCTCAGCATCCTCCAACTCCACATCCAAGAAGTCAAAGTCTTTAAAGACTCCAAACTGCTGCTCGCTGCCCGTGTCTTCTCCCTGCACCTCCTCCTCCCTCACCACCTCCTCCACCGTGGGTATCAAACTCGTCTGCTGGTCTGCTGAGTCCAGATCCTCATTGGATGAGAAGACCACCTGGAGGGAAGATGGGCTTCTTTAGTTACACGCTCAGATTCAAGCCTAGCCACCAAACAAACCAACAGAAAAGGGACCCAAAGCCCCAGCAGCAGTAACTATAACTGTAATTCACATCGAGAAGGAGAGGAGTCTTACAGAAGGGTTTTTGGGGATGCCGGATTCTGGGCCACATAAAGACAGGACATTCATCAGCCTTTCTCTGGTTCTTCTCTGTGAAACAACACAGCTGAATGAGAAAATAACACCAGAAACTTAACATACATCAACCATACAGAGAGGAAAATAAAAGGTACAACTTTTTGGATCCATTTGTGTAAAGTAACCCTTTTGTCTGGTGATGAATTAGATACACACAAACAAAGATGGATTCCAGTTAAACGAGGAAGCATCAGCAGGTACCTGAGATAGCTGAGGCCTTTTCCAGCTCACTGGCACCAGGCCGTTGGAGTTAGAGCCAGACGAGGTAGAAGAGGTACTCCTCGTCACAGCGATCACCTGAGCTTTTCCATTCCGGCCAGCTGCTGTGCGCTGATCTCCATATTTATGGCCTATAATTGGAGTCTGAAGAGGTAATTATGAAGCCAGCTGTGAGATATTGACAGGAAGCTGTGAGAATAAACATTCTGAAGAAACGTGCTGGGAGAACTTTGACCTCTGAGATGTCAAAATGAAAGTCCAGAGTCTTCCCAGGCAGCTCCTTTGAGGAGTTGTTGAATATACGAGTGAAGGCGATTTCTGGAGACCCACAGGATTCTGTGCTGTACGAGCACTGCACGTCGTCTGGGACCACGAGGCTGGCAGAGCGAGACACGACCAACTTCAGAATGTTTTGGGCTTCTTTCCAGTGAGGACTCTGCAACAAGAACAAAAACACTGTACTGGTGCACACGTTATAAGTACCATACGTTTGCTGTGCCATCAGCTCTCTGATATACTATTAATGTAAGATGCACACAGGAAACGCCCTCTATAAATAGAGAGGAATAGCAGGCCAGCGCAGAACCTGCTCAGGGCGGTAATGGTATTACAGCTGTCAGATTCCCATCCCAGTTAGAACATGGTGCCGTAAGCCAGTGCTGGTAAGAGGTTTCAGAAGTCTATGCTTGTGACCCTGAAAGGCTCGTCATTACCTCTTAGTCAGTTGTGTTATTTATAAAACGTTAAACTCGTTCATGTTTCCTTACGTTTAAAGTAGGAATAAGAATAAAAACACAACATGAAGACAAGTTTAAACCTTACCTGAACATATTTACCGATGATCTTCATGATCTCGAGGTTGAACTGTTTGACAGGAGCTGCTGATAGGTCAATATGACTCAAAAGGCTGTAGATAATCTGCAACAAAGACTGCTGCATGCTGGGAAGGCCCTTCTCCAGCAGCTGAGAAAGAAACAGTCATCATCTATACCCGGTTTTAGTCACTGATACGCAGAAGTGTGATCCTACTGTTGGATACCTCAGCCAAGTAGGTGACCAGGTTCAAGGTTCTCTCTGCAAAGGCATCATGGAGGTACCGACAGACCACGTTGATCCAGTTGGTGCAGTCGCGGGAGTAGCTGTGTGTGCTGTACAGGCTCATCATGTGGGCCAGGTTGGACAGCGTGGCGGACTTCTCATCAGCACACACTTTGGCTATCTTGTCAGCCGTCTCTTTGCAGAAAGGAGTCGGGTTGTCAAAGTGTTGGATGAGGTGTGGCAGCAAGCACAGGATGTTCAAAGGGAAGCCTGGTGAACAATGAAATACAAACGTCTTAGACCTGATCAGCATTAGTCAAAAACACAAAATAGCAGCGTTCCTGCCCAGTTTTCATGATTCTTGCTTTGTTTGGTATACGTCAGAAGAGTTTACCTGCCACCTGTGAAGGGTCTACCAGTGTTTGTCTGCAGACAGTGATGAGCTTGCTGAGCAGGTGGATGGTGAGCTCCTGCGTAGAAGCAGAGGTGAAACCCTTGAGGAAGAGCTGCTGCAGGCCAGGAAAGTTGTACCACTTCAGCTTTTCCTGGACCGTCTCCAGGCGTTCTCTGCTGTCCGCACGATCCAGAGGCAGCTGGCCCAGCAGCTTGTTGAGGAGCCGCAGGGCCAGCAGGTACTCAAACTCGTAGTCGGACTCCAGCAAAGAGGCGGCGATCCAGAACACGGTGGCCATCAGGTTTGAGGGGTCAACAGGTGGGATGCTGTCTCCCCCTTGACTCCCTCCCCCGCCTAGCGACGATAGGCTCTTTGTGCGCAGCAGATTTAGGTGGCTACCGCCAAGTCGCTCAGGGACATCCAGAGTGTTGCTTCTGCGCCTGTCCACTTTCCGCTCGCCCATCAGGCTGGCTCGGAGCGAGTGGCTTCGAGCGTGGACACAGTGGATCAGATTGCTGCTGTTGAGGTTGAGCTGGCCGGTGCTCTTCCTGTTGGCAGCAAACTTCGCTCCCAGCAACTGGTCACGGGCAGAACTTCTATAATGACAGCAATCGTTTCCTACTTAATACATGTGTAATCCCATTACATAAAGTAATCAGGAATCAAACATGAAGCACATTAGGAACGCAGCGGAAGTGAGGACTTACTGTGCTAAGGCAGAAAGGAGATCATAGTTTTTGATAGAGTCTGCTAAAGTATCAATGCAGGACTCCAGAGTCAGGAGCAGCTCGATGACGAAACCCTAAGAGGAGAAAATGAATCAGTCTGTTAGAAATAACTCGATCCCACTGAGTCTAAATGGCTTTTAAACAGAAAAGGTTAGCTCTGGGGAAGAAACAAAGCTTTTATTTTCAGTTGGCTGTGCGTTTGTCTTTTAACACCTGAAACATCTCGCAGCCTTCCTTACGGTCTAGAAGGGAGATTCATCACGAAACGAAACTAATCAGCTGTGTTCACTCAAGTGTCCCTTTAAAAAGAAGTAAATAATCTGTAAGTGGCGACAAGAACTCGGCTTTTGACTAAAATGCTTGTTACTCACGTCATTACTCAGTAATAAACAGGTTAAGGTTGTCCTAAAAACAACCAGCTGCCATGGAAACCGGCTGCATGTTTCTGGTCCAACTTCCTTCGTGAGATGGATCATTTAAACACGAGACATGAATGCAAGTACAACTTTAAGTTTGTTACAGAGCAAATAACCAAGTACAGTAACAGTAAGGTGAATAATGTTAGTAGTTTCAAGCAGCAGCAACAGATTCAAGCAGAGTTTGAAGGAAAAACGTGACTTTTGCTCCTAATCTTTTCAGGTGTGGAAGAATAAATACAAAAAGAAAATGGGAGGAAATGATGTGTTTTATAATAGAGATGCATTTCCATTTAGCTTTCAAATAAATGATCTTATAAATCGATTTCTAATGACAAAGATAGAAATGTCTGGGCTGTGGGTGTGAACGTGTGTGTGTGTGTGTGTGTGTGTGTGTGTGTGAATGACTGATTGTGTTGTAAAGCACCTTGGGGGGTTTCCAGGACTCTAGAAGGCGCTTTATTAAATGGAGGCCCTTTTTACCGATATATGTCAAATATAAGTTTATGTTTCAAATCCATTTTAAGCCCACATTTGCTATTTCTATATTTAAATTTAGATTAAAATTCTAGACAAAATACACAGATAATGAAGAAAAACCATTTTAAACACAAGAACTCTAACATCTGTAACGTTTGTAGAAAGCAGCTAGCTTTGTTTGGCAACATCACATGACTTTGCTGCAGAGCACCAGGGTGAGGCGGCTGTTTGGCTATCCTGACCTGAGCCTCCTCTCCCGGGTCGCCGACAGTCTCAACCAGACGGGACAGAATGTCAGACAGCGTGGCCAAAGTCAGAGGTTGTTTAAGTGCTCTGAAAATCTGGAACGAGCGGCCAGCGTAGTGGCGCGAGGAGCAAGACAGAGCTGTCCTCAGAGCTACTTCACTCAGCAAGGAGTCAAGTTGGAAACCTGAAGAGAAGCACAAGAACACACACATAAATCCAACCACACCTGGCTGAAGATACCGGTACCACAAGCGAGCAGGAGTAATGTCCCACCTGTCTGGGAATGTTTGAAGACCGTCACAACGTGTCGGACAAAAACACTCAGCTGGTCGGCACTCTTAATGTTGGGGTTCTTGGGGGACACGTCTTCGTGATTCCAGAGCGGACCTCGCTTCCTACAAGGCAGGAGTGAACACACATCAGGGAGTGTGAAAATCACAATTGACCTACTTCAAACTATTCTCACTCCAAAAAAAACAAACAAAACAAAAACAAGCCAGTGACACCAAACTAATTCAAGCCCATGCAAATAAAATACCCGGTCTGTTAGAAACTGCTGCAAGCATGAAAGCAAAATCATCACACAGCATGAGTAGAACAACGGGTTTCTCATGAACAATAAATAGATCATTTGTTTGTATTTGTCTTTGAAAATCATGTCATAATAAGCAGCTCAGTAAGTCTTCAGAACCACAAACACCGACGAGTGGTGGTGACAGGGTCCTCTCACCTGGACGTGATAAACTCAATGAGCGCTTTAGCCTTCTCATCCTGCTCAGCTGTAACCTCCGTCTCACTCACAAGTGTGGGAGAGAGGTGGGAAAGGTGGCTTATGCTGGAGGACGTGGAGCTGGAGCTGAGGCCAGAGTCGGTCATCGGTGAAGGCTGAAAATCTGTCAAAATCTCCTGCGTTCCGATGGGAACTAAAGACAAACACACCACACGCTGTTGCTTTCATTCGTGGACATTTCTGTATACAAATCCACGTTTTTGCTCCCTGTGACATTTACTTTTTGATGTGATTCAAACTTGAATTTAATCTGTTGCTGCCACCCAGTGGGGACATTTGAAACTACAACTCACTTTCTGTGAAAACTGGCGTATCTCACATCACATCAGCTCTTTTCCTCTAATTCAGAAACAAATGTGCGCTCTTAAATGCCTCCATTTCGAAGTCGTGAGCCTGACAGCAGAACTGACCTGTGAGGTTGAACTCAGGAGGTGCTGGTTTCACCGTCAGAACCCTGGGATCGTTGTAGTCTCTGTTGCGTAAAAGCACCATGGCTACAGACTGGACGCTGCTGTTTGCAGAATGGACGATGAGCAGGTGAAGCAGGAGCCGTTTGCAGTGCTCATAGACCTCTGGGTGCTGGTGATCAAAACCTGAAGAGGAAAAATGATCAATGTGGACCCCCTTTAGCAGCACTACTGCATGCACAGATTCAGTATATGATATTATTCATAACAGACAGCAGCTTACCTAAAAACACTGCATGTAGCAAAAGGTGCAGATAGGTACTCCACTCTACTTTTACTCCATGATCCACAATGAGGTCCGTCAGCAGGATGACTGCAATATTGCACCTTCAAAACAAAAGACAGATTGGTTTTAACAGAACACGGATGTTTTTATTATCCTGAGTGAAACGCTGTAGCTAGCATACCTGTGGAGCGGCACAGCAGGGGTGTTTGTCTCTGGTAAATAATCCACAAGAGGAGCCCAGCAGCCCCCTGTTGGAGGGAAGGGAAGAGGTTCTGGCTGGTTGTGATCCATCACTTTCAAACGCCAGTTTGCATAAAGTGGCATGGAATCACCTGAAAACAGGACAACATCAGTGAAGTTGGCCCTGGACAGAAAAAGAGGACATCAGGTTGTACTGCTGCCTACTCTTCTCATCTTCATAGGAGCCTCCGGAGCTGCTGCTGTAGCGTGACTCCAGACGGTGGTGCTGCCGGTTCAGATTGCTGTTCAGACCAGAGTAGATATCCAGGTGGGTGTAACTGTAGAGCACACACACACACACACACACACACACACACACACACACACACACACACACACACACACACACACACACACACTGTTTTCACAGACTGGGCCTTATGTGAGTTTTCCCTCCCTAAACAACAAAAGTCTAACAACAAAAACGTCACAATTACAGTATAAATGAACAGGCTGATGACACAAAGCAGTGCATTATGGTGGAGCTCAAACGGGCTAGCTCGGTTAACAGAGGAGATGAGGAGGGACACCGCCTGAGGATACGTGCTGTTTGAGAATCAGGTGCATTCACACATCATACGTTTTAATCCTCAGCCTGAGAAAAGGACATTGTCAAGATGAAATGAACAGTTGGTTTCCTTCAATCTAACTTTAGAAAAGCTTAAACCAGCAGCAATACCTGGAAGGACGCTTTAGGCTAATGAACTTTAGATGAAGCACTAAAAACAATATTTATTGGAACTAAAGGAAACCGAGGTTGTTGCGTCTACTCTGGGCATTGCTCCTGAAACATCACTAATGTATAAAATGTTAAACTCACATGACGGAGCAAATGACTGCTCAACCTTTTCTGCCTTTCAGAACAAAAAATGTCTAAGACTAGCTGACTGGACCTCTCTTCTCCTTGCTGAAAACGTTTCCCTTCAGAAATACGACTACAGGAAACACTGTGCTGATTCCACCCGGTTAATTCTACAGAACCGGATCTACAGCCACTGAGGCTTCACCTTTCTTCCATGTTCGTGTCTTTGGTCTTGCTGTCATGATGACCTTCGTTTCCTGGCACCATGGTATTGCTGCTGGAGGTTGTCCCTGATGAGAGACACACAACATCTGCTATTAAAAACGTGTTACTGAGAAACAGACTGGTGGTCTGAGGACCTGACTGGTGCGCTCCTACCTGAGGTGACTGAGGGAATCTTGTAACTGGAGGATATGCGATAATAAGGGGGGTTGTCCATGTGAGTGACAGCTGAGCTGACAGGATCAGTCAACTTCAGCTCCCACATCAACTCCTCCAGCAGCTGCATAGTTTTATCCCTGCCCAGGTAAACCACCACTCGCTTCACCTGAGGATGCACATGTCACTTGAGCACAAACTACACATGGGGCAGATTAGATGAAAATGAGCTGTGACTTACGTAGGGCAGGAGGCTGGGGTCACTGCTGACCCCCGACATACTGATGAGGAAGTGTAAAATGATTCTGAGGTTCTTCGGCCAACTGTCTGCTAATGTTGTCCATACGTTCTCGATTTCTGACCAAGCAAACTCATCTCCGTACTGTAAAATTCCATCACAGGTGACCAATCAGCTTTGTTAACCCACAAGGTGCACACACACAGACGGTCCAGCAGTTGCCTCACCTTGGCAGTCATAAACATGAGGTTGTTTAGGACCATGGCTGTTGCACGAGGAGATCCCCAGCCATCTCCACGGAGCCACCGGCGACTGTTGACCATCATAATCTCCTGATCTTTGACGTCTTCCTCTTCCTCACCACTGCCACAATCTTCTGGCCTCCGCGTGGTCGGTTTGAATTCAACCAGCTCCATGTTATTCATCCACGGTAGGAGGTAGTGCAACATTACTTGACGACCGCTAGGATGTGCTGTTTGGATGCGCTGGCTCACCTCTGCAGGCCAGAAACCCAAGCACACATTAGACGTTTCCACAGATATGATGACAGCTGTTAACCAGCAGCACCAACATGTAATGTGGCTGACCTGAGAAGATGGGCAGAGTGAGCTCTGGGTAAGTCCTTGCGAGCTCCTCAGAAAGTTGGTAGTACGACACTGAGTACAGGTGAGGAAGAGGTGAGGGAGGGGTCAAGATCCCGTCTGTTCGCTGAATCTCCAGTTTGTGGGCATAGCGGAAGAGCTTCGGCTCCAGGATCTATTTGACGCAGTCACATCATTAACTTCTCTACCATAGCTGTGCTACGGTACACACTTTAATGTAATGTAACTCTTTATGAGACGTACCTGTAAAAGCTGCATCGCCACCTCGTATATATCCCTGGAAGAATCCGCGGCTTTGAACAGGATCAGGTTCAGCAGCACCACAGTGTCAAACTGATAATCCCTGAGAAAAAATAGCCCACATGCGCAATTTAAAACCCCACAGGAGCAAATAACCTCGTAAAAGACAAGAGGTTATAATAATAATAATAATAATAATAATATTGCTTTTTATTTTCAAACGCCTTTCAGGAACCACAAGGACACTACACAGCAATAAAACAAACATCAAAGGAACTAAATTAAATAAAAAAACTGCAAAAAATACAAACCAGATCATAAAATCAGAGCAGCTGGAAAAGGCGTCACAAGCAGTAGGCGGTCTAAACTGAAGTGCAGATCAAGTCTGCCGGTGTGTATTACCTGTTGTGAAAGACATTAGCAATGGCCTTGAAGCAGCCGGTGGCCACACGACGTGAGCCAGTGTAACAGCGGTCCACAGCCCAAAACATGAGGTTGCTCTGGTCTGGATTCAGCTCCAGCAGCAGCATCACAGCTTCACACCCCAGCTGGTGAACCTACAGCAAGAAACAGGTCTCAAAAAATCTGTTCTTCTACACCAAGGAGCTAAAATGTAGTCTTGCAAAAGCAAACTGTGTAACAGATTAAGTCAAAAACAAGCTGAAACCAGTTACTGGTAGAGTTAAACTTAAGTTAGTTTGTTTTAATTCACCTTCTTGTCCTGTGAATCCAGAATGTTATCCAGCCACTTGTAGAGGTAGCCATCGGAGGAGAGACCGACGTTATCAGCTACAGGTCCGCAACACAACACTGCAGACATGGCCTGAAAAGTAAAACAGAAAAATGTTGCTGTGGATCAAACGGTTGCTGACAACAGCCTGTAATAGACAAGAGTTTTTACCTTTAATGCACAGTACTGATGGCGATTGATCTGCATGTTTCTGTCACTGTAGCGATCGAGAGGAGTGAACATGATGCTGAAGGGACCAGCCCAGTGACTAAACAGCATGAAGAGACTGTGGCGCAACGACTGCTGAGGGAAGATGGTCCTCCTCTGGTGAACTGAACACAAGATAATGATGCAACAGCTAAAGGCTCATAGTTGATGTTAGGTGGAGGATTAGCTGAAACTTGACTGGAACTTAAACCAAATATTGTACCTGGAACATTCTGAATGATATTGGCCACAAGTGCACTGAAGTGACAGCGAATGTCCTTCAGCGTATCAGAGTCTTTGTCATTTTCTGCCTCCAGCAGCTGCCGGGTCAGATCAACATACTCCAGCAGGGTGCTGTTTAGTGAATGGCTCTCTCCATCTAACCCTCCACTGGCTCTGCGAAGAGACAAGAGTACAGTGTTAATGACACGGCTTCACACTGGTGTGTTTTTCTGGTTTTAGCTTTCAGTGGTGGGTCAGGTGTTCTGAAGGGGGTTTCTGGAGAAAGAGTTTAAACAAGTCTTAGCTGTTGTAGTTAACTCTTTGAACCACTTCAAGATCTTAGTTCTGACCAGACGAACAGCTAGTTCTAGTGGGGCCAAGAACAAGGCGGTTACCACCATCTTTAAAATCCACAATCAGAGCCTAGTAGTTCAAGCAAATTTTTTTATTTTCATTGAACTTTATTTGTAAAGGCCCTTCCACAACCTTATCGGACGCCCAAGGTGCGTCTTCAAACGAGAGTTAAAAACCTGAAAGGGAGGTGACTGACGCACGGTTAGAGGCAGTTCGTTCCACAGCCTCGGAGCCAACACCGAAAATGCACGACCCCCTCCTGACTTGTACTTTGAACGTGGAACTACCAGCAGTTCTCCATCAGCCAAGTGGAGGGCTCTTGATGGAGCATGACTGTACACAAGGCTAGTCAAGTAAGATAGAGCAGTTCCCTGAAGAGCCTTGTACCCCAGAGTTAGCACCTTCAATTTCACCCTGAAGTGAATGGGGAGCCAGTGCAGAGATAACAGCACAGGAGTAATACACTGATTCATAAAGCTTTACACCAACTGTGTTCAAATGTGGTCCATGGACTCCACTCCAACATAGATGAGATAGAGATTGACTGTGCCTAGCCATCGGCTTTTCATTCTGGTCAGAGGTAATATCTTCTTCTCATATCTGAGGCCATTCAACGAGCCCTCTACAAGAGGCAAGATATCCATTTATCAGTTTTTTCTCAGAACCCCGCCACAGAAGACGCAAACTATCCCTTTGTTGACTGTGGGTTTCATACATCTGACTGATGACACCAGCATCAGCAAGTAGCTCAAATATCCGGACCAGCTGGACTCTGAGGACGTCCCGACGCCTGCGTCGCTTCATGTTCTGGAAACAACATTGCATTTTTAATCAAAGCTTGTTTGAGACGGGAATTAAAATCTGACAGAAGTTTTAAAATCTTGAATAAACTAAACTTACTTCAGGCCTTCTTTCTAGAGCCTCTTTTATAATTGGATTCAGTTCCTCCATCAGCTCTCTGAAGATTACAACATAGTTATACGTTTACATGACCTGTATGCATGTATAATTTATGTATATATACATAACTAATTAACATTCTGTACCTGAAGACAACAGGGTTGGTCCTGCCAAGCCCCAAAACCAAAGACTCTGTGATGTCCATGCTCTCAGAGCGCATCATCGGAACAATGTGTTTGAACAGGGACGAGGGGGACGGAGTGCCAACAATCTATGAATGCAGACAGATCGTATTCAATGTCGTCACTTCCCATTCACTCACCATTTATGATCCCCATTTCTACATAACATCTCAAATTCATGAGTAGGTGAGTGCTTTTGTTGACCTTTGAATCGTAACTGTAGCCACTATCCGGCGTAGACGCCAGCGTCTCCGGCGGGGAGCAGCGGACGGAGCCCGAAGTGGAGGATGAAGAACTCATGGACGGGGAGGCAGAGCTGCAGCAGAGAATCAGGTAGTTCCTCCAGAGGCCAATATAGGAGTCACTGCTGTTCAAACTGTTCACTTTTTTGGCATTGATGGGGCTGCTGCAGGTGGACAAACATTCAGGGTTGGATGAGTCACTTATCTTTGCTTCTTCAAAAATCACACTACTGTAATAACAGAAAAAAAACATTTAACTCTGAGGTTTAAGGAAAAATTTACTTTATGTCTACTTGTGGAGACAGCAGCTGTAGGCGGGTGTAGGCAAACATCCAGGCGTAGTTAAGGGCAGTGGGGCAGTGTTTGGGCAGGTTCTCCTGCCGCAGGTAGCTGGAGAGGCTGATGACCCAGGGGTCCTGGCCTTGCGTTACATGGGCAAAAACCCAGATGTGCGAGGGGCTCACCACATCAAACTGGTGGCTGATGGGAGAGGAACTCCACTCTGCTAGTGTCTGAAGATCAATCCCAGTGGGACAATACAGCAGGTTGGTCTGTAGGGGAGGACAAAGGCAAATGAGGTGTGTTCTAGTCTTGTAACTTGTAACGTAGGAAAACCTGGTCAAACCTGATCAGCTCCAGTGAGATGAATGAAGCTCTCCAACACTGACGCGCTTAATCGATCCATGACGTCAATAGCCAGTTCCTCATCACACTGGAAAAAGAACAACAAACATCAAGGAATATGTGTTTATTTTGAAAGACCATGTCTGCAACCTCACGTAACTATTATAGTAACCTGCAAACTAGGCCTGCCATAATCACCTTGCCAATGCCTAGTGCAGTGTGTAGCACTCGGACTTCCTTTAGGATGTTAACGGCTAGCCTTCGGGTGGCGGGGCGGCAGCTACAGAGCACAACCAGCGCCAAACCCTCCACAACATGAAGCACATTTGTAGGGGTGCGCTCCAAGGATAGGGAACGACCACTGCTTGAGCCCTTTAAAAACAACATGTTATTAAAACCCCTCATCAATTCTTCAGCTCATAACACACAAACACCACGTTAACATGCACAACAAACCAACCGGTGTGTCGAGGCTTTTATTGCTGCTCTGCACTGCTTGCCTCCATTGGATGATGAGCTGCAAAAGCATCTTTACAGAGTTGTCCAGAAGTGTGGGATGAACATCAGTGACTTCTCTGACGATAAAGTACGCAAACCCTGAGAGGACATCCTCCCGCCACTCTGGAAAGTCCACCATCAGGGCCTGAAGAGTTGTAAAGGCAAGGCCACGCAGCTCCTCATCCATGTGGATGGTCAACCTACAGGAAGTGGAGAAGCCAACAAGCAGCAGGTTGTTCGGTGACCTTAAATGAACCATCAAACAGGGGTACAGAATGAGCTGATGTGGTCAAAAAGGGTACGTTACTTGGCTAGAAGTTCTATTAGATCTTGAATGCTCATGCCATCTGGTAGCAGTCTTGGAATGGCGGCCACACACGTTCGGAAAAGATCGATTTTTGGTTTTCTTTCTCCCCTGCAGCGCAATTAATGGGAAGCTGTTATGAATCGAACAAGCACAGCAGCATGGGGTTGCATCAGACTTGTGTTTACATACGTGATCATATCCTCGGGCTCCTTGTTGGACATCTGTACACTTGTCATGCTCATTGAGCGTCCCACTTCCTTGTCCAGGTATCGCAAGATGTTATCCAAAGCCTTCCTTACTTGTGGATAGTACATGGACATGCCTAGGAACACCCACCAGAATAAATACTTTAGACACCTACTCGTAACACGGGGACTTGTCCAAACTCCAAACACACCTATGACTTTAGCTTCGTCATCGGTGAGGGTGGTGTTGAGAAAGATCTTTTTGACACGCAGGGTGTTTCCAGAGGGCATGATGATCCCAGTGGTCGGCATTGGAGGCTCCCCATCTTTCTGCTGAAGACTGTCAGCAATCACCAAGAAGGCTCGCAAACCAATATTCATCCTCTGGCAGAATGATGAACAGAGAAGAGAATAAGAACTAAATATTAACACTTAACCCAGTCTCAGCTGAACTCTCGTCTCTACTTTACCTCAGGATTGATGGTAAAGGTTTTGTGAGACTTTCCCACACTCAGGAGGTCATAGATAATCTCCTTCATAGCAAAGTCCAGCCTTTCCTGTAGGGACCAACAAATCAGACACATTCATGTCTGATAATCTTCCAGATGAAGCAGAGCTGATTTGGGTTTCAGCCTTACTTGAGCTATAAACTGGATGATCTTAACGAAAATGTTGAGGGGCGTGTCTCTGGGCACCACACTGCGGGAGCCTTTGGGGAAAAGTGCTGACACAATGCTGAGCAATCGACTAGAAGACAGAATAATACAGGCACACGGTAAAAGAACGTGGCTAAGACCATTTTTAACGGTCATGCATGAGTTGCAAAGAGCTTGACGATACAGAGGCAGTAGGTGGTTAGGTCGTAGCTGACCTTTGTGTGACGGTGTTACTCTCACACTTGATCCTGATGATGTAGACCCAAAGCAGCCTGTAGAGCGACTCCAGCGCAACACGAGACATTTTGGGATCTTTATTCTATTTATGACAAAAAAAAACAAACAAACAGAAAACAATCAGCCGGCTACTTCATTATAGCACCTTCTTTACTCACCTGTGTGACTCACAGGAACAGAGAAGCAGAAGGGCGGGTCTTTTTCTGCTTTTTTCAATGTAGTCACTCGAGAGCATTCAAATTCCACACGGTATGAAAATTGCTCGGATGAAGTCATTGCTTTCATAAGATTGGACAAATGCAGACGGTCAAAAGTCTAAAACCAACCAAACCTGTTTATTAAAAAACAAAATGTACCATCTACCAAACTGACTGGTTTGATATGAATTATAGCTCATAATGCTAAACAATTCAGTCAATATTTCACTATTGTTAAATATTATATGAAAGTATTCATTATATTTACATGCAAGAGTGACTTTTTTTTTTCTCGGAACGGCGCTGCTCTGGGCGGCTGCATGTCGGAGTAGCTCTGTTGACTGATTTTTTTGGACACTTTACTTTTCTGTTTCTGGTGCTGTGAAGCTTGGAGGATTTTTACTGCTATTTTTTAGCTTTTTTCACTTTTTGAGCATTTGTTATGATGCGTAACCATGGCAACAAGCTGTTTACAATCGGGAGCAGCTGATTTAACATTGGAAAGGCTGAAATAATACCTCAACTGAAGCCACAAATCCCAAATGAGCTAAAACACAAGAAGCGTGGGTGCAGAGCGGGAGCAAAACGGAGACGGAAAAGAGGAAATTCAAACCATCTCTTCCATCGATCATAACGGGCAATGTGACATCACTGGCCAACAAGATGGAGGAACTCCAAGCCCTTTCAAGGACTCAGCCAGAGTTTCGGCAGTTTCGGAACCGCTGGAGGAGATGATGCAAAGAAGGATTCTCCAGAGAATCAAGAACATGATGGACAACCCTGAGCGTTCTCTTCACAAGACTGTCCGACAACGGAAGAGTGTCTTCAGTCAGAGGCTTCTTCAGTTTGGCTGCAACACTGACCGCTACTGGAGATCCTTCCTGCCAACAGCCATTGTAATATACAACAACTCTTTGATGACTTGATTATTATTATTATTATTCTGAGCTACTACAGCAATCAGTTTCCCTCTGGGATTAATAAAGTGTTTTTGAATTGAATTGAAGAACAGTCCCGGTGTTGTGCTGGTTTTAAGTTCTGCATCACTATTTTAAATGATATTAAACACAAAGATAAAAGTCCAGATGGAATGCTAAATATTTTTAGTAAGTCAAGTTAAAATGTGTTATATTTTACCACGAAACCTAAACATTCAAATAACACAGTAAAGAGTGTGTGACAATGATGTGTCATGATTTGAATTAGTTATCCTTTCCTTTCAAAGCAGCAGCTATGTCAGGTCTGTGGCTCAGAGAGTCCACCGGATGTGTCACACACAGTGACAATAGCTACGTTTACATGGGCACAAGTAATCGGAATGAATGCCCTATCAGATCAAAATTCTTCATGTAAACACGCCAATCTGAATATTATGATCTGATGAGGCCCGATTGGAATGAAATTTCATTCCGACTGAGAGTGGCGGTTTAGTCCGATCATCATTCTGATTGACATCCATGGACACACCCATTCGGATTGTTGGAGTAAAATAATGCCCACTGCACATGTCTGCAACTTCAGTGTGATGTCCTTCTGCCTCTGCAGACGCTCAGGACGAGTGGAAAACATGGCAGGAGGTAAACAGAAGTTATGCTGGTCTCCTCTCCTGTGGAGGAGCAGTAGGGCTGCGTACGACTGAGCCTGTAGCTTAGCTAAAGTGATCCGTAAAAATAAAAGCATACAGGTAAAAACGCAAAGAAGTTCCATAGTGTATGTGTGTGTGTGTGTGTGTGTGGGGGGGGGGGGGGGGGGGGGGGGCACAAGTCAACAGACAAAGCTAGAGAATAAGAAAGTAGGATTCCAGGGGAAAGACGTGCAGACAAGATGGAGTTTGCTTACGATTTTTTTCCAGGAAGGACAACTCTGCGCACACTCAACCTATTTAATCTGATTGAATGCTTGGTGTAGGTATACTCACGGCATGATTGGATTATTTCAGTCAGTGTCCTTTTAAACAGATTTGGGATTTCCGATCAACCAAGTGTTGAGGGAAATTTGGCGCATGTAAATGTAGCTAATGTTGGCCGAATAGTCTGGCAAAAAGTTTTTGTTCCACAAATTTTAAGCCTTTCCTGCCTACCAACAATAAAAACGTGATGAAAACACTTTTAGAACTTGTCATGAAGAGCTGCTCAATGTGAGCGTTTTATCTCGTCCAGAGGCGGGGGGGTCCTAGTGGGCTCTCGACAAATGGGACAAATACAAGAAGCGCTAGATGGCAGTTTCTTCATCACTCAGTAACACACACACACACACACGCACACACACGCACACACACACACGCACGCACGCACGCACACACACACACGCACACACACACACGCACACACGCACGCACGCACACGCACACGAAAGTTCTGAATCGCCAACAGTTTTCTCGTTCTGTGAACAAACCACTGCTAAGAGCTCATTTGTACTAGTTGTACCAAAACTATGAACGTTTTTGCTTCCAGCTCGTCAAGCTTAAACAAAAAACTAAGAAATCAGTTGATTATAGTTCTTTTAGATGAATCAGCATCCGCAGGTCAGAGCTGAATAACAATTACAAAAAAAAAAAAAAAAAGGTAAATGGCCTGTATTTGATATAGCGCCTTCTAGAGTCCTGGAACCCCCCAAGGCGCTTTACAACACAATCAGTCATTCACCCATTCACACACTGGTGGGGATGAGCTACAATGTAGCCAAAGCTGCCCTGGGGCGCACTGACAGAGGCAAGGCTGCCGAGCACTGGCGCCACCGGTCCCTCCGACCACCACCAGCAGGCAACGTGGGTTAAGTGTCTTGCCCAAGGACACAACGACAGCGACAGACTAAGCGGGGCTCGAACCTGCAACCTTCCGATTACGGGGCGAGCTCTTAACTCCTGTGCCACCGTCGCCCCCAAATAAATAAATAATATTCGGTGTTGGTCTCCAAAACCAGAATGGGTGTGCTTTTAGTTGTACCTCCATCTATTTTGGCTTATGAAAATCAGCTACGAGCCCCTGTAGGGGGTTAAAGTGAAACAAGGGCCTGGTACCAATATGTAGTAAAATCAGTGGAAATGAGGCAAAACATACAAACTATCAGCCTTACCAACAATAAAATACAAAAGAGTTGGGCGGCTTGAAAATATTTTAAACAAGCCCAGGTTTGCTCTAAATTCTATTTAACAAGTTTAAAGTGTGCCGATTTTGTCCTTCGTGTGTCCCAACCTCAACAACATCCCAACTTAAATATTTTAACTCACATATGTCAGACTCAAGGCCCGCGGGCCAGATGCGGCCCGCGGAGCATTTTTATGTGGCCCGCGAGATAAATATCAAAAATATATTAAAACTGGCCCGCTGGGCGATTTTACCGCAAAGACTTCAACTCCCATGATGCTTTGCGGTGTTAGCGCGGAGCCAACGCGCCCCCTCCTTTGTGTTTTTTCCAGCGTCTGCTGCCGGTCTCTGCAGCTCCGCTGTCTCGGACAAACTACACTTCTCTCACTCAGCGCCGAGTTCACTCAGCTGTTTTCTGACGTTGAAGCCCAGAAACGGAGATTCTAGCCGCTCAGTAATGTGTTCACGACTGAAAGAGAAAGTGTTCCAACTAACGTCCAGACAGAGCTGATATAACTCCAGCGAGCAGCGACACGCTCAAACCAGCACGACTCTGTGGCTGCTGTTGTGTTTCCTCCCCGACACACAACAACGTGGTCAAGCTGCTCAGACATGTTCATCAGCACAAACCTATGTGAGCACCTGTTGTCATCTAATGTTGTCATTATTATGATGAAGATGAACAAAACAACAGGAGTCTCCTCCTCAGCTCAGATCAACCCCATGATGCAGGTATCTGGCTGGAACAGGTGAGCAGGGGCGTAGCACCAAATTCTGGGCCCTAGGTACAAGTCTTCTAGGTGGGCCCCCATGCTCAATTACTTAATATCTCTCTTACACATTTTTTGTCATGCTATAAGACAAGATAATAAATATGATCTTAGTTTAACCTCTATATTGAGCAAATACAAATGCCAGCATAATAAAAGTGAAATGCCCAGACTTCACATATAATTATTTTTATTTGCCAACAATGTGTTCAAACAAAAATCCTGGAATTTATTTTCCAGTAAATGCCCACTGACGGGTCTTCATGTTAGCAAAATCACTTATGAGATCTTTAAAGTCCAAGCCTTTGGCTAATTGGCTTTCAATAGAAAGAAGAGCTAGGCTGTTCAGTCTATCCTGGGACATTGTTGATCTCAAATAATTTTTCACCAGTTTCAGTTTGCTAAAAGCCCGTTCACCCCCAGCAACAGTCACAGGTAGTGTGCAAAATATCCTCAGTCCAATACAAACTTCTCCAGAAATGCTCTGTAATTGCATCCTGTAGATGGCATTAAGCAGCTCAAGAGGAGACCGAATGTGTGGGAATGTGGCACCATATATTGTTCTCAGGTGTAGCATCTCATTCTCAAATTCAGCTGTGAGATCCTTGTAATGTTTTCTCATCAGTGCCTGGCATGATATCTTCATCTGCTCTTCAGTCATGTCTGTCATGGTTCATGATGTTAAGCTTTGCTGATACAGTGGGGCAAAAAAGTATTTAGTCAGCCACCGATTGTGCAAGTTCTCCCACTTAAAATGATGACAGAGGTCAGTAATTTACATCATAGGTACACTTCAACTGTGAGAGACAGAATGTGAAAAAAAATCCATGAATTCACATGGCAGGATTTTTAAAGAATTTATTTGTAAATCAGGGTGGAAAATAAGTATTTGGTCACTTCAAACAAGGAAAATCTCTGGCTCTCACAGACCTGTAACGTCTTCTTTAAGAAGCTTTTGTGTCCTCCACTCGTTACCTGTATTAATGGCACCTGTTTGAACTCATTATCTGTATAAAAGACACCTGTCCACAGCCTCAAACAGTCAGACTCCAAACTCCACTATGGCCAAGACCAAAGAGCTTTCGAAGGACACCAGGAAAAGAATTGTAGACCTGCACCAGACTGGGAAGAGTGAATCTACAATAGGCAAGCAGCTTGGTGTGAAAAAATCAACTGTGGGAGCAATTATCAGAAAATGGAAGACATACAAGACCACTGATAATCTCCCTCGATCTGGGGCTCCATGCAAGATCTCATCCCGTGGGGTCAAAATGATCATGAGAACGGTGAGCAAGAATCCCAGAACCACACGGGGGGACCTGGTGAATGACCTGCAGAGAGCTGGGACCACAGCAACAAAGGTCACCATCAGTAACACACTACAACGGCAGGGAATCAAATCCTTCAGTGCCAGACGTGTTCCGCTGCTGAAGCCAGTGCATGTCCAGGCCCGTCTGAAGTTTGCCAGAGAGCACATGGATGATACAGCAGAGGATTGGGAGAATGTCATGTGGTCAGATGAAACCAAAGTAGAACTTTTTGGTATAAACTTAACTCGTCGTGTTTGGAGGAAGAAGAATACTGAGTTGCATCCCAAGAACACCATACCTACTGTGAAGCATGGGGGTGGGAACATCATGCTTTGGGGCTGTTTGTCTGCTAAGGGGACAGGACGACTGATCCGTGTTAAGGAAGGAATGAATGGGGCCATGTGTCGTGAGACCTCCTTCCATCAGTGAGAGCTTTGAAGATGAAACGTGGCTGGGTCTTCCAACACGACAATGATCCCAAACACACCGCCCGGGCAACAAAGGAGTGGCTCCGTAAGAAGCATTTGAAAGTCCTGGAGTGGCCTAGCCAGTCTCCAGACCTCAACCCCATAGAAAATCTGTGGAGGGAGTTGAAAGTCCGTGTTGCTCGGCGACAGCCCCAAAACATCACTGCTCTCGAGAAGATCTGCATGGAGGAATGGGCCAAAATACCAGCTACTGTGTGTGCAAACCTGGTAAAGACCTATAGTAATCGTTTGACCTCTGTTATTGCCAACAAAGGTTATGTTACAAAGTATTGAGTTAATTTTTGTTATTGACCAAATACTTATTTTCCACCCTGATTTACAAATAAATTCTTTAAAAATCCTGCCATGTGAATTCATGGATTTTTTTTCACATTCTGTCTCTCACAGTTGAAGTGTACCTATGATGAAAATTACTGACCTCTGTCATCATTTTAAGTGGGAGAACTTGCACAATCGGTGGCTGACTAAATACTTTTTTGCCCCACTGTATGTATTGATATATTAAATACATATGACATGAAATAAACCAGGTTCTCTCTGTGAATGTAATGTACTCTAAATTTTATAATCCCTGCATTATCAGCCAAATTATAAGATTGTCCGTTTTCAAGATCAAATATAAAGAAAATTAAAATAGGCTTAAAATATCTAACCAAGTCAATAACAATCCTCTAACACCCGTGTCATCATGCTAAACGAAAAACAGTGGCAACTTCACATTCCTGAGATTACCACGAATCCATAGATACCAAGTTTGTCTTGGTCCATGACTGGGAAGGAGCTGAAATATCCACACAGAATGAACCTGTTTTTACTGCGAGGTCCGCAAATTAATTGGCGGCGGCCGCCCGCGATAATAATTCAGATTTATATATATATATATATATATATATATATATATATATATATATATATATATATATATATATATATATATATATATATACATACATATATATATATATATATATATACATACATATATATATATGTATGTATATTTGTATATATATTAGTGTTTTCACTGATAACACTAATTAATTTATATTTGATCTTGATGGTGAAACTAAAGGCGTTTAACACTGAACACCTAACATGAATTCAGCTTCTGAGAGCTAGCTAATAGCTAAAACTGTGTTCTGCTGCTGCTCTCCTTCCTTCTACTTGCTTCTGTTCAATTAACTTTTTCTACTTCTCCTTCTTTTCTTTTCTTTTCTTTTCTTTTCTGGAAGCCAGATTTCCCTTTCTTGGGAAAAGACATGACTGACTCTCCTGCCTCCAGCTCTGGCTGTCAGCATCTGCGATGTCTCATAGCTGTACATGCGGCCGTGCAGCCCCTGGCCGCTGGTGTGGACTAAACCACTTTGCACATTTTTAAGGGGTGATAGATGCCTCAGAGGTTATTCAGTTATTATTTTTAAGGCAAAATTCAGTTTCTTAACCTCTTTATCCAGGTAAAGGGAAGTTTATTAAGACATTAAGTAAGTTGGGGGGAAAAAACAACAACAATAAAACATTTTTATTCAAAGCTGTCTCAGGGCCCCTCCCTGCAGTGGGCCCTGGGTAAACGGTACCCTTTCCCCCCCCAGTCCGACGCCCCTGCAGGTGAGCATCACAGTAAACCAGTGGAGCAAACTGAGCTTTAAATATGTTGGTTTTATGCTCTTTTTCTGCTCCAAAACATGAAAGTTAACAGGTGAGATGTTGCATTTTCATTTAAGATAAAATGATATTTTTATTTTGTTGTTGGCCCGTGAGAAAAGATTTAACCTACAGTAAACAGGAAGTGGAAAGGCTGCAGATAGATTAATAGAATAGAAAATCCCTTTATTGTTCCTCAGTGGGGAAAGCTAGACGTCACAGCAGCGATGACACGTATTACAGGAGAAAAAAGGAGAATAAAAAATAAGAAAAATGAATAAACAAGAAAACATAAATCCTGAATAGATTTATAAAATGCTGATTATACCACAAGTAATGAATACCACTGATGCCTTTTATCTAAAACCGACTTGCTCATGTGTAATTTGGTTATTCCACATTCAGTGTTAATGCATAAATAAGTTTGTTTCCTAATTTAAAGGTTCAAAACTGCATACATGTTGATAAAGAAAATGTGCAAATTTGCCGTCACTTTTTCAAAAATATTAAGTTTGGCCCTCGACTCCGTCCCAGAGTTTCATTTCGGCCCAGTGTGAGTTTGATCACCGCCGTTTTAACAGAAGCAACCAACAGAGTATGTCTTTACATCAGTGAAGTCATTCCACACATGTAAAGTTAGAATTAAAAATCGGACACAAGTCACAGCCTCTGCCCATGAATAAAAACCAAAACAACCACAAAGACCAACATCACAAGCTCCTAGTTCACAAGGTGCTCTTCACTGCAGCAGAACCAGATCAGCCAAGCAAGTCCAACCCCACGTCTCTACGCTCTGATCAGGACCTGGACCATTAGAGGAAGGGGAGCACTGGGTTCAGCACTGACAGCAGATAACTCACCTGCAGTGTCTCAATCTGCTTTCGGATGCTGTTGTTAGACGGCATCTAGAGCGAGTCAATGTGAGAAAAAGATCAAATGACAGGCAACAAAGAATGTGGGGCTTGGTGGGGGGGCACATGCAGGTTATAAACAAACACAGAGAAGAAACATGACAAGAGAGGTCAGACTAACTTTACTCTTGTCAGAATGACAGTAAACAAACATCAAGAACTGTTCAACATGCCACTAAGTCACATGTCAGTATGAAACAACAGTTCATGTGTCCATTACGTGTTTAAATGCATAATGTAAACTAAAATAAGGTGTGCTGTGGTTTTGGAAATCAGACAGAAACAAACAAACACAGAGGGATGGATTTGACAGCAGAAAAGGGAGAGGATGAAACCATATTACCGGGCTGCCTTACTGTAGCAACAAGCAGCCACACTCTAATTAGCATTCAAACTCACATCAAGCACCTTTACATTGCAGCGTCCCATTTTAACTCTGTGGGGCTCACGTTTTTAAATCAGGGCTGAACCAATCGTACCAAATAACTTCCATGAAACCAGAGCTGAAGAAAAACATCAAGAACTGCCTTCCCCGTCAGTGAAACATTCAATATGAACGGCATTAAGAATTCATCTTAGACTTTCATTTGGAATAAAAAGATGTATCCATGTATACAATTTGTTGAGCACAAACCCTTAAAATTCATTTTTACGATCTCCCACAAAGTTAAAAATTCTGATTGAACGAGAAGCTGGAAATCACTGAAATCATCACCACAGCCTCAGACAAACCCAGCTAATTACTTCATTCATTCAAAGACTCTGTGGCAAAAATGATCGATTTCAAATGTAGAAAATCCATGTAGTAACAAAGCTGGGTGCAAGGAATCCATTAAAAGGCCAACATCACTAGAAATCACCGTCACAAGCACACAAACCGAAATAAATCCACCACAGGATCAAAGATGGCTTCCATGAGCGGCAATCAGTGTTTAAAGGAAAAGAGGCTCATTGAGTCAGTCAGCTATTTGGTCAATCAGTCACCAGGTTGAATGGTCAGTAAGAGGAGGAGGAAAGGCTTGATCGGTTTGTAATTGATTACACAACGTCGATAACAGACCAGAGGAAAAACAGCACTTGAGACATGATCATAAGAACTCTGTGGTAAGTTAGTCTGAGCTAGAGCCATTTACCAGTCCGTGAGCCCATTCTGAGCACACTTTCCACATTTTCTTTAGTTTGATTGTTTAGTTTTTTTTTAACAAAAAGTTAATACAGTGTAATAGTTACATCAAGTGCTATTCCTGTCCAGATCTGATGTGCTGATAATGAAGGGGAGAGTACATTATGATTTTCAGACAGAAAAACAAAGCACACACTTCAAACCAAGACCATTTCCTCAGTAACCTACCTAACACACTACCAATAACACAAATCTCTTGTTTTAGACTGAATTATATATTTTCACATGTTAAAATGTATTTGGAAAAAAAGACAATGTAAGTTTGAATTTATTTTATTTCTACAAAAATCAGAACCCTGTGATTTCATTGCTAATGTTATAAGAATAACCAAGGAAGTCTATATTCTACCACTGTCCTAATGCTGCAGAGCGCACCTGTCTGAAATACAGAAGGTGTGGTGGGCAGTACCTTCAGGTGTGAGAGACAGTTCTGGAGGAAGATGTGCCAGTTGTTGAGAAAGAACTGCTTCTGGCTTACGCAGAGCAAACATGTTACCAGGGGATAAAGAGCCTACGAGTGAAGGGAAGAAACACTATGAGCATCAGAAACATGTACACACGTCCAAAAGATGGAGATGGTTTTACCAAAGAGTGCTTCTTTCTGGAGCTAAGGTCAAACGTTGTCTGGTAGAGCATCTCCACAAATGTTTTCAGGCATGGCACGTTGACTTCATTTTTCACCGCCTGAGAACACACAGAGCTACAATCTTAACCTAAATCGAACTAAGTGAGAACAAACGGTCAGGAGAAACGTGGGTGTGACTCACTGCTGCAACAGGGATGAGGATCTCAACAAAAAGACCAGCTAAAGCATGCTTTATGTCTTTATCCTTGACTTCAAGGAAGTACTGGGCACACTCCTGGGAAAGGGCACAAGGACTTTGGTCAAGCAGAACATGAGAACAGTGTTTTAAATGTCTGGTGGTACGAGATAGTCAACATGCAATCAGTCTGCAGCGGTTTTTATTAAGTTGCAGTACAACAAATAATTATGCTGCTTTTTGGAAGAGTAAACATTCCAACAAGCAAATATCTTAAACTGAATTTATTAGCATATGAAATGTTTGTAAACTTAGATTTGTGACACTGGTTGTGTTCAATAAATGACAATAAAATCGAAACGTGCCAAAAAATGAGACGGTCAATAATTAAAGCAAACGTTTTAAATAGTGACGGTTCATTTTTCGAAGCTGAAACATCTTTTAGAAGGAAGTTACTGAACGCACCACTGCCAAGCAGCAATTACAAATCTGATGTTTTTTGGTCTATAATCTCATCATCACTAAATGCTAATTAACACAAGCAATAACAGATCGTCCATGTGGAAATGAATCAGAAACTACAAAACAGTTTTCTGTTTTATTCTGAGATAAATGAGAATCAGAAATATGGTATCTGTCCTAAAAACATGAATTAGAGCGTTTATTTAAAGGTATTTATCTAACTGCTGCTGCCATGTTTTATGTTGCACAACCAACACAATAACATTTTAGTTGTAATATCAGCTTACTAGTGAATAATTAAAAAAATCATAAATAAATAACGTTCTCAGTGGCCTAGTGAGTGTCCGCCGTGGGACATCGGAGTTCAAATCCCGGTTGGGTCATTCCAAAGGCTTTAAAAACAGGACCTAATGCCTTCCTGCTCGACGCTCAGCTTTAGGGGTTGGACTGGGGGATTAAACCACCAAATAGTTCCCAAGCACAGCCACAGCTGCAGCTCACCACTCTCCACGGGGACGGGTCAAATATGGAGAAGTAATTTCATAAGTGTGTGATGACTAATGTGACTTGGACTTTAACACCTCCCATAATAAACAAATGAAGAAGAATAGAGCTGGCAGAACATTTTTCTTGACTTCTGTTTGTAGATCAATTTAAAATAAACCTTTTTCACAACTCCTAACTACACCTGAAACATTTTTCTTGGTGGACTTCAGCTTCAGTTGTTACTCATCAAGATGTGAGCCATTACAAAGACCTGCCGAGTTAGGAAAAAACCCAACTAAGGGTCAGCAGTTGGAGGTTTTAAAAATAAAAGGTGAGGTAAAATAGAAGCCACAAGCCTGATGCCATTCAGATTACACAGTTAAAACTATGAGCACAAACAGAAAAATGTTACCTGCATGAACTGAAAAGATGCCTCAAAATCCTCCACAGGGTACATTTTGACCCGGAAGAACTTCATGCCCATGATGAGGCTGATGATGCTCTGGACTACGTAAGGACTTTGTTCTTTTTGTCGGAGCTCTTTCAGTTCTGTGATGAACTTTTTCCTCACAGCCTGAAACCTGAGCATGCACACAAACACACATAAAATTACAATTGATCTACTCACAAAAATAAATCCTCCCTACAAAGGAGTTGTTACAGGAATAAATGTGATCAGTGTAACCCAGTTGCCAAATGATGGGTCTGGTTCTGGCCTCCTTTTTTCGGTCTGTCTCTAATAAATTGGCCAGTACGTCTTCGATGTCGCCGGTCACGTGGCCAAATCTAAGCCAATCAGGAGGTTAAATAGCTCATAGCCAGACGCTGCCGGGACACAGGGAAAAGAGTTGCTGCAGGAGCCGCATTGGAAAGAGCGTGGGAATGTCTTTCAAATGACGGACATGCCAGGTCTTTTCTCATTGGATGGCGAGCTACCCACTAGAACCTAGGCCGCCAGCCTAGAAGCCCTGAATCCCTGAACCAAGCCAGGAGGGTTGAATCGGACTCTTCCCACCTGTTGGGCTGGTAGGAGGATCCTGTAGCCACCTTAAACTTCTGTTCCTCAGCAACCTCAGAGCTACGATGACCCTAATCACGTCCTTCACAGTTCCCTCTCCCCCTCACGGACACAGGACTCACTCTCTAGGACCAAACATTGGTCCTTGGGTCTACTGGAGTTTTGAATTTGCCATCGATCATGTGATACCCAATTAATGGACGTTCTATTGAATTTGGACGATTTGTATTTTTGATGTCAGCATTAGGTCATTTATTGATATTTATTATATGTATTGTTAAATAATTGTCATAATATATTCCATATTGGTACCAACATAACAGTCTATTTCATTCTGTCTCTGTGTCACTTACTCCTGTGAGCGGATGCTAGCTTCTGATCTGAATTACGTCTGGTCCTGATAGGCCGTGCAGTCACACAGTTACTGCTATAGTTGCATCAGCAGTCAGCTCAAAGGCATCCTGAGGTTTACTCACTTTGACTGTGTAAGAACTCCTATGACCTCTGCATACAGGTCTGCAATGATGTGCACATTCCCAGTGTTGGGGCCGCTGTACCTGTAAATTGTTAAAGATTTGACACTTCACATTTAAGATCAACTGAAACACACAACTCCTCAACTTGAGTGCAGTTAGGTAATGCTGATTCAAACCTCTCAGAAAAAATAACTACAACTGCTTTATTTCATGAAAATAAAGGTGTCATAATCATGATGTCATTCTGCTCAAACAAAAGAAAATTAATCGTCTCTCTGAAGCAAAGCAGAACCTGCAACAACGAGTGCCACAGCAGATAATGAATGAATAATTTCAGCACTTTATGCAGGGTATCAAACATCACGGTCACAGCTCCGTCCGGGCACTGATGCCCACTTACCCCTCTTTGTGTTTAAAGTGCTTGAACGCCAGGTTTAGGACTTCATGTACTAAAGCATCTGGCACTGGATGCAGAGGAATCTGTGACGTAAACAGATTCATTAGTTTTATTACAAGCTTTCAAACTCCATCTTCTTTCATTGTCCTCAGGTCTGCAGGAACCCACTTAACCTCAGAATGCTGCTTTGACTGAATTTACATCAGCAGCATGCCGATCTGGGAGCTACTGTGTTACTACAGCATGTATTTTACTGTTCACATGGAGGAAAAGTCCCATTACCACTGGAGGCTGGACTGCTTGTTGAATGATTTTATAAGCCAACGATTCACACAGCCAGAGCAACACCAGTGGGAGGATAAGTGTAATCTTCTGACATTTACAGCAGACCAAAATAAATGACACACTCCAAAAATAGTTCAGCCTAAAGACAGGCACACAGAAATCTCAACAAGCAGCATCTTACTTCACCAGACGTAAACACACTTGTGGGCACTTGGATAAGACATGTCGACATCGAGTCAAACGCTTGTGCTCCACTAACAAACACACATTAAACTAACTGGGAAATGCTGTAAAGGCTAATACTAACGCAGATTACTCACCTGTTTCAGAACTTCCACTGAAACTAAACAAAAAATAAAATCTATGGCTAAGTCTCGTCTTTCTAGAAGGTAATCTTTATCCCGGTGCTGTTCATCTCTATGAAGGAGAAAGAGAAAATAAATGGAAACCAAGATACTTTCAGCCAAACACGTATTTAAACTGACATTATTATTTGATTATTTGATTTGATAAAACAAAAAAAATTCTAGTAAAGCACAGATGATGACCTCACCCTTTAGACTTCGTACTGGAGCGAGGCCTGTACTCGTACGGCTCGTCTTCAGTGCCACTCTGACGCCTGTACCAGTCGAACAGTGTGCGCAGCAGGGAGGGCAAACAGTGTTCTGCTATAGAGCTCATGGAGCTTATTAACTACAAGAAAAACAACAAAGTTTCTGTAAGAGAAAGGGACGCAGGATATACACTCACTGGCCACTTCATCAGTTTTATGTTGGCACAAATGACACGACTGCAGTGTTTACTCCAAATGGGCTCGGGCGAGGCGCTGTGCCACACCTACAGACCTGGTACTAGCAAAGTGTTCCTAATAAAGTCACCAGTATCCACGACCATTTAACATCCGTATGAATATGAGTTTATTAACTTGTAAGAACCGGTGTAGGTATGGGAATGAAGGAGTAGGACATTCTGATCACATGACTGATCTGAGAGGCTGCTCAGTATGCATCTCACCGAATCACACAGCACATCTACAGTCTTAGTAATAACAGCCACCTCATTCTCTTCAATGTAAATAATCTACTCTAAAAGCTAAAACAATGTTATGGGGTTACTGCTTATAAAAAATCTTGTGAACAACTACGAAGAAGGTTCACTTCAAGATGAGATGAACAGCTTTTTATCCCATGCATAAAACATGAGGTGTGGTGGTCAGTGTTTACCTTTTAAGAGTGTGTTGGCGTGTTTAGGGCTAGTGCAGGGTGATGAGGGAGGTGGATGATGGATGATGGGCAGAAGAATTAAGTAATGCCTCCCTCTACCCTCATGGCGCTGGCCAGATACACTCCTGTGCCCAATGCTGACTTACTGCCGAGGATGACACAGCCATTCTACACACTCACTTTAGCGCTCTGTGTGCCCATTTTCTCTCGCTCACTCACAAAGGGGACGAGCTGGATCTATAGCATATCCTCACTGGCTTTGTGTTTTGCTGAACAAAGCATTCAGCAGCAGGCTGGCCCATTGTACAGAGACCTATAGCAGCTGCAGATGAGGGACAGACAGCCCACTGAGTGGGGGGATCGATTGGGACGAGATGGGCACTCCAATACTGTAACCACACGCAGAGGTGAGGAAGAAGTTTCTGGTGTGGGACAATGGGAACGTCACACCAATAAACCTGTATGAGATGTCCGTTCTTCAGTTCTAAATACTGAATCCAACTCAAAGAACTTGCTTTTGAAATCAAAGATTTTTAAGAGTCCCCCCATAAAACATATTTCCTCTCCTCAGCAGTAAACAGGATAAAAGCACAAAGGAGACATGTAACACTGAAAACTCCTCCTGACTGAAAGGATCTGGTTTATATTTATGCACAAATCACACAAATTAATATTCTACCCTGTTTGTCAAAATATGTTCTCTTTCAAATTTATGACAACAACATATAATGTATCTGGCCATTAAGGCTCCTTTTCATGAGAATGGGTTTGGTGTGTCTGCTATGACCAAATGGCCCAGAGAACGGAGGAGGAGATGAAACGGGTATGGTAGGAACAGATCACTTATAAAGAGAAGCAGACTGGTAAACAAGCTACAGAACAACTGTGCAGCGTTACAGTACTGTTGAATGCTGTTCTCCATTTAGCTGCTTACAATCGGGACACTTTCAAGAAGTGAATCACTTTAGAATCACAATCGCTTTGGTATTACTTAGCGTGTTGACACAAGGTTCATTGCGCGACTAACCTGGTCAAACTGTGGATCTTCCCCCCTTTGGAGCGATCGGGACAGAGGTTTCTCCTGTTAGAAAGGAGAGAAGGACAAACAGCCCAATAGTTATGAACTAAATAGTTAAAGACTTTGACAAGCTTAGCTGCTCCTCACATTCTGTTTCAATAATGACTAAATACATGATAATTAGAAGCAAGATGGGTTATCATCTGGAGGTGTTGAGCATTAAACCTGAAGTTCTGTGTGTTTTGAATCTTTGATTCATCCTAAATTAACTCACCAGCGGTTCGGCCATAACCATCTCAATCTTCTTCTCAGCAAGCACAGCAAACTCTGCAAATAGGCTCTTGATGACAAACTCCCCGGGCTTCAGCTCGGGGTCGATGGTGATGCTCGACATGGCTGCAATGTTGTGTTTCTCCCACAAAAGGGGAGTCACTGAGGAGGGGGCACGGCGTCTGATCACGCTGCTGTTGACTGGTGCAGAAGCTGCAGAGAACACAGGGGTTAAAGGTTAGGAAACAATACCAAAAGAACCGAAGAACTGCTGAGAACAATACAAGTCATTTGGATCGAATCCTTTCTTAAGTGTGGAAGTTTTCAAAAGAAACTAGAATTCATGAAAATAAAGATTGTCTGAAGAATAAAATTTGTTAGAAAGTAACTGATGACATTTAAGTGCATATAATGTTCTCACATCACCTAAAAATTAATTTCTAGTAACATCTTTGATTTGATTAGTTTGATTCTATCTGCCCAAGGATGTTAGGATGCTAAAGGATGTTTTTATTTCCTTTTTCTTTTGTTTGGTGATTTTACGTCACGATGCCTCCCAGAGAGGGTGTTTCAGGCAGGTGGCCCTCAGGTCAACCCAGGTCATGTTGGGAGGGATTATATCTCCGTCATGCCTTGGGATCCCACAGGTGGAGCTTGTGGGGGAAAGGACAATCTGGGCCTCCCTGCTGGAGCTGCTATCCTGACGGCCCAGACTGAAAATGGGTGGACGAGGAATCAAACTACTTTGACTACCGCATTAACTTAATCTCAAAGGTTTACACATGCTAAAAATGTCAACTCTCATTTCCTGTATTATGCTTACTTTTCTAGTATTTTAGTTGTCTAATGTACACAGTACTTCCAATTTGCCATAAAACTTTTAAAATATTATATGTAATTACAGTGATCCCTAAAATCCAGTTTGGTCACTAAGCTTTATCTTTTAAAACATCAGTATCTGAGAGAATCACAACAAATGCATTTTAAAAGTTCATGTTAAATATTTGAATGCCTAAAACGTTCCTTCAATAACATTCAGTGTACATAGCCTCTCCTTGGGAGCTTCCTACACATTTGCATGTGGTTCAGATCATTTGCTCTTTTTATTCAAATAGTGTAAGCAAATCTTGTGGGTTTGAAAATGGGTGCATCCTGAGAAAGCTGAGAAACGTTTATCTTAGAAGTCCTTCGGTGGTCAGACTAAATACTAAGTCGTTTTATTGCATCCACACCTTTTTAGGTTTTCTTCAATGTTTCACGACTCATCTGGAAGGCTTCTTTCTGACTGACAGATGAGGACATTTACCCCAGATGTAGTTTGGTTAATCCCATTTAAGGCCTTTACGAAAACATGCATTGGTGGAAGGACAAGCCCATGTCTGGGTCATTAATCACAGACTGAGCTGGCAACATGTTGCATTGAAACAGGCCTACAAAAATGAAACTGCAGTTGTTTAATAAATAGAGGAGTAGGGTGTAACTAAGTGGTGCCGACATGGACCGCTACATATAAAAATGAGTCAGATCTCTCATTCTGTCCCATGACCAGCCAGTAGCACAGGCTGTCTCAACATCACGCCCTCGAGCCTAACAAAACAAATATAATAATAAATCAGCCTGACCACAGGCAGCAGAACGCAGGGGTGGAACATCTCAGCAGACTTCTGTTGGTGAAAAGTGAAGCCAGATCTCATTCAGAAGAGATGCAACGCTGTACGCATTTACCAAGTCTATGAGCTGTATTTAGTTATCTAAGTGTAGGGCTACTCAGAAATATAGGTGGGGGGGGGGGGGGTTCCCACAGTCAATAACTGACAGCTGTTCCTGCTGATCACCCAGGTCTCACACACACACACACACACACACACACACACACACACACACACACACACACACACACACACACACACACACACACACACACACACACACACACACACACACACACACACACACACACACACACACACACACACACACACACACACACACACAGTTCCCTGTATGATGTAATGACTCTCCTGCATGCATGTGTATGTGTTCTTTTATTTTTCAGACCCAGATTCAAACTAAAGCCCGTTGATAACCTATTGTGTCGGATCCGTTACGTGCTTATCTGTATTTTTTTTGTGGTATTTTTTTATTTTTTGCACTTCCTTCCAAGACCTCTTGGCCAGGTCATGTTTGTAGATGAGAACAGGTTCTCAAACATTTTACTTGGTTAAATAAAGGTTGAAAAAGAATAAATAAATAAGAAAAGGAATTTTTGAGGTCCCTTCCTCTGCTGAATGTACATTTTCCTTACTCCTCAACATAAATTAGTTATTTGAATCTGTGATCAAATATCACATCAGAGTAAGTTAACTTGATCCGCCCGGACACTTGAGGGGTCAGACCAGCGGAAAATAACAAGACAGCAATGGCAGCAGCTAGTTTCTCCGCTTCAGTCACTGATGTACTCGTCAGGATTAAAGGAACGTTTGGTAAAACTAAAACAGCAACACCACCAACATGCGACAGCACCTTACATGTTTCCATCCTGGGTTAGATGAGGAGAAGAACTGGTGGTTGCTCTTCCTGATCAGCCAGTAGGATTAATAATGGATTAATACAACTTGCCCACAACTTCTACCTTTGTCATGAAACAATGCATGACTTTGCTACAAAGTGGAGGCAGCACCAGGGAGCCTATGGTCACTTATAAGTGGTAGGTCTTTTTATCATTAAAGGATTACACAATGGCAATAGAAATTGAGTCTGGGGTCGTCTCTGCGTGCGCTGTCACAGACTTCCTTTTAGCTCGGTCGTAACTTGGTTTTTGAATTTGAATTAATGTCTACTGAATAATTTGAAAGTGTGAACAAGTTATGACATCAGAAAATAACCCTAAACGGTGAAATAAAATGCATCAAAATAGTGGTAATCGTCATAATCGTTCAATAATCAAATTGTAGGACCCAAAACAAAATCGAATTGCGATACCCGGGATGGCATACCCCTACATTTCACCAACTGAAACTTTATTACAGGAGGTGAAAAGTGATGCCAAATTAACTAATATACAACCACTTATTCTCACTCAATGCACCAAACTTCATCTAAAACAGCCAACACATCACAAAAAACCTCAACACATCTAGGTGCAGACTCAGGCATTCAAGTGGCCAACCATTTAAGCAGTTCACTATGGTGTTCTTAAGATTTATGTTCAAAATGGGAACACAACTTCCAGTCTAACTCCCAATGGTCCCATGCCTGCCAAGTGTATGGCCAACAGTGAAACGACCCTTTCCCTCGTTCCCTCCCAGGAAAGGCCTTGCTCTGTTTCTTCTTGGTTGCCACAGAAACACTCATGCATTCGGAATTGTCCAATCAACACCAAGCAACACAAGCGCAGTAAAATGTGTTTTCCACTACATTTAACTAAGGATGTGAATATTTTGAGTGACACCTAGTAAGTAAAGTGACTCAAATTGTGACAATTCGGTTTAGGTTCTTTAGCATAATTATTATAAAGCAAAATTTAAAAACTGTTGTGTATTTGTTGAGCCTCTTTTAAAAATGTAGTTTTTTATAACATGGCACAAGCCTGCTACTCTCAATGATTATGTTTATGTGTTTAGCAGACGCTTTTGTCCAAAGCGACTTACAAGTGATAATCGGCATGTTGCCCTTGAGGCTAACAACAATAACAACAACAACAACTTGACATCAGTCATGGAGAGGAGAGAACAAGGAGTGGACAGTAGAGAGGGGGACGGGTGCTAGTTTAGAAGATGCTCTCTGAAGAGCAGGGTCTTCAGGAGTTTCTTGAAAATTGAAAAGGAAGCTCCTGTTCTGGTAGTGCTTGGTAGGTCATTGTGAAGAGAGATTAGTTTTAGAGAGCAATCAAATGATTTTGACTATGATTTCCATGATGGTTGTCTGGTCTGGCAGCTAACTATCGTTTCTGACAGCTCTCAGCGAAATAAAAAAACTGTTAACCTCAACGCTCATTTAGCTTTTGAGCTGCAGCTTCTGGTATTTTAAACACCTGTAGCATCCAGCAATGGTTGGTTTAGGTACAGCTGACCTTCCACCATCTATTCAACATCTGGTCAGAAAGGAGACACACTTGTGTTCCTCTAAACGTCTACCTTCACACCAGCTGGGAGTCAGACCCCTATCGGTGCCTCCAGAAGAAAGAAGACCAGCTCAAATAAGATGCTAAACTCAAGAATATTATAATAAATCATTAATAACTCATTTTATTATTTTAATCTATTAAATCATTAAATAAACAATTGCTTATTATTACTTTTGGGAAAAATATAATGAAATGAAATGCTTCATTAATCTAAATCACTGAGTGGATGTTATGTTTATCTAATAGACTGTGTTCACCATGTTTTGACGACAAGGTCTTCACACCTGCTCACACTGCTCAAAAACCATAACAAGTACGGCGAAGTTAAACTCATTTCACATAGCTAGACCTTCCACCCAGACCAGAGTCTCCGTATTAAGAAGGCGTGCTTCTGTTGCCTTGGTAACCTCTACGTTCCTGTCAGCTTTTAATTGGCTGACCAAACCATAACAAATAACTTCTAAAACTAAAGCAGACTGAGAGATCTTCAGTTCTGAACAGTCCTGGAGAGTACTGGAAAGTTCTGGAGATGGCTCAGATTGGCCACCTGTTGCAAATACTCCATAAACATCCCAGATTTTTACACGTCGAGAAAGAACCTTTTTGCATCCGCAAAGCTGAGGAGAAAAACTTCCTGCAGCAAAAAGCTGAACTGTTCACTCCCTAAGAGTTATTCCTGATGCAAGCTGGTTCCATCATGTACTGCCTGATCGACATCTTTTGGACCGGGGAAGTCGCTACCTTGTGGTCTCCTGGACCTGGGTGCTCGAGGTCATCCGACCTCCGGATCCTGACAGGGGTCATCAAAAGGGCAAGTAGAACACACAGAGAGATTGCGTCTGGATGCATTTTAATGATAATGACTTCATAAGCTTAATACACTCCAAATTCATTTCACCAGAACTCAGCTTCATGGATGAGGAAACACTGATCCATATCACATCTACACCTTGGTTACTTCAGCATCTTAGCTCCACTCATTCACCTTAAATGTTTAATTCAGTAGTCATGTTTTAAATGGATTGTAAAATAAATTCTTACATTTACAAAGCTTGACTCTTTCTTGAAGTAACACGAAGCGTGGTTG